CCCTTCTGGTCACTGTCAGTTTGTTCTTTATTTCTTTGTCTGTGGTTATATTTTCTTACATTTTGGTTTTGTCAGATAGGTTCCACTAGTAGCTGAGGTCATTTGGTATTTCTCTTTCACTACCTGGCTTATTTCACTTAGCATAATGCTTTCCAGTTCCATCCATGCCGGGGTCCAGCCTCAGGAGGGTCCAGGGTCCCAGAAGGATGGACGGTGCAGGCAACGAATGAAGAGTTAGACACCCGATTGGATGCCAGAGAACAGCCAGCCTCTGTGGGTCTGACTGAACTCGTAGAATTTGACTTAGGCTTTATTTTTATAGAGATTGTTGTATAACATTGAAGGTACAGGTGCATGGTGTGATCAGTTAAGCAGAAAAAAACAATACAGAGGTCACCAGGAAAAGTACAAGCATTTCCATAGCTTCAGTTATGTTAAACAACAGTTGTTTTTACCAGGAGAACCATTAATCAGACAATTTGAAATAGCTCCAAGTACAGAGTTTGAATGTCTTATTGTTTATTAAAGGTCTTAGAATTTAACGTGGGGCAAAAGGATATGCTAGACTGAGCAGAGGTTAGGAAATTCATTATAAGGCCTTTGTATTGTCTAACTTAGCTATCTATCTTTCTGTCCAAAATGTTTCTTTATGTAATAGGGACTCTAACTCCTTGGTAATTGTTTGTACATACTTAGTCTGTAGTAGCTAACCAGCTTCTCCTGTTTCTTTGCCTGTGTACTTCTAATTAATACATATTCCTGTCCAAGGTAGAGGAGGGGCTGTTACTCCATCAACTTTTCAATATTCAGGAGCTACTTCATTAGGGGGGACTTCATTCTCTGGCCAAGAAATTATTTTGTACAACTTCATTGGAATTATGCAAATTATTGGACTTGAAATGCAGGTGTCTAAAAATCCCACCACCTATTAATTGGAAAGACAAACATGCGAAGACAAGAAATCCAGCCACAGTTTCCTCTGCTGTGCAGATGCATCCCATCCATCCCAACTGTGTCAAGGGATGGCTGTTGGTCAGCTCCCGACACATCCATGTTGCCGTGAACTTGGAGCTTTTGTGGTCACTGCCAGCTGAATGGGAAATGCAGAGTGAAGAGCAGGACCACATAGAGCAGGTCCACACACCTCCCCTGGACACAAGCTCACAGGGGTGGGTGCCGTGCACACCACAGACAGAGGTCAAGGCTTCAGAGTCACGCGTGCCAGGGTCCACACTCATCGTCCCCCTGCTAAGCTCCGTGACCTTGGACAGTGTGACTGAACTGGCCTTGTCCCAGTCTCCTAGTGTGTGACTAGCAGTAGCTGCCCCATGAAGGAGCTAGAGGATGTCACAGGAAGTGCCAAGGACAGTACTTAGCCCACGTTAATAAATATGAGGCATTGAGATTACGTCATCACCTTTTGTTGTCCTCAACCATTCATTAGCTCAGAGCTTTCTTAGTCCACAATAAAAAAAGATTATTCACTGTTTATTTATTTGTCTACTTTCAGATCCTTGTATTATATCAGAAGAAATCCTCGGCGAAAATAACATACAGTTGAAAGGTTAAGAGGACAAGATGTACTATGCAAAAACAGGGGAAGTCATTGAATTTACGTGTAAATCGGGACACGGTGCAGTGACGTCAGGGCAGTCATTTCAACCCATGTGTAGGGAAGGGATAGTGAAGTTGCCCAGATGTGAATGAAGGAGGTTTCACCTGCCACCGACACTGCCTCAACCTTGCTACAAATCTCAGACATGTCCTGCTCTTTTCTACTTTATTTCAGGGAAATCAATACAATATGGTCGTCTGAACTTTCAACCTGATCTTCTCCCAAAGGTGCTAAAATACACTATGTCAGCATTTACACTTGTGCCAAGACAATCATTATTCATCATTTTGGGGCTGGACTACTTGTCTACAGATTATTGAACTCATTGTGGATAAGAGTGTGGCTTTGTGCATCTTGGATTGGAGGTTTAACAGTCAAAACATGTGAGGTTAGAATTTACTGGGGGAACTAACACTGGGATGAAAACGTTAGATGGGAAAAGAGTGAGTGAAAATGGGCCTGTCACTTTGTCCCCTTACCGTCATCAGCTGGGGTGTCCCTGGACCAGGGGAAGAGTTTCTGGGGGTGAAACAGATCCATCCTTTGTCCTGTTCCCTGTGTGTGGTCGGAACTGTGTCACAGTGTGTCACAGTGTCGGGAGTTGCTCTTCTATTTGACACAGCAATACCTTATTTGAAAGTTGCAAATCTTATACTAGCTAGTCATAGAACAATGTATTTGATGCAAAGTAAATATAGGAACTGAATTTTTATTTTCTTGATGCTTATTCTAAAAGCATATACAAAACTGTTGAAGTTCCTGTCAAATTGAACCCTATTTAATAAGCAGTCTCCAATTTAGTTAGGGTGAGACTTCACATCCCCCCTTTTCTATTGTAAGCCTTGAATACAGTGCACCTTTAATGACAAGGGACCTCAAAGCGCATTAGTTAAGAACATCTCGATGCCCAGGATGAACTGAAAGTCTTGTGCTCTGTGTTGTGGTCTATTAAGGGTTTACCAGAAATCAGTGCTTTTCTATGGACAAGAAAGTGCAGAGGTCGAGTGGGGTCCAGATACAGAGGTTGGTGCCCACAGACCCTAAGGACTGAGGCTGGGTGAGGTCACGTACAGGACAAGGAAAGTTACACGGACGTAGACTCGGAGTTATTCCCACGCCATCTCTGGGTGGAGAAAGAACCTCGCCCATTTCAAGAGTTGTTTAATTTTAATTATTTTTAATATCACTGTTGGATCAGGTGTGGTACGATTTCTATGGAAATTTGCACAAGTACAAGGAGGAAGTAAAGTCAAGAAATAATTGTGAAATGATTAACCAAAATTTACAGATCTTGCAAAACTCTCTGAAATTTGATATTCACTAAGTGAAATGAACATCCTGGCAGTGCCCTTAAATTCAGGGTCACATTAACCATCACTCACAACCCGCAGAGCACAGTGGGGACATTTGTGTTACTGCACCATCGGGGATGCCCAGCATGCTGCTGTCCCTGATCAGTGTCATTGTCACCTTGGGGGTCTCCCGGGCTCATGGACGAGGTAAGCTGGACACAGAGCTGCACACTCAGCTCCCTCCGACCTGCAACTTCTTCTCCTTCCTACTTGCACGTGTCTCTGGGTTTAATGAATGGACTCGTAGGGACAGTGTGTATTGTGACATCAGAGAATAACTTGTAGGATGATTATCATATATTAATTTCCAGGGAAAATAAAATAAATAGTTTTCTCTCTACTGTCTTCTACAGACTGAATGCCTATTCACAGATATTAGAGTCATGTGAATGTGCTCATGGAAACTTGACTGGAAAATGGGTCACAGAAAAGCTAGATGATACCCCAAAATGTCTGGGGGAATCTAACAACATTTGCTCTGTTCTCATGGACTTGACTCTTCCTGGGCAGTGGTTTCTGCATCACCCACCTGTCCTTTCTCCTTTCAGAAACAACCTGTGACCCTCCAGCTATTGCTCACGGTCTCTACACACCGAATGAGACCAAGTACAGACTGGAAGATGTGATCACGTACCGCTGTGACAATGGCTTTTATCCCTCATCCCGAGGAAATGAGACAAGATGCACTGATGGAGGCTGGGTACCTCCTCCAAGATGCAGTGGTAAGTTCCGTTAAAATCATGACCTGCTTCCTATTTCTGAAATTACTACTCTTAAACACAAAAATGGGGACGTAATAACTCATCGTTATTGACTTACTGGGGGTTTAAAGCTGAGGGTTTCCTAACATTCTTTGCTTTTCAAAGTAGCCAGTTTTAAAAAGGATAAAATCATATAATTAGAATTGAAAATTTTAGGTTTTCTATTCCATATTAAATATGTGCATTTATGTATACTTATTTTTGTAAATGATATACTTCTAGTACCTGAACTAAAACATCAGCTAAGGCTCATATTGTCTAAAAACAAGTATATTAGTTATTTATTGCTTTGTGAAATTTTCCACATAAGATACTGACTGAGAACAACCACCTTTTCATTCGGGGTCACGGGGTCAGCAGCTCAGCCCCCTAGTCCCAGTCACTCTCTGGTGGCAGTAGGACACTGGCCCAGGCTCTGGGCTGAGGGCTGGGTGCAGTGGGGACCAGGAGACTCAGGGCTTAACCACCCGGGGTCTCCATAGTATCCGCAGTGGGACTAAGTGCCCCCAAGGTGAGTGATCTGAGACACAAGAAGGACACCTCGATGCCATCTATGACCTGCTCACACACCATCACCTCAGCCATTTTTACCTTTACAAGAGGGTCCCTAAGTCCACTCACACTCAAGGGGATGGGCAGTGGGTCCTTCTCTGAGGAAGGAGAGTGGGAGACACAGTTGATTTTCCGACACCACCACATGTCACAAAGTGCCACTCAGGTCAGCAGGGCGTTTATTTCTGGGGAGGTTTCTTTGGCCCCTTTCCAAGAGCTTTCTGCCTCGGCCTTTACATTCCTCTTACTCACGTATCAGTTCCCTGAAGAGACGTCCACGCTCCAGCTGGACACTCCATGAGTGAAAAAACAAAATGATGCTAATTGGAGGTCAATGGCTTCAGTGTTAGCTCAGGACAAACGTCCACATCAATGTGACACTGTGAAGCCCTTAGAGAGGATGCTGGCATCACCGTGACACAGACTCAGTGAGCGTGACCGCCACAAGGAGCGTGTCTGTGTACTCACCAGACAGAACTGCCAGGCAGCACTGTGCTGTTTCAGTGAACAACAGACCGACTCCGCGTGTGCGCATGTCGGGAAGTGACCAGAAACAGGTGTTCTTTACATCATCTGAGTTTACAACCTTTCTTGTCCTGGAAACCCTAATGCAATGAGGATGACTATGTTAATAAGAGAATATATTTCATCTAGGAAACCACTTATCTCTCATTAGATTCTATTAAAGGAAAACATTATTTAAACTTTTTTTATTGCAAGTTAAACCATGTGAATTACCAGAAATAAAACATGGAGTCCTCTATGAGGAACAGAAAAACAGACCACACTTCCCAGTTGCCGTGGGACAATGGTATTACTATTCCTGTGACAACAACTATGTGACGCCAAGTCAAACGTACTGGGGTACAATTACTTGCACACCAGGCGGATGGTCACCTGACGTTCCCTGCCTCAGTAAGTAAACCCCTTCTTTCTTGTGAAGGTGGGGACACTTCGTGGGGGGGGGGCGGAATTAAACAAGTGATAAAGTCAAAGCTGTGTCCCCAAACTAAGGTGGAGGGCTGAGTTCTGTGAGCAGGAAGACCAGTGTAGGTCGCTTGTTTTATGAGAGGCTCTTCATCAAAGACATGAGGCAGAAAAAATAGACTCTACAAGAATATCTATGTCACTTATACATATTCTAATTTTGAAAACTACAGATAAATCTTATGTAATACTGACTTTTCTTTTTAAAAAAACTTTTGGTGGAGGGTTTAGTTTTCCTTAAACTCTGTCTTAGTGGGATGTTAATCAATCTCTGTTAAATATCCTGAAAAGTAATACATTTTAATGTATGACTTTCACCAAATTGATGGGGTTGTTTTCATTATCATTTTACCATTCTCAGGAAAGTGTGTTGTCAACAATTTGGAGCATGGACGTTCTCCACGTTATGGAGAGACGTATTTACAGGGTAAAACTGCAAACCTTATCTGCCACCCTGGTTATAGCCATGAAAGCGGGCAGAGCATCATCACATGCATGGAGAATGGCTGGTCCTCTCCTCTCTCCTGCCTCAGTAAGTACACTGCTCTCACATCCAACCAGTGATTTTCTGAGACCCTGACAAATCTCTGCAGAAAGCTTTCTGTAGCAAATCTCCAGCTCAACGCATTAACTTTTCTTTGCCTTGAAGACATGAACATGTTTCCATTCTAGTTGTGTCTAAATAGTTTTTAAATTTCGATCATGAGTAGATTATGTTACTTTACTGCATTAAACAACAGTAGGACTAGACCCCATGAATGTCATGAAAGGTTGTGAATTAAACAGATCAAAGTCACTTAAGTATTTGCATGGAAATCATGCTAATTTGCTCATTGAAGAGGGATTTAAAATATAGTAAAATTTTAAATAAATACAATGATTGCCCAAAGTCATATACATATCACAAACATTTCACATATAATATACGTGTATTAGTCCTGGGGTGTGATACATTCAGACACTAATACACCAGTTATAACTGACTTTCTCATTTTAAGTTGACAGCAGTCTGTAAGTTGTTTTGTGGGTGTTGTTTGAACATGAGAAAGTAAATTTAATGGAATTGTATTATAAACCCTGAGATACTAGAGCTGAACTTTAATGGGAGTCTTCTTCTACACCTACAGAGAAGCCGCGATCACTGAGTGTGGGTGGGAACTCAGAACCAGTGGGCCCGTCCCACGTGACAGCCAGGGGAACTAACGCTGTTCTTTCTCCTGCTTTCTCTACATGCGGAGGGGTCAGGACACCCACCAGTAATTCCCTCAGTGAATATGGTGGACTAAGAACATTTATAGGCATTAAACACTAAAACTGTTTTCAAGAGAAACTAAAGCTTATGCAACAGAATATAAGAAGAATAACTAAAAAATAACCAACAGCAAGAAGCCCGGGTTTCAGTGAGTGTGAGTGATGCTGTTCAGGACATGAGTTGACTCCTCACAGGAAACCACAGACCATCGCCCATGTGTGGGCGTCGTGCTGGAAGGCCCAGCAGGGAAGTTAACACAAAAGCCTTCAAACTATGAGGAGTCCCCATGGTCATTGGAAGGACGACTTTCAGAGTGAGATGATTTTCAAGTGAAATGACTTAACCAAGAAAGGAATTCTGTTTATTTGAGGCTAGCTGATGGCCAGTATAGCACAAACTGAGTGGGGAGGAGAAAAAGTGGTCCAAGTGAACTGGGAAGCACTGAGTGAAAAGTAACGGACCTGCAGGGGGAGGCCCTGCAGGGTTCCCGGTAGGGGAAGGGCAGCATCTGCCCTGATGGGCACCTGCCAGGAGGCTGCTCCCGGGACAATGGACTACTGTCCCCAGTGTGATAACCAGACAGTGGAACTATGGTACTTCAGGGGCACGAGTAGAAATGGGGATGCGAGGATGAGTGGGAGGAATCTGTGGAAGTGGTACCATCTTCATCTGATGATAGACGGCATGGGAGGAGATTCAGTAGGAATCTGTCTAATTATTTATAGAATGATCAAATCCCTGGGATTTAATTGACAAAGGCTTATTTCCCCCAATAAACTTCTGAGGTGAGAAGGAAGAGCAAAGTTGACCTGAGGTCATCTGGGTGCATACCTCTAAGCTTCCTTTCAGCCACTTGTGGTTCTCAATTCCATGGTCACCAAAGGGCAGTGAACTTGGGACTTTGGCTTGGTTTTGGGGCAGCAAGGAGGAGGCTAGAGACATAGGAGGGGCAGGGATGGAATGTTCTAGGACCAATCACATGTGAAATTTAACAGTCGCTGATGGATGACTTCACATGCAATATCCCACTGATATTAGGATTTCCATCCATCTTTTTTTCCATACCACATAATCACCAAGAACTGCTAATACATATTACTCAATACAACTTAGATAAGATAAATCTCCTAAACATTACCCTCAGTAAGAAATACTGAATACAATAATAAAGTTCATTATCTCAACATCAGCTAATGAGGTAGTTGACTTGCAAGATATCAATTCTTAATTTGCATAACATTGTTTTCCATTTCTTTGCTTGTCATGGGCTCTCTTTCATGAAAGCCTGTACCTTTGCACTTCATTTTGTGCTCAATTTGGATGAGTTTTCTACGATAACAATCACGTGGATGAGACGGTGCCCTGTGTGAATACGTGAATTGTGCATCCAACAACTCCAACTCTAACATACACGTTCCAAGTATGTCTGGTGCATCAGCACATACATTGCACCTTAATTCACAAACTCATTGTCCTTAAAATGATAACGTCATCATACTATGTCAGTGTAACTCAGTAGCATCCTGTGACATGCAGGTGAAAATGGATGTGACTAAATGTTCTCTCTATACATGTAGAGGTTTGAGTGACAGGAAAACGACCCACAGTGAAATCTGGAGTGGGATGCTCTGGAACAAAGTGACACTGAGTGTCAGAGCATTTTCCAGTGATACCTCACTGGTGTCACACACTGAGGGTAACCGTGACTTCTGCCTGAAGAAGGTCTCCTTGCTGCATTATTCATGGTATGGCCTTGCACCTACAATTGTCAACTCTGCTTCCCTCTAGAACATTGTGACATGCCGCTATTCGAGAATGCCACAGCCATCATCACTGGAAAAGCATTTAGACCCAATGACACGCTGGACTACCAGTGCCTGGATGGGTATGAAACCAGAGATGGAAACACCACGGGCTCCCTGCTGTGCGGGGAGGAGGGCTGGTCCCGCCTGCCAAGCTGCTTCAGTAAGTATTTTTGTTCCACTGTTTCCCTTGTCCAGACAAGTCTGTTGAAACATGGTGCTCATTGAGGGAGGTTCTGTCCCTCACTTTTAAGTCACGAGGTTACAGTGTAGGATGGACTTCAAGGTTCCCGTGAGGCTTCTGGTCTCCAATAAGACCAGAATTTTCCCTCAACCCTGAAAATGCTGTTTTTTAGAATCTACAGAAAAGTGTGGGCCTCCACCAGCTGTTGGCAATGCAGACATCACCTCCTTCCCACTGGCTGCCTACCCTCCAGGGTCTAGAGTTGAATACCAATGCCAGGCCTACTACGAACTTTGGGGTCCTAACTACGTAACCTGCAGTGATGCTAAGTGGTCCGAACCCCCAAAATGTCTAGGTAAGTTCTCCATATTCTTCCATCTCCTGAGAAAATTGTAGGAATGTTTCAGAGCTCATTCACAGTCTAGCATTCCTGCAGTGGGTTCTAGAACTGCGGTGTCAGACAGCTTTTCTGCCAGATGCTGGACATTCCCACTCCCATGTATAAGGCCAGATGCTTGAAGAGTTCCTATGTAAACAATGACATAGTTTTTTTTAACACAAGAATGTTCAGACATGCTGATTATTCTTCCCTTTTTTAATGCTTGTATTGGGATGACTTAGTTAATAAAATTATACAGGTTTCAGGTGTACAATTCTACAACACATCATCTGTACATACGTTATATTTCACAACCTTCAGTCAACCTCCATGCATCACAATTCATCCTCCCATCACCACATTGTACCTCCCCTCACCTCCCTCCCCTGCAATCGCCATGCTATTGTCCATGTCCATGAGTCCACCCAGCCCCTACCGCCTCCCCTCTGACAGCTGCCACTCTGTTCTCTGTATTCGTGGGTCTGCCTCCCCTTTGTTAGTTTATTTGGTTCATTACATTCCACATATGAGTGAAATCGTATGATACTTGTCTCTGTCTGACTGGCTTTTTCACTTAGCCTAATGCTCTTCTGGTCCATCTGTGCTCTCACAAAAGGTAGGATTTCCTTCTTTTATACAGCTGAGTAGTATTCCATAATGTAAATGTACCACAGCTCTTTTTATCCATTCTTCTACTTATGGACATTTGGGCTGCTTCCAAATCTTGGCTATCGTAAATCACATTGTTAGGAACTTAGAGGTATATGTATCCTTCGAATTAGTGTTTGGATTTTTTGGATAAAAACTGGAAAAAGGTATTACTGGGACTTAAGGCTGTTTTCTTTTTCATTTCAGTTCAGTGTAACTGAACTGGCCTTTCCTCAGTCTCCTAGTGTGTGACTAGCAGTAGCTGCCCCATGAAGGAGCTGGAGGATGTCACAGGAAGTGCCAAGGACAGTACTTAGCCCACGTTAATAAATATGAGCCATTGAGATTACGTCATCACCTTTTGTTGTCCTCAACCATTCATTAGTTCGGGGCTTTCTTAGTCCACAAATAAAATTATTCATTGTTTTATTTATTTTTCTACTTTCAGATCCATGTGTCATATGTGAAGAAATCCTCAATAAAAATAACATACAGCTGAAAGGGAAAGAAAACAAGACGTACTATGCAAAAACAGGGGAAGTCATTGAATTTACGTGTAAATCGGGGCACAGTGCAGTGACGTCAGGGCAGTCATTTCAACCCATGTGTCGGGAAGGGATAGTGAAGTTGCCCAGATGTGAATGAAGGAGGTTCCGCCTGCCACCGACACTGTCTCAACCTTGCTACAAATCTCCGACATGTCCTGCTCTTTTCTACTTTATTTCAGGGAAATCAGTACCACATGGTCGTCTGAACTTTCAACCTGATCTTCTCCCAAAGGTGTTAAAATAAACTATGTCAGCATTTACACTTGTGCCAAGACAATCATTATTCACCATTTCGGGGATTGGACTACTTGCCTAGAGATTATTGAACTCACTGTGGATAAGAGTGTGGCTTTGTGCATTTTGGATTGAAGGCTTAACAGTCAAATTATGTGAGCTTACAATTTACTGGGGGAACTAATATGGTGAAAACATTAGATGGGAAAAGAGTGAGTGAGAACAGGCCTGTCAGTCTGTCACCTTGCTGCGGTCAGCCAAGATGTCCCTGGACCAGGGGAGGAGTTTCTGGGGGTGAAACACATCCATCCTTTGTCCTGTTCCCCTGTGCATGGTCAGAACTTTGTCACAGTGTCAGGGAGTTGCTCTTCTATCTGACAAAAGCAATGCATTATTTGAAAGTTGCAAATCTTATAATATCTAGTCATACAACAATTTATTTGATGCAAAGTAAATATAGAAACTGAATATTTATTTTCTCGATGCTTATTGTGAAAGCATATAAAAACTCATTGAAGTTCCTGTCAAACTGAACCCTGTTTAATAACCAGTCTCCAATTTAGTTTGGGTGAGACTTCACATTTTCCCTTTTCTATTGTGAGCCTCTGAATACAGTATACCTTTAATGACAAGGGACCTCGAAGCACATTAGTTAAGAACATCTCGATCCCAGGATGCACTGAAACTCCTGTGCTCTGTGGTGTGGTATATTGTAGGGAACTGTCTTGTGCGGCATGGAAATGTAGCTGAGCCTCCACGTGGAAAATTAGTGGGCAGGGAGTGGCACGCAGGACCACACCCACAGAGAGGTTACCCTTGGGAAATCAGGCCTGCATTGTACCTAGACTGCTATGAGACTGGCTTTTGCTAAAACTCTTTCACCCTGAACTGAGGCAGCAAGGGCTTACTGCAACTTCCTAAAGTCTGTGCTAAACCTCCCAAGTATGGAGTGTAACCAGTTCAACCACTTTTCCCCTTCATCTGCAATATCCTTCTCTTTGAAGTAATTAATAGCATTCTTTACTTTGTTATCTGTGAAAGGTAATCCCCTGCAGTGAACGAGGGCCATCCTCCATGTAATGTACCCGGAAAAGCAATAAAAGCCTGTCCAGGCAGGGGCTGGGGACTTCTAGTCCTCTTGCCCTGTCTCTCTCTCTCTAAGAGAGTGGCAATGCTGTCCCTTTTTCTCCAGAGGACTTCTGTCATCTGTGTGCATTTGTTCACCAGCACGCATAACACACAAGGATGCTGCAGGCCAGGATCTGCCACAGTGTATTAAGGGTTCACACACACACACAAAATCTGTGCTTTTCTATGGACAAGAAGGTGCAGAGGCCAAGTGGGGGTCCAGATACACGGATTGGTGCTCACAGACCCTAAGGACTGAGGCTGCGTGAGGTCACGTACAGGACAAGGACAGTTAAAGGGACGTGGACTCCCAGTTATTCCCACTCTATTGCTGGGTGGAGAAAGAACGTCATCCATTTCGAGAATTGTTCAATTTAAAAATTAGTGTTTTGTGTCACCTGTCACCTTTGGAGCAGGTGTGTTAATATCACTAAGGAATATTGTGCAAGTACAATGAGGAAAGAAAGTTATGAATAGATAAGGAAATTTTTAACAAAAATTTACATATCTTGCGAAACTCTGAACTTTGATATTAAGTGAACTCAACAAACCAGCTTCCTGGCAGTGCCCTTAAATTCAGGGTCACACTAACCATCGCTCACAACCCGCAGAGCACGGCTGGGACATTTGTGTTACTGCACCATCGGGGATGCCCAGCATGCTGCTGTCCCTGATCAGTGTCATTGTCACCTTGGGGGTCTCCCAGGCTCATGGACAAGGTAAGCTGGGCACAGAACTGCACACTCAGCTCCCTCCGACCTGCAACTTCTTCTCTTTCCTACTTGCTTGTGTCTCTGGGTTTAATGAATCGACTCGTAGGGATAGTGTGTATCGTGACATCAAACAGAGAATAACTTGTAGGAAGATTATCATATATTCATCCATGGAAAAGAAAATAAGTTATGACTAATTTTATGTCCTACATTTCACAGTAAATGGACTCTCAATACCAATTATGGAGATTAGTTGAATGTGTTCACTCAACGGTAGCAAGCCTTTGGGAACAATGGAAATCTCATAATCTTACATATGGTGAATGTCTTATAGAATCCTATGTGACAGCTGGTAAACGACAGGACACGCAGGTGCGAGGAAGGCCAACCGAGACTATAAGATACACATTCCGCCCTGGCTGGTGTAGCTCAGTGGATCGAGCGTGGGTCTGTGAACCACACAATCACGGTTTGATTCCCAGTCAGTGCACATGCCTAGGTTGCAGGCCAGTTCCCAGCAGGGGACTCATGAGAGTTATAGGACTTCCGCCAAGATGGAGAAGTAGGTGGAGGGTCCACCTCGCCTCTGTGCACAACCAAATCTAAGAACAACTATTTTTAACAGCAGTCACAACCAAGCCACACGGAAAATCGACAATACGGAGTCCAAAGGACAACTAGATACTCGGCTGGACCGGTACGAGGAGCGAGGCCAGCAGCAGAGCAGGTTAGCAAGAAAAAATTCCCCCGGGGCGGTGCGCGGGGCGCGCAGGCAACCGAGGGCTGATCGCCAGCGAGCTGGCTGCCGGAGCGCACAGGGAAGAGGCGCGGAGGGTCGGTCGGTCGCGCGCATTTACGTGCGGAGAAACCAGTGAGAAGGGAAACCCGCGCGGTGCAGCAGGCTCGCAAAATTAGGATCGGATAAGCAAGCCCGAGGCGTTTGAGTGTCTGGATGCACTGGGCTAGCGGAGAGGAACGCCATTGCTCCCTCTCTGACCCCCGCCCCCACACACAGCGTCACAAACCAGCGACCTGGGTCGCCCGTCCTGGTAAACAACTAAGGCTTCGCTCCGCTCACTTAACAGCACGAATAAACCAAAAATGGCTCTAGAACAACTCAGAGCCCCAGAACCGATAGACCTAAGTGATGAAGAAATAGCCAGTCTTTCAGATGCACAGTTCAAAACACTGGTTATAAAGATCCTTACAGAACTGGTGGATTTTAGTCACAAATTAGAGAAACATATGGAAGCTAAATTAATTGAAATGAATGCTGATACAAAAGATACCAATAGTAATGGAAAGAAAATTGGGACTCAAATCAAGGGAGAGAACCAGACGGAAGAAAAAAATGATCAAACAGAAAGGAATGAAGAAATAAGAATTCAGAAAAATGAGGAGAAGCTTAGGAACCTCCAGGACATCTTTAAACGTTCCAACATCCGAATTATAGGGGTACCAGAAGGGGGAAAGGCACAACCACCAGTTGAAAAATTATTTGAACAAATAATAAAGGAGAATTTCCCCAAGATGGCAAAGGAAATAGACTTCCGAGAAATCCAGGAAGCTCAGAGAGTCCCAAAGAAGTTGGACCCAAGAAGGAACACACCAAGGCACATCATAATTACATTAGCCAAGATTAAAATGAAGGAGAGAATCCTAGAAGCAGCAAGAGCTAAGGGGACAGTCACCTACAAAGGAGTCCCCATCAGACTGTCAGCTGATTTCTCAAAAGAGACCTTACAGGCAAGAAGGGGCTGGACAGAGGTATTCCAAGTCATGAAAACCAAAGATCTACAACCAAGATTGCTCTACCCAGCAAAACTTTCATTTAGAATGGAAGGACAGATAAAGTGCTTCTCAGATAAGACCAAATTCAAGGAGTTCATCATCACCAAGCCCTTATTCTATGAAATGTTAAAGGGACTTACCTAAGAAAAAGAAGATAAAAAAGATGAACAGTGAAAGGACAGCAAACTCACAGTTATTAAGAACCACACCTAAAACAAAAGCAAACTAAGAGGATAGCTAGATCAGGAGCAGAACCATAGAAATGAAGATCACATGGAGGGTTAGCAACAGGGGAGTGGGAGGAGAGGAAGGGGGGAGAAGGTACAGAAAATAAGTAGTATAGACAGTAGATAGAAAATAGATAGGGGGGAGGGTAAGAATAGTAGGGGAAATACAGAATCTAAAGAATTTGAGACACATGTTTATGAACTAAAGGGGGAAATGGTGGGGGAGGGGTATGCAGGGTGGAGGGGAAGGGAGGGGGGAATAGAGCAAATGTAATGGCATAATCAATAAAAAAAAAAAAAAAGAATCCTATGTGAAAACTCACTAAATCAGGATTCAAATACATGGAGTTTACAATTTTTATTATACCTTAAAAAAACCTGGAAACGTAATTGACATTACCATCAACTTAATATTTCAACAAAATTCACAACTGGTAAAAATAAGTATTTATTTCAACAAAAAGTAAAATGTATTCTTCGTTTCCAATAGAATTACAGTACTTTTTTATTAGACTGTTGAGTTCTCTGGTAAATGTTGAGTAAATAAATAAATTATTTGCATAGCATTATCTCTATTCTGCACTGATTTGTTTTCATTTTTATAGCAAAGTGTTCTCCATATTATTTCTAAATGGAATCTATATATTAAAAAATTATATCTTATAGCAATATAATTGGTGGTTTCTTTAAATTCATTTAATTAGAAAGCAATTTATTTTGTGTTTTAGTTCAAACAGCATTTATTGCATGTATAGAAACTTTAAGATTTTATTTGCACAATCATGTTTTTCTCCTTCCTCTCCCATCTTCCTAAAGTCTCCATTATTATATCTTTTCAAAGTCTCTTACTTTCCTTTAGAACCAAATACATCCCTGAGTTACTGTAAGTGAACCCTCTGACGTCCCTTAGGCCCTTTCATTGCACCATTTAGAAATAGACTGTGACCCACTAAGTTGCAGCCCTTAGTCTACGAGAGGCATTCATTTAAATAATTTGCTGCGTGCTGGGCTCTGTCTACTATTTCAGTTTATATATGAGCAATTTCCTTCTCTACCACCCCCCACCCCACCCCCCAAAAACAACCATACAACCAAGCTTCAATCCCATTTAACACGATTTCTGTTAGTGAACTCTTTCTCAAAGTGGTCTTTGTACTCAACGCCCTGTAGCTGGCCGGGTGGCAGTGATGTTTTCGAGGAGAAAGGATCTTGCTGAGGGGAGAGATCATCTGAGAAACACCTTTGTGTGTTTTGTTGGCACGGGCTCAGTTGCCTCCCTGCAGAACTGAAGAGATGAAGCCCAGACTCCTAAGACCTCAGAAAGTAGCTGTGCATAGAGGTCAGGTCTACAAAGAGGTCACTGAGTTCCACCCGGTCACCACAGTGGGCCCTGATCTAACCAGACTGGTGTGTGTGCCCACGGGGGAGACGGGCCACGGACTCGTGGAAGGGAACCATGTGAAGACACGAGCGTGTCTTCATCGACACACCTGGGAGAGAGGCACCAACCCTGCTAACGCCGTAATTCTGGACTGTTGGTGTCTAGAATTGTAAAAAGAACAGATTTCTGTTGTTTAAGCCGCCCTCCCTTAGTGCTGTGTAGAGCAGCCCTAATGAGAAAATGCAATGATGCATATACACTTTTCTAAGCAGACGGTACTAGTCAAACACCGTTTCTCTATTTTCCGCTCTGGTATGTTTTATACCTACCTACATATTTTTAGGGGACATTCATCAGAATTCAGGAATTCTACCTTGGTGGTACTGGGGTTGCTGATGTTTTTCACTTGATGAGTACTTTATATTCAAATTCTCTTCACAGCTTCATTGAAAATGTCCCACAGAGTCATATGGACACATATCCATACGTGAAAATGTGCTCAGACATATATGTCACGTAAATCACTGCCTAGATCGGGCCAAGATTTCCAGGGGTCTGCGTGTGGGAGACACAGGAAGACGCAGAACTGGAAGGGAACTGAGGACGAGGGACAGTCCTATGGTCCCCGCGGAGAGGACACCTGAGCTCTGGCAGGGTTACTGGGTTCGGCCCCTTTCATCCTCTCCCTCGGCCTTTGCATTTTTCCGTGTGATTTCTTTTAATCTTGGAAATACTTCTGAAGGACTTTGACCTTAAACACCACAACCTCCTCCAGTCCCTCCGATCTCTTCTTTACAGGTGACCCCGATTCTCATGAGCACAAGCAGGTAAAGTGAGATCCACAGAATAATAAATGTATCCGTGGGGTTATTCAAATAAAGAAGAATGATTCATTCACGCGGGATACTACTTTTTCTCCTTCAGGAAGAACTTGTGATTTTCCAGAAATAAAACACGGAAACATATATGAGGAACACAGATATAAACAGACCTTCCCCGTTGCTACGGGAAAATATTTCTACTACTCCTGCGATCGCAGCTTTGCATCTCCTTCGCGGTCGCTCTGGACTCGAATAACCTGCACAGAGGAAGGATGGTCGCCAACACCCAAGTGTCTCAGTGAGTAAACAAGTGGGTCGAGGTCCGCGTGAGTTACTCCGCATTTTCCGTGAGCGGGGCAAGAGGGGACGGGGTGGCCGGTGGGGACCACGGGGTGTAGACAATCACAAAGCCAGGGCCGGAGGGGCCAGCCAAGGTAAGATCCGTCCTGCCTCAGGCACGAAATCAGCACAAAAGAAGATACAAACTGGGTGGAATAGCTCCATTTTTTTTCCATTTCAAATATTAGTGATTGGTAATTTCAACCAGTAATATTTAATTTAAACGCCCTGGCTTGGTCATTGCAAGAACTCAGATTTTTCCCAGGAGAGTTCCGTTTTTACATGTAATTCTTGTTCAAAATGTGCTGCTCTTTTGGATATTCAAAACCCGCTTTTTAAAAAGCCTTTATTTGTAGCTTTTTCTTGTATTTTTTATTGTTCTTCCATTACAGTTGCTCTAATTCTCCCCCCACTCCTCTCCCTGCCTAGCCCATCCCCCCACTTCCTCAGTCCCCGCCCACCCTGTCCTCCAGGTCCCTGGGTCCTTCCCACCTGTTCCTTGACTGCACCCTTCCCTTCTCTCCTCCATGATCCCCCTCCCCTCTGGTCACTCACTGTCAGTTTGTTCCTTATTTCCATGTCTCTGGTTCTAATTTGCTCGTTTGTTTGTGTGGTTCATTTTTTAAAGTAGTTTTTACTATTTTCCTTTTGTGGTTTTTAGTAGTTGCACCTTTGGGAGGTACATGTGCCTTACGTTCTCAGTGAGGGCAGAGACTGGAAGAAAACAATGAGGAGAGAGAAAAACGAAAGAGGCAGACAAAGGAAACGAGAGTCCTCCTCCTCCAGGAAGCAGCTCGGTCAATCAAAGGCGAGAAAAAACGCAATCACTCTCTTGACATCTAAAGGAATTTTACAAGTGGGAAAATGATTTCACACATAAGCAGTGATTCATGACATTACATATTAATGGTGACGTGCATGGACTCACTTTTTAGGACAGTCATTTGGGCACTTTATTTGTGTACTGAAGTTTGCAAAATGTAACACCTTTCTCAACACGAAATGTATAGAAGTCATCTTTTTGGTTTTCAGGACAGTGCTTCTTCCCTTGGGTGGAAAATGGTCGATCTGCATCTTCAGGACAAACACATCAGGAAGGCGACTCGGTGCAAGTGGTCTGTGATGAGGGCTACAGCCTCCCCCTTAATCAGAGTGGCATCACGTGTGCAGAAAGTGGCTGGTCTGCGCCCCGCCCCCGACGTGCAGTCGTACCGGCAAGTAAAACGCTGGCCTCCTGGGTCCTATCTTCTTTTTTATTTTATAAAGAAATGGCAGTAGTTTCAGGGGTCCACATCTGTCAGAGCAGATGTGCCGATCTCTGGATAGTAATCCCTGGAAAATTATTTGGCCTCCTCCCATAAATTAAACGTAGGCAAAATTAGAAAACATCATCAGGAACACAGTGAAAATCTTTGCAAGGCGTTTACATGTTTCAGCAATACGAACTTACAGTGTACAAGGAAATTATGCAAAAGCAGTTGACGTACCATGAGGACAAAATTAAATTTTACACAGAGTGATGGTTAAAATATCACATCTGTGAAATCACCCGGCCTGCAAACAAGTCTACTTGACATTGACAAAGTTCAATGCATACCATTAAAAATTAGCACAAAAATACTGATAATATGCGCACCATCTGAACTCTACCTGTGAAATCTCGGTTTCCAGGGTATACTTAGTAATATGAAAAAACACTTCATTAAGAAACCATATGGAAAATAGGGGTATAATGGAGGTAAAGTTGAGTTAGAGTTTCTTATACTTTGATGTGAAAACCGAACAGTAGCTAAATTGGAATAAGGGAACCCGGAGCCTCGGCTCCCGAAAGCACAGGGACGCCTTTGGAGAACAGTCTCTATAGTCTTGTCTCTTCCCACTCTATCGGGAAGTTTGGTTATCATTTATCCATCTAATCAGTATTTATTATATTGGCATTACATCATATTTATTGTGCACTTCTTTGTATAATGTTTTTAAAAACTGTATTTTTTGGAAAGAGGGGAAGGGATGGAGAACGAGAGGGAGAGAGAAACGCCCATAGGTTGTCTCCAACCAGGGACGGAACAGACCACCCAGCAAGTGCCCTGACCCAGAATCAAACCGGGAACCTTTTGCTCTGTGGGATGACACCCAGCCAACAGAGCCACATCAGTCAGGGCCATGCACAGTCTTATATTTGTTTATATAACTTGTCCAGAAGCTGTAGTTGTGCTTAGCAAAGGGAGAGCAGGAAATCATGCTTCCGGTCCATCTTTCCCAAACAGGAAGTCAACCTTCTGCCAATGTGTTTTTTACACATTGCAAAACACTCTTTTTTGCAAGGAGTATTTTTTATGAAAATGAAAATGAAATGCCTAGAGCCCAAAGGATACTGCAGCACGTTGCACGAGAGCACAAGGAACTTTCCGTGGCCATGAACTATGTCTGCCCAGTGCTGGTCATTACAGAAAATCGTTCTGCACTGGAACATGACACTGCAGACATATGTATCTCTGGTTTACGTGAGCTTTACTGAGACATCAGTGGGAAACTGTGAAGCATTGTGGTTCTCACTCTGCATGATTAGATTGTCTCCATTGAACCCTCTCCTCAGACTCACACAAGGCTGCATACTATACATTGTACTCTATTTGTACATTCCTCTGTTTTCTATACGATGGATTAGTCTCTTAACAAATTAAATAATGTCTGTAGGTTCTAGAAGAAAATGCGGGCCCCCTCCAACCATCGACAATGGGGACATCACCACATTCCCATCAGCTGTCTACGCTCCAGGAGACTCGGTGGAGTACAAATGCCAGGCCTACTATAGACTTCAGGGAAACAGGATAGTAACATGTAGTGACGGAAAGTGGTCAGAGCCACCCAAATGTTTAGGTAAGTGCGTTACCGTTCCCATGCTCATCTTAAGCAAGAAGAGCAACTAGGATTCTTTTATGAAAACTCTATATATGACAATTGGTATTATGAACTTTGATTTAATATTTAATTATCACACAGAGTACCTTCTTTTACATCATTAATTGTTTACAATGACTTACATCTACAGGATGGCTTTCCAATGAATTATATTGAAAAAGGTTTTGAGAATGAGTTCCTGGATCTGTGTAGCAGATTCTACGTGACAGTCTAAACTTCTGTAGTGAGTATTTGCACAGCACTTAATGTTTTGTGTTCCTTGTTTTTACCTTTAGAGGTGTGTGTAGTCTCAGAAGAAATGATGCGAAAGCATAACATACGGTTAAAATGGAGACGGGACACAAGACTTTATTTGGAATCAGATGATATTCTTGAGTTCGAGTGTCGATATAGGTATCGTGCAAGGTCACCACCCTCTGCATTCCAGGTAACGTGTCAGGAAGGAAAACTGACGTATCCCACTTGCGGATAAAATGATGGTTATGTTGCAGTCTGGACATTGAAATACACATACTCATTTAGAATATTTTACATTCATCCAATTGTCTACTTTTTCAAGTGTATGTTACCTCACTTTTCTTCATAATCAGAATTTATGTTGATGTCATTGTAATCTGGAAGACTAGTGAATCACTCTGAAAAGGATCTCATTAAATGTGGCAAACCACGATGCCGTGTGTTTTGTTTGTGAAACAATCCTGGTGAGAAATCAGAAGCCATCTCTTCACAACCCACTTGCACCCAGCCACCCCCTAACTTCTCCAACACTTTGTCCAAAAGTTCTGAGGCCGTTTGAGACTCTTGTTGCAGAGGAAATGGGAAAAAAATGTTTGTCTCCATCTTCAAAATATAATCACTTCACAAACATGTGAAAACCTAACTATGTCACACCTGTGTTGGCGGTAAGATGCCAGCAGTTATTACATGTCCTAGAAAAATACACACCACAGATGGTGACAGGTGTGATCTTCTGCACTGTCCCCCCACTGCATACAAGCCCCCAGACACATCACACGGAGCAGGTGGAGTCCAATTCAGGGCGTGACTGTGGGGACAGCGGCACGCACACCAGTGAAAACTCAGCATCAGTATAAACACATTCACACGTCCTCACAACATGGTGTGAACAGTGACTGTGCGTGTACAGAGCAGAGACCGGCAGGAAGTGCAATGACACACCACAGCTGTACCGGATGTAGACATAATGGGGGTAGGAGTTGGGGTTCACTTCCCATAGTCCCCCAATCTCTGTATTGAACATGTATCACCTTTGAGCCAGGAAATACGTTAATTTAGGGTAAATACACACAAAAAGGACGACACATGCTGAGAACCAGAAACAGCTCTGCATGAAGATGGATGGGTCCGATATCATCTTCATGGTTTTTCTGCTTTATAGAGTTCTGGAAACTTTCTAGCACAACAGCCTAAAGTATATTATTTCACTTTGTACATTTCAAACACATACTTAATTAAAATCAGTTGACTGCAAAAAATTTAAATTCCTACAGAAGAATTAATACTTTAAGGTGAAAATAAAGATATAGATATTGCATTTTGCTAAAGCATGGATGGACCTGGAGAGTGTTATGCAAAGTGAAATAAGCTGGTCAGAAAAAGACAAACACCATATGAGTTCACTTATATGTGGAATCTAATGAACAAAATAAACTAATAAAATAGAAACAGACTCATAAATGCAGAGACCGACAGCTGTCAGAGAGTTGGAGATATGGGGAGCTAGCTGAAAATTGTGGAGGGATTAAGCAAGAAAAATAAAATAAAAACATATAGACATAGACAGCCCTGGCTGGTGTAGCTCAGTGAACTGAGTGTGGGCCTGTAAAACCAAAAAATCAGGGTTTGATTCCCAGTGAGGGCACATGCCTGGGTTGCAGGCCAGTTACCAGTAGGGGGCGCATGAGTGGCAACTACACATTGATATTTCTCTCCCTCTCTCCTTCCCTTCTCTTCTAAAAATAAATAAATAAATATTTTTAAAAAACCATATAGCCAAAGACAACAATATGGTGGTTACTGGAGAAGAGAGGTTATTTTACTCCTGTGTCTTTTACACATTAAATGGGAACTTGCTGTTTCCATTTTAGAATGAAAATGAGACCATTCCGACACCTTCCTATCCCGACAGTGAATGGCACCGTAAATATACATGTGTGGATATTGTCAAAATAAACTCCCAGAGGTGACACTAAGGGAGCCTGATCAAGCAATTGCACAGATATTTCTAGTCCTTTCTCCAAGGGGTCTGTTGTCAACCATTTAAATATTTTCCCTCTTCGGAAAATAATACATGATGCCTCTATGCAGATTTAACGTGTATTTGGTTATGAATGTGTTTATTTTCATTGAAGATATTTAAGGGCCATGTGTTTGGGGTTTTTTCCTCTTAATTTTCTGATAAGATACTAGCTAGCCCCTTTTCCTATTCTCATTCTTCGTTTACAAATAATAAGACCATCACTCTTCATTTCACACTTCTCCAGTAGAAATTAAAAACTCATCCAGACTGTCATTTGACTTTTGAGTTCATGTTTTTAATTTTTCAGGCAGAAATTTTTGAATTGGATCTTCTAATATTTCCTACTCATTTTATATTTACTCAAATTCTGAGTCTCGGTGTTAAATGTTTTTAACAAATGCACCCATAGTGTTTCTGACTTGGAAATCTCTTCAGTTAAAAAGTGTGGAGTGTATGAGTATATTTTCTTTTTCTGAACGCCTCTGCCATTGCCTAACACTGTTTATTAAAAACGTTGCCTTTGGCCTGGTCATTAGAGGGTGACTCTAATCACATAACAATCCCTTTGTACACATGTCTCTCTCGCACTTTCTATTCCATCCCCTTTCTACCTGCCCATGTGGTTCGACTGCAAAGGCCTCTTAAATAGAACATGCTGTGGGGCGAGCCATGACCTAATTTTTAATTTGCTTTTAGAGCATCTGTGGCTCTTGGTATCTATCACCAGGAACTTGGCAAAGAACACATCTAACTCCAAAACCAAAGCTGTAGGTATTTGTACTGCCCTCTCAGCTTTAAGATTGTTAGCAGTCTTTAATTTGACATTCCTAGTGACAGGGAACTAACGGGTGTTTCTGGCAAAAGTTCCTTCTCGCTTGCTGAAAGATTCAGGGTCTAAAACACAGCATGTTGTGAGGGGCAATGTCAGTGGTCTTTGCAGCCATCCAGCTCTTCCCTGTGCCGCCTGAGTGACAGGGAAAAGAAACCAATGTGACAGGGGGTGAGTCATGGGGACTTGGGCCTTTCAGGCTCCAGAAGGCTTCCATCTCACAAACAAATGAACACCAAGCACCTTCCAGGATCTGGCCAATCCACTACTCAAAACCCCAACACTGTGGCTGTCCCCCAAGGGTGGTCTACTAGGGCCTGAGTTTCTTCCAGCGCGGATGACATTTCCTCTTTACCGGGTTTCCAAGGAAACAGTGTTAGAAGGGAAATGCTGGGTTATTGTCCTACCAAGTAAAGAGAAAGAGTAAAACTGTAGACCATATTTGTGCTTGCAAACTTCAGGCTTTTGACTCAATGCCGCTGAGGCTTCCTCTTCCGTTTGCAGAAGTGTGCACGTGCATTCTTCAGAAGGACTAGGCTGTGGGTTTTCTCTGTGCCATTCTGAGCAATAGGAAGAACCAGCGCATGGGTTCCCTACACAGGACCACGAGGGCCAGTAGGGTGGGCAAGGCCAAGCTGAAGCCAATGGACCTCCCTCCCCCAGGAGGACAACCAAGCAACAGCAACATGGCTTGCTGGAGGCACTTCGGGGAATTGAAAGACACAGAGGTGGTGATTCCTACCTCCTCCCCATCAACTGGCCATTGGCTTGTGCAGAAAGCCCAGCTGGGACAATGACGGTGGATGACCGTCAGCCTGTCCACGTGGGAACAACCACTGCCCCTGTTCGCCTCCTGCTGTTTCCCAGCCTGAGCTGACTGGTTCCTCCCCGGGAACATCTTCAGCACCTGCTGGTAGGCAGCTCTTGACCTGGCGAATGCTCCTTTCTTCCTCTTTGTTGGGAAAAACCAGACAAAGCAGTTTTCTTCAAGGTGGCAAAGTAGTCAGGACGCCCGCCCTGTTTTACCTTCTGAGGACATCAATTTTGCGTCCCTCTGTCATCACTTAGTCTGCAGGAACCTCAACCACCTTTCCTGTCCACAAGAAATCACACTGGTCCCGCCCTGGCTGGTGTAGCTCAGTGGATTGAGCGTGGACCTGGGAACCAAAGGGTCACTGTTTCAATTCCCAGCGTGGGCACATGCCTGGGTTGCAGAGGGGACACACAAGAGGCAACCACACTTTAATATTTCTCTCCCCCCTCTCTCCTTCTTTTCCCCTCTCTCTAAAAATAAATAAATAAAATATTTTTTAAAAAAGAAATCCCACTGGTCTAAAGCACTGGTGACATTATCATCGTTGGACTGGGGAGCAAGAAGTAGCAATGACTCCAGACATACCGGTAAGACATTTGCTTGTCAGATGATAGGATTAAAGCCAGCAAATACTCAGGAGCCTTCTTCCTCGGTGAAAGTTCGAGGGGCCGAGGGTATGGGGCACAACCTAGCTGTCCCTTTTGAGCTGGGACACAGAACACCCTGGTCCGGCACCGCAACAAAGAAGTGCGACCCCTAGTGGGCATCTCCAGACTCGGGAGGCAGAGTCCTCCTCATCCCCATGTGCTACTTAGCCCATAGGTCCCCCAAAGCTGCCAGTCACAGAAGAAGAGGAGGCTTTGTCACGGGGCCAGGCTGCTGTGCACGAGGCTCCCACGGGGTTCCCTGACCCAGCCAGTCCGATGGTGCTGACCTGTCGTGGTCAATAAGGCTGATGACTGGAGCCTTTCACAGACACCTGTAGGTGAGCCACACTGTTGACCTGAAGGAAGGGTTTTGGAGCAAAGCCCTGTCACCATCCGTGTGGGGAACGGCCCCTGGCGGAGACCGGCCACATAGCAGCGGCCAAGCTTCCGTTCTGTTGACCATGCCAAAACCCAACCGTCACCTCGCCATTCCCTGGAAAAAGCTCTCCTTCCCCACTCAGTTCTGTAGGGGCAGGGCAAGCCACCTGTGTGAGTGCGCATTTCTGGACGCCCTTCTCCCCACAGGTCAAGGTGTTCGATACTATGACACTTCCCCACGGAGACAGACAGACAGACAATCTGTATTATCAATCAAGATCCTGAGGATTAAACACTCTCCATCTTGGTCTCTTTCAAGACTGTTCCGGCCATTTCTACGTGAGGTTTTGATTCATGCTGACAATTATTTTTGGTCAAATATGAGAACTTTACATAGTTAAGCATTAATTAAAGCATAAATGAATTAGGGAGAATTGAGATCTTAACGATAATAAGGCTTCCAATCTATAAATATCATGGACTTTTTCTTTGTCTTTAAATTTTTTTCAGTAATGTTTTATAATTTCCAGTGTAGAGATCGTATGAATATTTTGTCCAATTTATTTCTTAATATTTTAGGGTTTTAAAAAATCTTTATAAATGATAGTGTTCTTTTTAATTTTTAATTTTCTAATTATTTTTCTCTAATATAAAAGAACTACTTTTGTGTACTAGTTCTAGAAGCTCTATTTTTGCAGAAATCTTTAATTTATTTCTAAATTATAAAATTGTAGTTTACTCTTTTCTTAAAATTGTTATTCCTCGTTTTCAGGTAACTCTCATGAAGTTTATTGATCTGATATTACCATAACCACTCAATTTTCACACAGGAGTTCATACAATATTTATATTTTTCTATATTTTGCTTTCAACATGTTCTTTCACACTTAAATTATTTGGAAAACATTCTTATCCAACTGTACTTTACCTTGTTTTTCATTGACCTAGTTAATTTTAATTTAATATCAATAACTAACATTGATGGATTTATTTATACCATTTACCAATCACTTCTAATCTGTCCCAGCTACCTGTTTGTATTCTTTAAAATCCTTTCCTGCCCTGGCTGGTGTAGCTCAGTGGATTGAGCGCAGGCCTGAGAACCACAGAATCGAGGTTCGATTCCCAGTCAGGGCACATGCCTGGGTTGCAGGCCAATTCCCAGCAGGGGACACAAGAGAGGCAATCATACATTGATGTTTCTCTCCCTCTCTCCTTCCCTTCCCCTCTAAAGATAAATAAATAAAATCTTTAGAAAAAAAAACCCTTCCCTGCATTATTTTACATTAGTCTCATGCTTTTAGCATTTCCTTTTATGCCATTTTTGGTTATTAGTTATCAATTTTTAGTGGATTATCTAGGTCTTATATATACACCTTTCACCTGTCACAGACCCAACTGATAATGTATTTTTTGCCTCTTCATGTAAAATGTCAGAACCTTGCCAACATGTATTTTCTCCTATATTGCTTTTCTTACACATTGGTTTTAAACTCTACATTGTGTTTTAACAGATTTAAGAAGAGATATATATATAGTCTTCATGCACATTTTGTTCTTTCTTAGAAACATACACCTCTATTCTTAAACTCCGTCTTTACAAATTGTGTGTACTTTTCCTGTAGATTCTTTAATTTATATTTCACAGTCATTTTAAAGTGACATTTTTCTGACTTATTTTAGCACATTGTCTGTCTTTAGGTTTGTGTTTTTGATGGCCTTTTTCCTGAACACAGTCTGTGTTTTCTATTTCTTTGCATGTCCGCTCCTGTGTTATAGGAGTAGTCCGACCGGTCCGTTGGGCGGATGCCCTTCTTCGTCCAGCGACCCCTCCGCCCGCTCTCGCCTCGCTCCCTCTCCAGATGACCTTCTCAGACCTGCTCTGGTCTCTTCAGTCCCTTAACTTCTCTCCCCACATATCCTTCCTCATCCTCAATAGATGGCTTCTCCCTTCACAGAGGACATAGAAGCCATAAGTCATGAATCACCTCATTCCGTCCCCAATCCCAGTTCCTCCTCCAACCACGAACGAGTCTTTCTGTACTTGGGTCTGGAGTCCCAACTCTTTCCACTCGATCAGAACCATCTGCGATCCATTTGCAAACACCCTCTGTATCTTCCCCCTGACCTTCCTGACCCCTTCCCATTTCATTTGAAGATGCTCATTTTTTTCACCTGCTTTATGCGAAAAGACCTCCTTCGTCACTGCCTCCCCCTACCGGGCTACCTACCTCTGTCCCTTCACTCTGATACTTACAGACAAACACGTGACAGCCATGTCTCTGTTTTGGGGGGCCTTATATTTTTATTCCTCACCCTGCCACAAGTCTCAGTTGCCAGGTGATGATGCTGTTCCTTCAAAGGCGATGGGGAATGTGGGCCGTCTCCCCTGGACCAGCTCAGTCTTCCCTAACAGGTCCCTCGGTTATAGTGACAGCTTTCCTACCGCCAGTCACTAAACCCGGAGCCTCTCAGAGCCCTGAGCTGGGCCTGCCCCTAATCTGTGTGCCACCTTTGCTCTAATAGACATCTAACCGATGACTCTGAATTATGTAGGTGCTCTGTTCCTTTTTATCAATTTTCTAATTTAAAAAGAAATTTAAATTTCGGTTTCCACTCCATATTATTTTGTGCTAGCTGCAGACGCCCAGCATAGTGCTTAGACAATCACACACGTTACAAAGTGTTCCCCCGACATTTCCAGCACCCACCTGGCACTGTCTGTGTGGTCATCCCAATATCATTGACTATATTTCCTACTCTGCACTTAGCTTCCTCATGACAATTTTGTAACTTCCAAGCGGTACTTCTGAATTGCTTCAACTTTTCCACCCAAGCTCCAACCAGGACTCTCCTCTGACTGCCCCGCTTGTATGGCTGCCACGGTTCGGGTTTCCAGGGAAGCAGGGTGTGAGATGGAGATCAGCAGCCAAGAGGTTGTTTAGGGACTACTCTTTGGATCCCGCACCCCCCTGAGGAAGGGAAAGAAGGCGACAGGATGGACAAGCTGAACAGCAAACAAGTTTCTAACGGTGGTGTCTGCCACCTTTATGGAGCACTTCGAAGATGGGCCAACCCTTTAGAGTTAGTCTAAGCTGGGGTGAGGGGTCTTTTCTTTAAAACCACTGCTGACCACTCACCAATTCAGGCCCCCCTACAGGAGTTCAGACCCCTTAGGGAGCTGATCATTTTGAACTCCCAGCCACTGCAGAGAAAGTCGTTTCTGAAGGGAATCTTGGTGATGTATCACAGCATTAACCATGAGAATCAACTGCTCCCTTCATCTTGTTGTTTGGCAATGACATTTTTCATGCAAACATCTGCATCTGCTCGCCATTGGGTTACAGTGCTTCCTCCTCCAATGCGTCCTGTCCCATGGAGACAGAACCCCATCCACTCAGTCAAGCCAGAGACCAAGCGGGCCTCCTGGAGCCTTTTCTCTGGCTCCATGGCTCCTACTCCATGTCTGGTCCGGTACCTGACCAGACATGAAGTCCAGATGACTTCACGTCCTGTATCTCTCTTCCCTCCAGCTCCTGGGTGCTGTCTCCACTGCCACCTCCCACGTGACTGACCACCAAAGCTGGTACAGATGAGGACGTCACTGCCCCAAGTTCTTTTCCATGGCCTCTGTCAGATCAGTCTTCTGTTATTACAGTCACCTGTGTCTCTTCAAAAACCACTCTAGTGTCTCATTCAATCAGTGACTGTCAAAAAGTCTCCTCTTCACTGAAGAAAATGTTTTAATACAAGGTAGAGTTTCTTATCATTACTGTTTTTTTAAATATTGACTCAAAGATTGAATTAAAAATAATGGGAGTAAATGGACAATAGGAGACAAATATTTTGATGTGCCAATCAACAATATAATAGATGACAAACTAGAAATCAAAAGACTTGCTCTGGTTTTTATTTCTAGGTGAAGAAAATGTTTATCATAAATTATATAGATTCGAACTCCCAGGTAAGTGAAAACTTAGAGGTTTCTAGTCCAGCATTTTTCTTCTAAAAATTACATTTCTCAAACAATTTTATGATGTGTTGGAATACAATTCTTCTGCCACTCAATTTATGTCCTTAAGGGTTCTTGATGATAAAGTGGTGAACTGGACAGGGGGGTAGAGGATGGGGGGAGGAGAGAGAGATTTATGAAACAGGCATCATTTCTGTTTATATTTATTACAGTCTTAGCCCTTTGATAATTCATATAATTAGTTGTTATTTTTGACTAGGTACTTCTAAAGCATAAAACCACAATTGAAAAAATTAGGCCACCCATTCCTTTTTATAAATTTAATATCGTTTACTACATTAGCACTGTTTTATATTCCATTTTTCTAAGTTATTTACTTATTTTCTCTTAAAAATTAGAAATCCAAGATGCACTGAAACATTTAAATAATATATAACATTTTTCTCTTTTTAGTTTTATCACGATTAAAAATAAAAAAGTTTGCACACATTATTTTATTGTGTTATCTTAATACTTTTCAAAAAAACAGGTGGTTTTACATTTATCAAGAAGTTGAAAATCTGAGACAGACTTCCGCCAAGATGGAGGCATAGGTGGAAAAATTGTGCCTTCTCACACAACCAAGTATAAAAACAACAAAGTTTTAGCAACAAAAACGCAGCCAAACCTCAGAAAATTGAACTACACGGAAGTCTGACAATAACGAACCTTTCAGCCAAACTGGTAAGAGGGGCAGAGCCAGCAGCAGAGCGGGGTCAGCCAGGAAAGATCCACCAGACTGACCTGGGCGCACGACCCAGGCGGGCAGGCAGCCGTGGATGGATCCAAGGTGTGGAGTAGCAGCAGGGCTGCTACTGAGGTATGACCGAGGTCACACATTGGCGCCCAGATAAACCAGTGAAGGAGCGAGCAATGAGACTGAGACAGACCACACGGGCCCCAGTGGCAGGAAGCAGCAGAGGGGACTAGTATTGTCCCTCTCTGACCCCACCCCCACATACAGCCTCACAAACCAGCGACCTGGGTGGCCCCACCCTGGTGAACACCTAAGGCTCCGCTCCTCATACGTAACAGGCACAAACAGGTCAAAACATGGCACAAGAAGACCAGCTCAAAGCCACAGAGCCCATAACTCTAAGCGACCAAGAGATAGCCAAACTTTCAGATGTACACTTCAAAACACTGGTGATCAGGATGCTCACAGAACACGTTGACTTTAGTCATAAATTAGAGGAACAAATGAAGGCTAAACTAATTGAAATGAAGGGAAATGCACAGGAAACCAATAGTAATGGAAAGGAAACTGGGACTCAAATCAAAGGAGTGGGCCAGAAGGAGAAAAAAAATGACCAAACAGAAAAGGATGAAGAAACAAGAATTGAAAAAAATGAGGAGAGGAGACTTCCGCCAAGATGGAGGTTTAGGTGGATGTGCCGTGCCTCCTCACACAACCAAGTTTAGGGACAACTAAATAATAGCATCAGAAAACACAACCAGAACACGGAAAACTGAACTTTTCGGAAGTCCGCTAACAACAAATTCTTCAGCCCGACCGGTAAGGGGCAAAACCAGCGTCTGGTGAGGAGTTGCAAAGGAGGACTCAGTCGGACCCGGGCGCGGAATCCAGACGCGCGAATCCAGACGCACGGGTTCCAAACGCAGGATTGGACTTAGTGAACGACCGAGCAACTCACCGGGTGAGCGACTGCAGAGGAGACAGTGGGGAGGCGGTGCAGCGTGTTGACTTCGGTTGCCTATTTGTGGGCGAGCAGACAGACGAGGAAGTGGGCGGTTGGACCGGCCGCGGCGGCGGCGGCGGCGATAGAGGGCTGTAGCGGCGATAGAGGGCGCCGCCATTTCCCTGCTCTGACCACGCCCCCACATACAGCGTCACAACCCAGCGACCTGGGAGTCCAAGCCGCCGCTTCTCACATTTAAAGGGCCAGAACAGACCAAAAATGTCCCAGGAAGACCTCAAAGCCCCAGAGATAAATCTAAGTGACGAAGAAATAGCAAAACTCTCAGACGCACAGTTTAAAACACTGGCCATCAGCTTCCTCACAGATCTGGTTGATTATAGCCACAAATTAGAGAAACATATGAAGGCTAAATTAAGGGAAATGAATGGAATTCCACAGGAAACCCATAGAGATGAAAAGGAAACTGGGACTCAAATCAATGGAGTGGATCAGAAGAAAGCAAATAATGGCCAAACAGAAAAGAGTCAAGGAGCAAGAATTCAAAGAAATGAGGAGAGGCTTAGGAACCTCCAGGACATCTTTAAACGCTCCAATATCCGAGTTATAGGGGTACCAAAAGGGGGAAAGACACAACCACCAGTGGAAAAACTATTTGAACAAATAATAAAAGAAAATTTCCCCAATCTGGCAAAGGAAATAGACTTCCAAGAAATCCAAGAAGCCCAGAGAGTACCAAAAAAGTTGGACTCAAGAAGAAACACACCAAGGCATATCATAATTACATTAGCCAAAATTAAAATGAAGGAGAGAATCCTAGAAGCAGCAAGAGCTAAGGGGACAATCACCTACAAAGGAGTCCCCATCAGACTGTCAGCAGATTTCTCAAAAGAGACCTTACAGGCAAGAAGGGGCTGGAAAGAAATATTCCAAGTCATGAAATCTAAAGACCTACAACCAAGATTGCTCTATCCAGCAAAACTTTCATTTAGAATGGAAGGACAGATAAGGTGCTTCTCAGATAAGACCAAATTCAAGGAGTTCATCATCACCAAGCCCTTATTATATGAAATGTTAAAGGGACTTATCTAAGAAAAAGAAGTTAAAGAAACATGAACAGTGAAAGGACAACAAGCTCACAGTTATTAACAACCACACCTAAAACGAAAGCAAACTAAAAGAACAGCTAGATTAGGAGTGGAAATATAGAAATGAAGATCTCAAGGAGGGTTAGCAACAGGGAAGTGGGAGGAGGAGATGGGGGGAGAAGGTACAGAAAATAAGTAGCATAGACAGTAGATAGAAAATAGATGGGGGGGGGCAAGAATAGCATGGGAAATATAGAACCTAAAGGACTTGAGACACATAGACATAAACTAAAGGGGGGTAATGGTGGGGATGGGGGGGCAGGGTGGAGGGGAATGAAGGGGGGAATAGAACAACTGTAACAGCATAATCAATTTAAAAAAATAAATAAATTTAAAAAAAAAAGAAAAAAATGAGGAGAGGCTTAGGAACCTTCAGGACATCTTTAAACATTCCAACATCTGAATTATAGGGGTACCAGAAGGGGAAGAGGAACGGCCACGAGTGGACAACTTATTTGAACAAATAATAAAGGAGAATTTCCCTATTCTGCCAAAGAAAATAGACTTCCAGGAAATCGAGGAAGCTCAGAGAGTCCCAAAGAAGTTGGACCCAAGAAGGAACACACCAAGGCACATCATCATTACATTAGCCAAGATTAAAATGAAGGAGAGAATCCTAGAAGCAGCAAGAGATAAGGGGACAGTCACCTACAAAGGAGTTCCCATCAGACTGTCAGTGGATTTCTCAAAAGAGACCTTACAGGCAAGAAGGGGCTGGAAAGAAGTATTCCAAGTCATGAAATTTAAAGACCTACAACCAAGATTACTCTATCCAGCAAAGCTTTCATTTAGAATGGAAGGGCAGATAAAGTGCCTCTCAGATAAGATCAAATTCAAGGAGTTCATCATCAACAAGCCCTTATTCTATGAAATGTTAAAGGGACTTATCTAAGAAAAAGAAGATGAAAAAGATGAACAGTGAAAGGACAGCAAACTCAGAGTTATTAACAACCACACTTAAAACAAAAGCAAATTAAGAGGACAGCTAGATCAGGAGCAGAACCATAGAAATGAAGATCACATGGAGGGTTAGCAACAGGGGAGTGGGAGAAGGAGAAGGGGCAATAAGCTACAGAAAATAAGTAACATAGACAATAGGTAGAAAATAGATAGTGGGGAGGGCAAGAATAGTATGGGAAATATAGAATCTAAAGAACTTGAGACTCGTGGTCATAAACTAAAGGCGGGGAATGGTGGGAGAGGGGTGTGCAGGTGAAGGGAAATGAAGGGGGGAAATAGAACAACTGTAATGGCATAATCAATAAAATATATTAAAAAACAAAAAGAAAAAAAAGTTGAAAATCTATTTTTTAACTTTTCATATAAAAAAACTCCAGCCAGGGATGTTAAATTTGCATGTAGAAATTTGTTCCTGATACTAAATACCATAATTTTAATCATTGTTATGTACCTGCTCATCAATCAGTAGAAAGGTTGGTACAACTGTGTTTCCAGTCTTTATTAATTATCCATTAACTTATGCTGGGAAGTGAGGGAAAATATGATTGTCTAGCTCAGAACCCAGGTTAATTCTTCTACATTTTAATATCGCGTGTACGAATTGATTTATTTACCAAATTGCCAAAGTGGCGTGTGTATCACAAAGCACACACTGCTGTGGGTTCAGACAACTCAGGAAGCTTGTTGAATTAATGAATCCTTCCAGGCGCTCGCGTGGTTTAAAAAAATGAAGGAAATTCTTGTTTTCCTTTATAACGTCCAGAACCTGCAAGTGCCCCACAACCTAGTATTCCTGAAACTTACAACAGGATGCCCCCCTGACGAACAGCATGACCCAAACGAAGCAGCCGTTGTTACCTTTCTCTCTGGACACATCTGGGGTATCTCAGCTGCCCCCGGTCACAAACCACTCTCAGTGCAGACCCCGCACCAGATAACTCGGGCAGAACACTGTCTCCTTGGCAAACAAACTCCACATACTCGCCGTGGATGATAAATGGTCTGTTGTCGAAACTCCACTTCAGGAGTAAATTGTTTTGTGCCATTTCACTGAAAGATAAGCTGCAGGGCTCTGGAAGAGAAAAAGAAAGAATTTATCTCGATACGTGTTGGTACTACCAGGAAGTATTGTGTTCTCTCCTCATGATAACCTCAACATCTCCGGGCATTAGCAGGCCAGAAACGTTAGACAGTCAACGTCTGCGTTAGAAAACCTGTTCAGAGCTCATGGAAAACCCACCGTCATTTTTCTCTGTGCTCCACCGTGATGGAGGAGCTAAGAAGACAGTGACTTGCCTCATCTTTCTGGATGGAGGAGGCCACTCCTACCTGTGTTTCTACATCATACTCATCTTTCTGTTACAGTACCAATCACACTGAGCGCTCATCACTAACACATTTATCCTGACCACCACGGCTCATGGATCTGACCACCCCATACCCCACCAGTACCGACCTCATGGATGGCGTGTACCTAACAAGGATCAGTCCAAGCAAGCTGGGCTATAATTATTTACCACCTAGAGCAGTAGTTATCTACCTTTTTAAAAATCTCATGGCACACATATACAGATTCCTAAAATTCTGCATCACAGCACAATATGTATTACATATTTTTGCCAATCTGACAAAAAAGTAAGTCTAATTTTCATTCATTCACAATGGCGGCTGTTTTTGTATTGAGTGTTGTCATTGTTTCATCTGACAATGTAAGGGGAAAAGAGGGGAGCCCCCCGGAATAAACAGTCAGGTATTGCAAGTTTTAGAAATTCACGTGGCACACTGGCTGAAAATCACCGAGGGAAGAATAGAAACTAGGGATTAAATAAGCCTTCTAGCAAAATAATGCAAATGTAGGATGTCGAGCATTATATTCGTGTTGGAACAAATCAAAGAGAACCGGAAGTGAAAGAGAAGGTCATTTTATTTTATCCAATAGAGACGTGAATAGCAGCACGTACCTAAACAGGAGGGAGGTGCCGTCCACACTCCTTCTAAACAGTAGGACTCTTTAGACCCTTGTAGGAAGTAGAACTGGGAACACCTGTATTCCACCGAGGAGCCGTTTTCATAGGGCTCCAATTTTGATTGAACAGTGACTCCATTTGCAATAAGCGGAGGAGATGCACACGTTCCTTTAGATTCTGCAAAAGTACGTACAAGGAGATGCTGTAACCTGTGTCGGGTGCTCTTGTCATTGCTACAGAAAGACAATGAAATATTTCATGGAGAATCATGTAGAAGCTAAGCTGGCTCTTGAATAAATTTTAAATATCAGGAGCATTTCTGCAATGACTTCATAATACCAAATTTACTGTTGCCGTTAGAATCTCATATTATGGTATTTAAATATACATTTAAAATTAGCCAAGGCTTGACTATCATGATTTTATTTCTCTCGTTCTACCTAGCTGAAAGTGAAAGTGTATGCAACTGATTCTGAAGCCACCCTTTACATATTCTCTTCCTTTTTTTCTTCTTACACGTCAGAGTTTTAGGTCCAAGGAGCACATGGATCTGTCCCTTTGCACCAAACCCCCTTCTGAGAGGACACTCCCCAGCAAGCCCCAAGGTGAGCCATGTCTTGGAGTTGTTGATCGCTCTAGTGAGGGCGGTCGATCCTTGCATAGTCTTGATGGCATTTGCACAACTTCTGGATTTCTCCCTTTATCATCCTGACTGATTGAAATTAAGTGAGGTCAGCAGAGTCTCCCTCCCTAAGTAAGGCAATGGGCTGACTGGAAACTGATCAGACCACTCCCAGTTTTATAGATTCGAAGGCGATGGTGGCAAATCGCTTTGGGTCTTACACTTGGAATCCAAGGGGCGATATTGACCCCTTGAAAAGCTGTGGAAAGCGCTGTTGTTTTACCTTTTCTCACACATAAGGGGTATGTCACGTGCCCCCTGTTGCACTGCACGGACAATGCAGACAGTGGGGTGGATGGAGACGGATCGAACCCCTCTTTGCACACGAAGTCTATCAAGTCTCCGTGCAAGACCTTCCCGGCATATTTCCACTTCACCTGTATGTTGTTCGTCTCCATGGCCTCCTCGCTCACAGTGCACGGCTCTGTAAGACACAACACTCCTTTCCACCCTGCACTCACCTGGCCACTGTGAACGGGACACCGTCCCAAAATAGAGACAGGGACAAGCAGGACGGCGACACTGGATATTTGACATTTATCACGATTCGACCACCTCCAACATATACAGAATGAGCACTTACTTTTCATTACTACCAAATGGGTTTACACACTTCCTGTCTTCTTCGTGATATTCAAAATTGTAATGACTGACTTTATTATAATTTAAAAAATGTTTGCAGTACAGTTTTCATGCAACATTATATTAGTCTCAGGTGTATGACATAGTAATTAGACATGGATGTACCTTACACGGTGACCACCTGCTCAGTCTAGCAACCATCTGATGCCATACGCGGTTATTACAATATTATATTCCCTTGCTTTTGTAGTCTGCAGAGCTAATACTTTTAATTGAATGACGATTTTAACTTCCAGGAAATTTATCATTACTATTAGTAGAAGTCACAATGCCCCAAGTTAATTGCAACTGCAGTGACCAGTCACATGACTTTTAAATGTCACCCTGACTAGCAAAGTTATAAAATGAGGCAAAATTCGACGCTGAAAAGGACAAGTGAATGTTATTTTCTTGAAGTTATCTCAAAAGTTAGGTACTTGTTTAGACAGCTGCCCCAGTTCTCTCCGGGAAACATTACCACGAGCTCTACCACATCTCAATGCAAAATGTATTTAGAGTAACTACAAATACATCTTTATTTGCTCAACAAAGTATAAAAAAGGTGACGGAGCACTCAAGCAAAGAAGTGGTAGCAAAGGAACTAATAATAATACGCTGTACTACAGGATGAATTGGAGCCCTGGCTGGTGTGGCTCAGTGCACCGAGTGCTGGTCTGCAAACTGAAGGACTGCAGGCTCAGTTCCCGGTCAGGGCACACGCCTGGGTCTCGAGCCAGGTCCCCGATTGGGGACATGTGAAAAGTAACATATCATTTCTCTCTTTCTCCCTCACTTCTCCTCCCTCTAAAAAATAAATCTTTTTTTAAAAGAGTGAATTAGATAGATTAGGGTCTCTAAATGACATCCTGAGTACCATACAAGCAGAGACGTTGAGTTCTACACTAATAGGACATTTTAGAAAGGCAACCCAAAAAGTAATTAGTCACAAAAACACATAAAAACACTTAATGCCACTGAAATGCACCCTTAAAAGTGGTTAAAATATAAGGCTTTTTGTTTATATTTTACCGCAATTTTTTAAAGTAGCTGGGTAAGAACTAATACAGTCCCACAACTTAAGCTATTGGAGATTTTCTGCTTAGAGAAATGATAAGGGAAAAGTGTGAAAACATTTACACATTATTATGTCCATGCTACAAAACACTGTATGAAAATCACATAAAAATACGAACATAATGGTCAACACATTCTAAGAGAAATACGTTCTAGGGTCTGATGTGCAGCATGGTGACATCAGTTCACAGAATCATTCGCATGCTTGACAGTTACCAAGCGAGTAGATATTAAATGCGCTCATCAAAAATAACAACAGTCCTGGCTGGTGTAGCTCAGTGGATTGAGCACCGGCCTGCAAACTAAAGGGTCACTTCCCAGTCAAGGCACATGCCTGGGTTGCAGGCTAGGTCTCTAGTAGGGGACATGTGAGAGGCAACCACACATTGATGTTTCTCTTTCTCCCTCCCTCCCCCTCTGTCTAAAATTAACAACCAAAAATGGTAATTAGGGAGGGGACGGCTATGTAGTCACCCAACTCTGGTCCCTTCTCAAGGCTCTGTAAGCGCATCACGCCATCACCCTGACGCAAGGTTACACATCACTTGTCTCAGTGAAGCTGGGGAAGCTTTCGAAGAACGTTCAGTGCGTCTTACCTAAGCAAACAGGCGGGGCTGACCACTGGCCGTGCTGACAGCGAGACCTTTCGTCTCCCTTCAGAATGTAGTACTGGTGGCACTTGTACTCCACCGAGGAGCCCGCCGCATAGCTCACCAGTAACCGCTCGACAACAGCCCCGTTTGCAATGTCAGGCGGGGGCTTACACGTCTCCCTGTTTGCTGAGACAAAAGGTGGTTTCGACATTCCTGTGACTGCGGTGACGTAATACAGTTCCCCGTACAACAGTGCACCAAGGTCCGAACCATCTCATTTAGAAGACTGATGTCTAAATTCACCAGAGACCAGAAGTGTTATTCTGTTCCTCTTTTTGTCAAATGTCCTAAGCGAGACCAAGCGGCAAATGTTTTGCCCCAGATTGAGGATGAATGTTTTTCACTTTTCTGGCTTGTGAAAGAGTCATGATATACATATTCTTAAAAGGTGTGGAAGGGTAAGCAGTGCTCTTGAACCTGGCAATCAGGGGCAAGTCTAACTATGTCCCTGGTCATCTCCCAGGTTCATTTTCTCCTCCTTTCCCTGCGTCTCAGATGGCGGTCAACCCAGGGATCAAAATTTCCATTCCTCTTTCTCCTTAGAGTCTCCCGCTAACTCTGCTACTTTCTCTACCATCTCTACTAGCTTTTCTTTTATGCAGTAAATGCCCTCGGTGGGCGTGTTTCTGGAGGCCCCTCCAGGACCCGATGGAGAAACAAAAGGGGGGGAGCACGCCAGGCTGCGCCCTTCGGTAAAACGGAGGACCAGGGACCCATCTCAGAGGATGGAGGCTCAGAAGGGCCACATGTGTGAGGACTATCAGCAGGACTGACCCAGGGTCAGGAGCAGAGCGCTCTGACTTAGCAGGGGTGTCCCATCTGCAGCCCGTGGGCCACAACTGCAGCCCAGGATGGCTATGAATGCAGCCCAATGCAAAGTCATAAGTTTACTTAAAACCTTTCTGCCCTGGCTGGTGTAGCTCAGTGGATTGAGCGCGGGCCTGCGAACCAGACAATCGCGGTTCGATTCCCAGTCAGGGCACATACTGGGGTTGCAGGCCGGTTCCCTGCAGGCCAGTTCCCAGCAGAGGACGCATGAAAGGCAACCATACATTGATGTTTCTCTCCCTCTCTCCTTCCCTTCCCCTCTAAAGATAAATAAATAAAATCTTTAAAAAAAAACCTTTCTTTTTGCACCTCAGTTTTTGCTAGTGTTTATGTATTTAATGTGTGGCCCAAGGTAACTCTTCTTCCAATGTGGCCCAAAGACACCAAAAGGTGGGACACGCAATGTAGGACATAAAAGAAGAACAAGTAGGTAGAGGTCATGGCCAGTCCCTCAGTCCTTCATGTCCTTGCTCATCTCCTTAATAAAGCACAACGACACCAATAAGCTGTCATTTAAATCTCCTAGGTGGTGGCATCCAACAGGGCGGATAGGGGCGTCAGGCCTAACGTACATTCAAAAAACAGCAGTTTCAGACTCCTGTCTGCAGTGGTCTCCTGCCATGAGGCTATGGGTGAACTACAGGGAATGGGAATTTTGACACAATCAGGCACTGATGCTAAGACGGCACACATACCCACACACTCGGGGGGGCTCGTCCAGGTCCCGCCTTTACAGATTATTTCTTTTGGTCCACGGAGGTCGTAACCGCTTTGACAGCTGTAGGTCACTTTGTCTCCATTGTAATAAACCCTAGAGAGGAGGTTTGCTGCGCCATTCTCCACCGAGGGCGGCTCCCCACAAGCTGTCTTCTCCGTCACCTCTGAAAAGGCACAATTGCGAGAGAAGGGACCCCCTTAGCAACACAGGCCGGTGTCCTTTTGGGGAGAACTTAGGGGAGGTGTCGCTAACCAACGCATTTTGGAGGCTCCGTCCAGGTCCCGCTGTGACAGCGAATCTCCTCTGAGCCCTGAATCTCAAAGTCCGCCTCGCATTCTAACCGAACCGCTTCTCCGTGGTGGTAGGCTGTTGAGTAGGTCGGGATCTTGGAGTTCGGAGGCAGCGGTGGAGGAGGGCATCGGTTTCTTCTCCCTGGGGGAAAAATAACCGCACTTTTAGCCATCTAATCACCAAAAAAAGAAAGCAATATAAAAGATTTAGGAGGCGCGTGCATTGTGGGAACGGCTGCAGGGACCAGGGAGGAGAGACTCCAGCCTCACGCCCTCATCTCCAGTGTCCAGCAACCTGCAGCACATCGTCCCCATGAGCAGGAAGGGAGCCTGGCTTCCAACCCACGGAAGACAGAGCGGATGACGGGAGGGACGGGTGTGCGATGGACACAAGGTTTGCGGCCTAACAGCACGAAGCCCTTCTTGCAGAGAGAAGCAAGCTGCCTCACCATCGTGAGCTTCTAGGAGGCCAGGGCGGAGGGGGCGCTGCCTCCCTGCACAGCCAGAAGAGACCCACACCCCCTGTTCGGCAGCCCACAGAGCCCTGGGCGCCACCAGCAACCCCGTGAGCCCGGAGGCCAGTTCTTCTGCAGTAGAGCCTCACACGAGACCACAGCATCCCTCCAGCCAACAGCCGCTCTGGTAGACACGAAGCCGGCTGAGCTGCGCCGGCGTACTGACCCCCGCCACCGTCCAAGGACCCAAGGGTGCGCTGTAAGCTGCTAAGGTTGTGATGACGTGGCTACGCGGGATAGAAACCCGTAAAACTGCAAGCACTTTACATCCACAGGCTTGTCTAGCCCTAAAATAACCTTACCAAGTGGGGACTATAGCACCTCTCATATTCAAAGAAATTAAAACTTATAAAGCAAGCAAATTATTAGTAAGTGAAAGATGTATTCTTGAACTTGTGTCTCTCTGAATTAAAATCTGTCCTTAAATTTATAAAATACTGACTCTTAATTTCCTACAGCTGCTGCAGCTAATTACCACAATGCAGTGGCGTACAATAACAAGTTTATTTTTCAATAGTTCTAGAAGCCAACGTCCAGACTCAGCTTCAAGGGGCTAAAACTGGGTGTCAGGAGAGGTTCATTCTTTCTGGGGGTTTTAGGAGAAGCTGGGAGTCCGATCGAGCTCTTTGGAGCTTCTGAAGGTCACCTGCATTCCTGACTCACGACCCCTCTCTCCTGTGACTCCAGCCTCCGGCTCCATTGTTCCTCTCCCCCCTCCACACGAATGTCTTTTGCAGGTAGGGATGGGCGGGCAGGGAGGCATTATCCAGGCTACGACAGGGGGGCCTCCTGCTACCCACTGGTGACCAGAGAAAATACAAGCACACTTTGACACGCTGGCCAGTTTGGAGTGCAGTGTGCTTTCACATCAGGAAATGCGCGGCCACGCAAGACAGTTTCCCGCAAGGCTGCCAGCTCGGGATAGTCAGATCTAGTACTTCCCTATTAGGAAAATGTATTAGTTATAACCGGAGGTTTAAACTTTATAAAAGAGGTTGCTTTTAAAAAATGAGTTTAAACTGCATATCCGTCCTACAATCTAGTGCAAAACTTAAGATATCTTTAGATTAACTGGATTAAAGTTTTCTGAAAATAGCACTCATGTCAAAGGCAATATTTATTTTTTAAAAAATAGCACTAAGGACAAGAATTAGGTACCATCAAAGACATTTTTTTCATAGAAGTGGAGCATAGTTTTGTGTGGTGCCAGGTGGGTACTTGGGGGGAACCATGTTATAAAGTATATGATTGTCTAACCACTGTGTTGTACCATTGAAATGAATGCAGAATAATATTCAATGTGAACAGTAATTGAAAATATAATTTGAACTTAAAAAATATAGAAGTATTTTATTTTAAAAAGGGGGAGAAAGACAGGATATTTTACTTGTACATGTGAAATTTTAGAAATTACCTTCACATACAGGAGCTTCTGGGTACCAGCCAAAGTTATAGCACTGAATTAAATCAGATCCACTGAGGTAATAATTTTCATTGCAGAAAAACTGAACTACATCTCCTTCTTCATAGGTTTGCTTGACGGGACGAAAATAACCATTTTCTATTGATCTTAAAGAGGAGCAATTTAATTCTAAAAATAAAAAAAGACAAATAAAAACACAAAGAAGTGTTATTTTTCTTGCTAGAACACAATTCACCCACCACTTATATGTCATATCTGGATGAGAAATTACTGAATTCACCATATTTTATTATATAAAATAGAAGCTTGTCAATTTATATATTTCTTAAATATCATTAGGCTGGTTTTAATTCAATTATTTGAGCTAAAAGAATTTCTTTCCTGTGACACAGATTTTAAGGATCAAAGCCTACAGTCAAGATAATTAAAAGCAGAGGCAAAAAAAAATAATAAAACTGAACATAATTAGTATCACAACTTATACACACAGCTGCCTGAGAGGACATTTTCAGAGAGTGAGTGTTGGGGACGAGAACCTACTGGTGCATTTCGGTGGGAGGGACCAGCCATAGGCTCGACACTCAGCCTCCTCCGTGGCCCCTCCCCCGGCAGCGAAGTAGCCGGGTTCACACTGGTAGCGCACTGTGTCCTTCACACGGAACCTTCTCTGTGTCGTGGAATAATTTCCATGGTGCAAGTCCGGGGCCAGGCATGTCTCTACCAGAAAGCACAGGTGTTCACGTCGCGGACTTCGTCACTGAACTCGGAATAGCAAGAACAAACCTCCCAGTGAACTGTCACGGAATCATAACGATAGAGGGCAGAATCAAGCCTTGGAGAAAATGGAAAGGAGTCCAAGTTCGCTTTGCCTGTTTCCTTTTTATCTCACACACCTTGTGCCCTGGCTCCACCCGTCTTCTAGTCTTGCAGTTCAAGTCTAGTGTGTTTGACCAAAAGCCAAGTTCAACAGAAGGCTCCACAATTTTTGATCATGCGCCATTGTGGATTTGTAGGATTCAAACAACTTACGACACTCTACCAAAGTATGCACATTCAAATTATTGCATCATTTTAAGTATATCTGAGATTAGTCTGCAACAGAAAACAATGTACGTGGTTGCAGTATATTCTCTAGAAGAGGAAATAGTAATTTATATATGTTGCAAGACATGGGTTTATGGAGGTGTTTTCCTCTTCTTCCTCTTCAAATTTTTTTTAAAGATTTTATTTATTTATTTATTATTAGAGAGACGGGAAGGGAAAGAGAAAGAGACGGAGAGAAACAGCAAAGCGTGAGACGCACGGACCGATGGCCTCTCACGCACCCCAACCCCGGGGGACTTGGCCCACGACCCAGGCACGTGCCCTGACTGGGAATCCTACCAGCGACCTTTTGGCTCGCAGACCGGCACTCAATCCACTGAGCCGCCCCAGCCAGGGCTCCACTTGAACTTTTTTATTACCGGTGTAAAGTGAGAACAACCGGATTGCCTGTGTTGTGGGAGTTGAGAACCTTGCGTAAAGGAAACACCTGGCCTTTGAGAAAAATGATAGGAGGACCTTCTACAGTTGCAGACATTATGAAAATCCGATTATGGCCCATAGAAACACCCATCCACCTATGAAAATAGCGGCCACATTAAGCTCTTCTCACCCGGTTGGGAGATGATCCTTAGGCACTTACCCTGCTCCTTCCTGCAGGTGGGCGGAGAAGACCACCCCTCGGCCAGACAGCGCACGGCTTCTTCGTCCTGGCCCCCCGGGGTTTTGTACCCTGTGCTACAACGGTAATGCATGGTCTCCTGAACTGTGTACAACAGTTTTGCCTCGGAGATGTGCCCATGTCTCAGGTCAGGCTTCGTGCATTTTTCTATGGGAAAAAAACGGTCCTTTGCTTAACTTGACAAGATTAAGCTTGTCTTCTACTCAGTTGCAAAATGGAGGCTAAAGTTTAATCTTATTCTTGGAATTTTAAGGAGAAAAATGTTCACGCTACAGTCCTTGATTTCATTTAATTTTGGAAACAACCTACGTATTCTGCGTCGAATGTATTTAAGAACTGATTCAGTTTGACTGTATCATTCTTCAGTTCTTATACTCATTCTTCCCTCTCCCACGCCTACTTTTAGAAGAAACCCAGAGTAAAGGGCTGAATATATTAATGGCAAATAAAAAGGAATCTTTTGGATTTACTTCCCACTCTTTGAAGCCCACTGTGTTTGAGGACTTTTAACATCATTAACCAAAGCACGTTCCTACTCCCTGGATCTTTGACTGATTCCGCTCACATCAGCACTTGGCCGGTTTCACATGAGCACTTAAAGTTACTCAGTCGCGTCTCTGTTCCTTGCAATGTGGGGCATATCGATTTCGGTGATTATTTTGATTTTCTTGACAGGGAATTAGGAGCAAATTAAAAAGTAGTATTTTAAGGAGAAACATTATTTCAGAATATGCCTTCATTTGCAGGGGAAAAAAGACAGTGGACCAGTCCTTTCGCTGTTCCCTACTGAAAGGAGTCACCCTCGTCTTGGCCCCTTGTACGTGTGACCGAAGAGTCAGGCAGACGCGCGGCGGGGACTTACTGAAGCAGGAGGGCTCTGGGGACCAGCCCTCGGCTGTGCACACCGTTCTCCCCTCTTGCTTCCCCGAGAGCGTCGTGTGACCCGCCAAGCAGGAAAATGACAGTTTTTGGTTTACACTCATCGGAAAGTAGAAACTTTCAAAAGTATAGTAATATAAGGCAATCCTCCCATTTTTCACACGAGGAGGACCACAGGGCTTCTCTGAAATGAGAAAAGAATCAAGCTGGAAACCGAAGAACGGATCCAAGACCATGAACTTGGTGGCCGAGCGACAAGACATGCACTTCAAAGCGTTTGCAGGCATGGTGACGAGTACTTATTTCTACGACCTCAGGTTTGAAGTAGTTCTGTGACGATCCTTTCCATTCGGACCTAACCTGCACCCGGCCCCAACGCCGGACAAGCAGCCCGATGGACACTGGGCAGGCCGCTGCCAGGGCGGAGAGCCCTGGCGTCATAAAGCAGTGCTTTCTACCGGAAGCAACACGCAAGCCACATGTCACTGGAGGGTTGCTGGGAGCCGCATTAATAAAAGGGACAGTCAAAGGTAACTTCAACAATAGGTTTCACTTGCCCCGGTGTGTTAAAAATATTTTTCATTGTTTTTTTTTCTGACTAACTCTACGTGGCGGTGAGTCTTGATGGAGAGAGCGCACACCCCAGTCTGGACCGGCCACACCTCCGCAGCCGTGAGTGGCCCTGGCCAGCGTACCGGGGAGCTAAGTTTAGGACGGGTGAAGTTCAACTTCATGTAATTAAACCTGGGATCGGAGTGGGAACAGGAGATCATGGTCTGTCTTCAGGTGGCTTACATACGTCTTTTGTGTGTGCAAAAGAAGACTTTAAACATATAACAATCAGAACGTGCTGGAATATTGCAATGTCTTCATGGTAGATCTAACAGGCAACTGTCTCAGCTGGCTTTTCTATCCTGATTTAGACAGAAAAGTAAAACCAAAGGAAAACATTCAGGCAAATGCTATCGTATTGTGCAATTAAGTGTATAAAAGGAGGGTGTATTCTAATTATTTCGCTTACATAATTTTAATTGCAGACCCTCTTTTTGATAGAAAATGTGAAGTAAACTATTCAACTGAGAGCAATTATAATGCATTTGGACATTTTATTTTGACAAATGCCCTCTGGGGTTTACTTTAGAAGAGTCCACTCACTGGGCTTTCCTCCTTTGCCGTCTCAGACTGTCCGACATGGGATTACCTGCTGAGTTTCTAGCTACCTCTGCAGCCGACTAACACCATCAGCTGGTTACAGCACCTCACCCCCCACTAACCTCTCACTGGGCCCTTGGACAGTAAAGATTTCTTACCTGTACAAGTCAACAGCGACTGGCTTATCTAAACAGTCCTCCCTCACAACTGCTGTCCCTCGGGACTGTTAATACAGTCCCTTCCCCTCCCAAGTGTGTCCTCGTTTGTGGCACCAGGAGAGGGTCCTCCTGCTAATCACTACTCACTGACTTCAACTAGTGAATAAATCAGGGTGAGAATCAATTTCAAGAGCCGGAAACCTTTCTGCTGCTTTATGGCTCTTGCTTTTACACATTCCCCCCACTCCGCTCTCCCCTTATGGACAGAGAATTGGGTTGGCCCGAGGTCTGCAGTGCGAGGAACGGATTGCACTAGGGCGTGACTGCGGAGGGTAGCACTGCTGCTGCTGAATGGCCACACCGTGAGCCTGAACCCCCTTAAAATCCCTGCATCTTGTTCTCCTGTGCCCTGAGTCCTGGAGATGCCAGGGGTCTTGGGTCTTCTTCCATTTTTCTAAGTTGTGTTGCCATAAGAATCACTCACTATGTTTTCCCCAAAGGGATGCAACCTATCTAAATATTATAACAAATTATAGTTATAAGAAGTATGTTTTTTTATAAAGTGGATACAGAAAAATGAAAGCCTCAGGTATTAAAAGCTCAAGTTAAATGAAGATTAGAGTTTCCTTGGATAATTTCGAGAGAATAAAGAGTAGGAAAAATTAATTTTACCTTCTGCATAGAGTTCTCCTGAGAGGATTAATAGGATAATAAAAGCGAAGGCTTTTGATCTCATCTTCAATGGTGCGCTTAACAAAGATTTTTAACAATTTGAAAGCCCTGGGACTCTTCAGTAAGTACATAATACTTCTCTGCAAGAAAAAGTTAATTATTTACAACATCCGTCTAAGTTTTTGGGAAACAAGCCTAATGGTTCAGCTAAAATATTTTTGAGTGATATTAAATAACGGAACTAAGTTCACCGACAGTACTTTTCACGCCAGAATCCAACGAGACCGCGATAACCTAAAAAGGCAACAGGAGCAGCAGCACAAATAATTAACTCAGGCTAACAAACTGGGTACATTTTCACCTGGATTCCCTATTAGAAGTCCAGAGCAAAGTTCACTGCTGATTTCTCTGCCGCCTTTGATCAAGTGGAAAGGAGAACTTCTGGACAGCATTTAATGAACGACTGTTAAAATACGGTGTTGTCTCGGTCACACTGACTGCAGAGAAAAATGACCTCAATCATTTTAAGCAATGAGAGAACAATGTTATTGATGATAACAGCTAATTCCAAAGAGTTTGTGTTTATTCGGTGGCAGGTGTGATGTATCCTCAGGGTCCTGGGTGCCTACCAGGCACCAAAGCCATGTTCATTCACCTCTTGTGTAGAGAGAAGTGAAAAACTAGATGAAAAAGGCCACCCTTGGCAGCCTGATGCATTCGTATGGGTTTTAATTTAAGCCACAAAATAATAACGCTGTCAGGGGGAGAGCCAGCATGATTTCGGTTCTGTGACTTTTTGAAGCACAGCCCATTCAGAGAAGAGTGCGCGTACCGTAAGGTCACAGGTCAGTGGGTTCCCCCGCCGAACCTTCAGTGAAACCAGCACCAGAACAGCAGACAGAGAGAGGCCAGCCCAGCGTTGCCCTCCAAGCCGCCGCTGGCCACCCGGGAACACTGTCGTGCCTTCTGGCAGCATAGACAGGTTTCACTGGTGTATCTACATAAACAAAACCATATCGCGTTTTGTTTCTGTCTGACATCTTTTGTTTAACCTTCTGTCTGTGAGATCCATCCATTTTTCTGAGTGGCATTTCGTTCTGTTCCTACGCCACAAGTTCCCTATGTATGCGACTCTTCAGGGACATTCAGGTGACTTCCAGTTTAGGGAAATAATATGGGTTTGGCTCGTTTTCAATGAATTTTTTTTATTCTAAAATTGTCAATCATCTCCACCAGTGAGATAGGGCATGCAGACAAATCGCCACAACGAATAAGCGCTACAGGGACTATGAGAGACAGAGGAAGAGCGCCCCCCAGTGGATTTAAGCCTTAGAACCAGCAGGCAGCAGCGGGAGCCCGCAGGCGGCTGACCTCACCTGCAGGAGTCCCTCACCCAGCGATCACCAACCCTGTCCATCTCGTGGCGCACGTAAACAAATGACCGAAATGCTGCAGTACACCAAAAAATATACTTTTTCTGATTTGACAGAAAATAGGTGTACTTTTGATTAATCCACAAAAAAATAATAGTAATTATCTACCCTTTGTGCTCCAAAGTGACTTTAGAAAAGCAGGTGCCTATCCTTGTGTGTAAGGATTCGTGGTACCCAGAACCAGCCAATCAGATACAGCCTTAACAAGCAAACACATGACCCATAGGAGACCACTCTATTCTGTGACCTGCATATTTATGGTCCAAGACGGGGCGTGCACACCAGACAGCTGTTGTCGTGCTGGCCGTCGGCATTTTTCAATTTGACAATCTAAGGGAAAAGAGGTCAGTGCCTCTGTGTAAATAGTCAGGGGTTGCATGTTTTACAATTTCTGCCACGCGTTGGTGGAAAATCACTTCCCCGGGCCTCATTTCACACTCATCGTGATGCCTAATCATCCTCAACAGCAGCCCCTCCCCACACCCCTGTGACAGGAAACAGAAGCCCGAGTAAGGACAAGACATGGCCCACAGGGCTCTTGTGGGAAGTCTCCGCCCCTTTCCTGGAACCATCCTGGGCATTCCTCCCCTCAGTGATTGATTGAATGCCCCGCCCCTCAGTTCAATGAGTCTCAATAATAAACTGAATCCCTCTAAGGAGGAGCTGCCTGCCCGTGGCGGAGCCCACTCCCTGCCCTGCTGCTTCACTGATGAGCTCTCTTTCCCTTTAAACTCCATGCTGGTTAGTTTTTGAATTCTTTCCTGTCCAAAGTCAGGAATCCACAGCGGGCCGTGAATATTCAGGTCCCAGCACCCAGAATGCTTGTATCACCTGGAGTCTACTAAGAACACCTCACACTTTGAAATCACGTATTGAACCACCTCTCCACCCATTCTTGTTTGGATGCTTTTTAAAGTAAGTTGCAGTTATCTGTGTGTACCTTTCTAGAGGCTTAAGCAAGCATATCACTGACTCAAATTCACTGGTTTTTACAGATTATTCTTTGGATGTGAAATGTACAAAGAAATACACAACTTCTTTAAATTTTTATTTTTTTAGATTTTACTTATTTATTTTAGGAGAGAGGGGAACGGAAGGAGAAAGAGAGGAAGAGAAACATCCACGTTTGGTTGCCTCTCTCGTGCCCCCTACTGGGGACCTGGCCCTCAAGCCAGGCATTTGCCCTGCCTGGGACTCAAACTGGCAACCCCTTGGTTCACTGGCCAGGGCTCAATCAGAGCTACACCAGCCAGGGCAGAAATGCACAGCTTTCTCAGCATACCTTCCATGCATCTTGAACAGTGCACACAGCTGTAGACCACAACCCTCTACCAATTACTGTCCATCCAGAAAATTCCGTGTGCTCCCTCAGAGGCATAACCCTTCTCTCCACTCCCCTCTAGGCACCCAGGGTGCCAATTTCTCCAATCATGAACGTGGAAATCCACAAGCGCTCGTCTGCGTGAGCCTACCCTCACTCAGCGTCATGTTGGGGACTCATCCATGTTTTCGTGAGTACAGGGGCTTCATTGTTATTGTGAAGCACTTCCAAAACCAGGCAGTGACCTTGGAGAGTGCGGATGTTGAAGAGACTTGTCAGGAGCCACAAGACTAGGAAATGTTAGAGCCAGGGTTCAAAGAAGGGCAATTTTAAAGATGTAAACTACATAAAGAGGCATCAACATGGAATATCTAAGTTTTTAATCATGCAAAGTTCCTACCACTTACTAATTTTAGTAGCTATAGGATGTATATTGCATCTAGAAGTCTAATGAAATGAACAAACATTTAACTTTTCGAAAGTTACATCTGGAAAAAATCTTTTCTTTCAGGTAAGAACAAAGGTGAGCAACACAATTTTGAAGTGTGTATTTTTTAAAAATCAATCTGTTTACCTGGTACAAACGTCCAAGGGCATAAAGTAAAAAGCTGCTGTCACTCTCTTGTCTCCTGGCCGCCCGGCCCCACCCCCCAGCAGGTAAATAACGCCCTTAGCACCTCTGTGCTCCCTCAGAGCCGTCCAGGCTCACACACACAGACCCGCACCGTCTAGCACATACTGCATAGCTCCATAGCAGTGTGCAAACGACTTCCTCCCTCCCCAATCAGCAACGTCTTCCTGTCTGTGGACATATAAATTAAGTCAAGTTCATGACTGCTGGACAGTAGAGTTGCTAAAATGGCTGCAACGTCTAGTCCTGCATGTGTCTTCTTGCATGTGTGGCTATCAAGTAGAATAAGTCCCCAGAATTTAATGCGCATTTAGGATACAGAGAAATACTGCTAAACTTCTGCAGTGGGGATGATGCCAGCACACTCAGTAACACGAGGGGCTGTTTCCTCACAATCCTGACACTTGGCATGTGCAACGTGAGGGACACAAACATCATCACAGCATCATTTAAATTTCTCGTACAAGTGAGATGGCAGAGTTTTACATGGATTTGAAAGGCATTTTAACTTCATTTCTGTGCATGTTCTAGCTTTATTTTTCTGCTGACTGGTTGAGTTTCTCTGATAGATTTCTAGGGACTTCTTATATATTCAGGAAAATGTAATGGGTGTGTGATTGTGAGTTGTGTTGTTTTTTTCTTAGTGTGCAATTCATCTCCTAAGTTTGTTATGGTACATTTCCCAAGTTAATTAACCATCAACATTTTTGGACGTGTGCTAGCTAAAAATCACTGCAACGTTGTATTTTAAAATGCCACCTCATTTCTTAGAGCACTTCTTTGGTCAAATTGTAGAATCGATGAATATAAAATAAACCTTTGTGAATGGTGTCACTGAAGTCCACAGCTCATTTGTCTCCAGAGGTGCCATGTTGCTCCAAGCATCTATCAAATAATTCCTTTTTTATCACCACTGATCCGAATCTCCACTTTTCTCCTATGCTGGACTCCAGTGTACCTTTCAGGTTGTCCTTGCAGATTCCATGTTCAGTACTCACTCCTGTCAGGACCTCAGCCCCGAACTTCTCCCTACACCCGCCGCAGACACGCGTGATCATCTAGTGAGCCCCGTCTCCCTCTGTGGTCTTCTGTCTCGGAAATGTCCCGTCTGGCTTTGCCTGCCTGTTTACTGGAATTCTCCTTCTCTGCCTACCACGTTTTCAGGGCGCCAAGAATCAATGACTGGTCAAAGTGTAACAGGGTGCAGCCAAGAGGGGGGTGCCAAAAAGGGATTTGGAATGGGGTCCAGAACTCAGGGTGTCCAGGAAATATTAGAAAGACATATAAGATGCCCTCACCCCTTACCCACTGCCCCCACCGGTGTCAGGTGGGGGAAGGGACACACGGAGCAGGAACATGCAGGGCTGTTTTGTACAGCAACAGTTTCGCAGCTAACCTCTGCCATGGTTATTTAACACATCTATAACCATTAACTGGCTGCATAGATATGTTAAATAGCTGTGGCTGTGCTCTGAGCCAGGGGGATGGAAGTGACTTCACCCAAGATGTAACCTGGAGGCAACTCCCACCCCCCCGTTACAGCGCCTGCATTAAAGCGTGGAGATGACTGGCTCCACGCCATGGGGCCACACCTGCCCAGACTCACGATGGCAGCCCAGTAAACTTGGAATAATACAGGAATGCTGGCAGGTGTAGCCAATTGTGGGAGGAGCCAGAAATGGGACTGCAAAGGGGGGCTGCAAAGGAGGGTTGGCCTGGGGATTTAAAACCCAGACACGACAGCCATTGGAGGGGTACCACCCGGCTTTGCCAGAGTGGGGACCCCTGCAGCCGTGTGAGGAGAGGGAACCCCATGGCTGTGACAGGGCACTACCCTCTCTGCAGCTCTGGTGGAGGAAAGGGGAGACTTTGCCTGGAAGAAGGGTGAAAGAACTCTTTGCCGGTACCACGAGAGGGTGCCACATGGCCTTGGATTAACTGGAGATCCTGCCTGGAGGGCAGCACAGCTGACGGTGCCAGCGGCCTGAAACACAGATGTGTGCCTCTTCTGAGATGCAGTACCCCGAATTAGGGCAGGGGGAGAAGGGAGCGCTGTGGGTGTCTGTGAGTATCCTAAAGAACTTCGATATATTAATGGGGACATTGGGTCACTACTCTAAGTCTGTATAGCTTTAAAGAAACCTTTCCTTTCCTTTTCACAAATCTCTGGCTTTGAGAGACGTCTTTCCTCTGGCGGCAGACAGACAAGCCCAGTAGGTGGTCCAGATGAAATTAGTATACCATCCTTGGGAGGAGCCCCTGTTCTGTAAATTTTTGGCATCCCTGAGTGGGCTAAATATTCCCCCCACCTTGGACCTCTTCGGTAACAAAGCCATGTAAAATTAAAAGCAGGCTTATTAGGACCCTTACCTGATAGCAACAAACAATCTAAAAGACAGTATTTTTTAATGAGTGTTCTTAAAGTGCCAGGCTTTCATTGCTAAGAACAAATATTATAACTTCTAGAAAGAATAAACCTTGAAAAAAATCACCCACCCATGGAGAAAAACTTGACAACTTAGAATACAGATTGCACAGTGTAATTTTTTTCTTCTTGAGATGAAGCCAATACATGGCTCAATAGATAACAAGCCGAATTACGGATATATAGATAAAAATTTCCAAGAATGTAAAAGCATGGGCTTTATTTGTAAAATCGTAGCTCTGCAATATTATTCATTTGTGCATTTTACACTGAATTTAAGATGTCACTACGAGCAGAAGGCCATCTACTGGAAATTCGGGTTATTACAGTGAAGAAGACAAGGAAGTTGAAACTCACCTAACTTCACGACCAAAAACTCACCTAAAATAAAACTAGCTTCCAGTGAACTTAGAATTCTTCTTTAATGTCATACAACCACTGTAGCAATGGCTTCTTCTATAGTAAAGGGCTCAGTTAACTTCTCACCCAGCCCTGCCAGCCACCACCCCACACAGATTCACAGCCTTTCAGCTCTTAGGAAGGCTTAGACTCCTGATGTGGATTTATTTAACACCTAAAATTAGGAGAAATATTCTCCATACCAAAATAGGCTATCACGGCCCTGGCTGGTGAGGCTCGGTGGATTTGGAACAGGGTGCAGCCAGGGAGACCCCAAATAGGGATTTGTAATGGGGTCCAGAACTCAGGGTGTCCATGAAATATTAAACAAATATGGAATGTCCTAACTGCCCGCCCTCCCCTCCCCTGCAGGTCTCAACTGGGGGATGGGACACATGGAGTAGGGCTGTGGAGAGCCATTTTGCATAGCGACAGGTTTGCAGATAACCTCTAGAACAGTCACTTAACGTATCTATAACCTTGAACTGGTTTCATAGATATACTAAATAGCTGTGGCCATGCTTTGAGCCAGGGAGAAGGAAGTGACTTCCACCCAAGATGTAACTGGGAGGCAAGTCCCTCTGGTTACAGCACCTGTGTGAGAGCTTGGAGATGACTGGCTCCACACCATGGGGCCACACCTGCCTAGACCCACTATGGCAGCCCAGTAAAGCTGGAAGAATACGGGAATGCTGGCAGGGGTAGCCGATGGTGGGAGGAGCCGGCAATGGGGCTGCAGAGGAAGACTGGTGTGGGGATTTAACCCCAGGCGCGGCAGCCATGCTAGGAGGGACCACGCAGCTTTTGGAGAGAAAGGAAGAACCACGTGGCTTTGGGGTTCCTTTTGCCATGTAGCTCAGGAAGCCAGAAAGCAAGTTATAGCAGCGATACAGAGTTCTCTCACAGTTTGGAAGGATGCAAGAGAGACGAGGCAGAAAGGAAAGAGGTGACATGAGACTTGCTGGTGGGCCAGGAGAAGGTGCCACTCGGGTTTGGATCGAGACCTGGAGATCCCGGTGACACAGGTGATGGTGCCGGGAACCCTGGGAGGCCTGCCCGCCGAGCACGGATTACTGGGAAGAACCAGGGCTGCCTGAGCCACGGACCTCTATTTCCTTTCCTGAGATAAGTACCGCGGACTGGGCAAAGTGGTGAAGGAAGGACTGTGTGTGTTTGTGGGTATTTTAAGGGACTTTGGGATTTCGATGAAGACATTAAGTCATTACTCTTAAGTCTGTGTAACTTGAATAAATAATTCCTTTCCTTTCCACCAGTCCCTAACATGGAGAGCTACATAGTTCTCTGGTCATGGGAAAGGCGAACCTAGTACAGGGGACCCCAGGAGAAGGGAAGGTCAACTAGGAAACACTGTGGGACCCCCTGCCCTGGCGGCCAATCCGGGAAAACCATGGGAGACCACATGGGCGGTAGGAAAGTACTACAACTACTTGTACATGCGCAGTAAAAGTCCGCCAAAACCAGCCAGGAAGGATCCGCCCTAGAAGGAACAGAGTCCCTCCAGCCCGTGAGCTCAATCTCTGCTTGGAGTTGGCCTGCTCTCATGTTCTGTGCTATAAACTCTGGGTGTTCGGTTCGATTCTTTGTCCCGATCACCAAGAGCCTGTTTACCTGTGCCCACCTGTGGGAAAACTGCAGGAAATTTCAGACCAGTGAGGTGTAATCCTTATTCTAAAAAATTATTAAATGAAGCAGTTACATGGGCTCTCCGGTTTTAGCTACTACTGATTTTACGCTACAGATTTTCAGGGCTTCCATTCGTTTACAGACTTCAGAATCCCGTGAGATCTCAAACAGCCACCGGAATTGGGCTGCCCTGGAAGCACCCGGGCTCAGTGCTGATAAGTGCGACCCAAACGTATGGACAACCAGTTCGTTTCCACACAGAATCGCCTCAGGGCCGCAGCTCGGGACCGGAGGACAGGTTGCCATTCTACCCGATGCCCTGGGCTTCTCTGGCCACAGGGGCCCCGATGGGTTCGAAAGGAGACTCTGAAGGGTCTGGTCTCCCCGGGGGCTCGCTGCCTGTCGGAACAGTCCTGTCGGGACAGTCCAGTCAGTCCCAGAGACAGAGGGGGACGCCGTCGGTCAGCCTTCCTGGGGGTATTTTATCCTCCTAGCGCTGTGAGTGGGCACAATCTTAAATTTCCAACCTTTGTGACAGAACCCCCCCCCCATTACCCACATGACAGAGCTAATTAATGGTTCCATTGCCCTTAGGGACAGGACAACGTTCAGACTAACAATGTTCTAAGATAACGGACATAAATGTTCCAATCATTTTCGGAACGTTAGTCTCCTGCATGCACAAAGCTGTTAATAAAACGTGAACATGGAAATGGAGTTTTCGCGGCACATTTATTTTTTAATTTTAAAACAAAAGCAACTTTAAAAGTTCTACCCGAAGAGCCAGAATACTTTATACTCGTGACCTGCTCTCATGGGCCTCTGCCCCGAGCAGGAAAGGCCTGCCCCTACTAATTTACTAAAAGGGGATGCCCAGCGTGTCCATCACCATCTGAATGGCGTGCAGGGGGTCCCCAATTTCTTGCATGTTATCCCGACTCAAAACCCAGTCTGGCTGAAGCCTGTGAAAAAATAAAGGCCCCGCATTATTCAAGCTCTTCTCTCAGAAGAGTCTTCGCCCCGGGTCCCAACTAAGACCTGCCTGACCCCGAGCCTCCCTGACACCAGGCGCAGGCATCACTAAGGCCGTCCTCCCAGCAGGTGACCCACCCCTGTGACCAACCAGCCCTAGGCCACTTAGCTCCCCGCTGCTGCCACTGGCCGCGCGCCAAAGCCGGTGCTCCCCGGTTCTTGGTCTTCTTGGGCCCCTGTCACCATTCTCAGCAGCTTCCACAAGCTCCCCTGTCACTGTGCCCCTTCCCTTCTGTCCCACCTCAACCAGCCCCTGCTCGCACCATCAAGGACACGCCGTCACCAGAAGGGGCACCGCCCCAACGTCTGCACGGAGCCTCCTGCCCCCACTGCTGCTCTGTGCCCCCTTCACCTGACACGCCCCCCTGCGCCAAGTCCTCCACCCACACACGTCCCTGCGCCAGCAGCCGGTGGACGGCTGCCCGGTCCCCTCCTGGTCCAGCTCAGGCCCAGCAACTCATCCCCTTTGCTAACGCCTCTGACTGCAATCCCTCCGTCCGACTGAGTCAGCTGGACAGTCCCGCTCGCACTTCAGGGCAAACCTGCCACCTGCCACCCCCACACTGTTGTTTGTGGCCGTCTCTCGGCTGATGTCCGCTGAACGCACAAACGGACGGCCACGCAAAACCACAGAGCACAGCGCCCGCTCACCTCGGAACTGCTCTGGTTCTCACAGCTGTGTCGGGAGTGAAGGGAGTGCTCAGAGAACCATTCTTATTTTCTTTACAAGGCATTCTTTCAGTGTTCACCGTGCGTTTACGAGCCGTGAGCTTGTAGACACTGTAAACACAGTCAACAACGTCAGGCCTATTCCGGACGTCCTGAAAAAGAAAAGACACACTGAGTGAAGCTAGTAAGACGTCAACCTTACATTCCGTCTGTGCGACCAAGATCAACCCTAATAAATAAACGCTGTGCAGTGAACTTGTGAGCATCTAACAGCCAAAGCCCAAGCTCTCAGAGTTCAGAAGTTAGACTGGTTTGCACTATAAACTCATTTGTAAGACAGTTATAAGGGACACACACATTCAAAACTGTGCACTTAACACGGAATAGAAAGGCCAGTATGAGAGCCAACACCCTTACACTCTGTTACCAAGCTGGTGACTTAACCTCTTCAGAGCTGCCAGGGACGCGGCCCTCAGGCACAGCCTCTCGCCTGGACCACCGCATCTGACGCGTGCCTCTCCACTCCACAGCCCCCCACATCCAATGTGCTCTCTCAAATGCACCCCGCAATCAGCAGCCACAGTGACGTGAAAACGCAAACCAACGCAGTAGGACTTACGGAGGCTCGGCCTGTTGCCTTCAGTACGACAGCTAACAAACAGCAAGTTTTGCTGAAAATGCTTCTGCTCTTGTCCGCGACTTTGTCGCCAGGCTTCTCTCGGTACCTCTGCAGAAGCTGCAGCAGGGTGTCCACACAGGCCTCGTCGCCACGGACCGCTGGCGTCGTCTTCTCATACTTGAAGGGAACAGAAGGAGACTGAAAGTTACGACAATCACAGGTATTCTTAGGAACAACCTGGCCCAAAACATACATATCATATTCTTACAGCCAAGTTTTGGGTCATCAGCGGCAAGTGCAAATGACTCAGTGAAGGGACTTGTTGGCGTCACTACCGGTTCTAGGTCCATCTGACGGGTGCACCTGCACTGTGACTTTCCCTCCCCATTTTAACTTCCACACACAATGCACCATGTCCACACTATGGACAGCGCAACCCTGAAGCCGGCAGACAGAGACAAGCCTGCACGGGGCGCCTCTCGGGGTGCAGACGCCCCGTCCCCACCGGGTCTCCGCAGGCGTGACCATGAGGCAGGCACGTCTGTGGCCCGCCCTGCTGCCGCTGCTGCAGGGGGAGCACGCCACACGGCAGTGAGTCTGGGACACACGTTTCGTGCCTCAGTGTTTAATGGCTTCATTGCACGTTCTGGAAAGTGCGCGGTAAGGAACACTGCTGATGACAGGGAGGCAGAAGTAACAGCCAAACCAGACGGACAGCTGACATGTGTGTGGCACACCCACGTGCCACCTCCTGACTCAGTTGGTCCTTCCAATAGCCCTGAAGCGGGACGTCACCACACCCACTTCACTGAACAGCAGGCGGAGCGCAGAGAGGCGCGGAGAAAGCCGCAGAGCTGGGGTTCGACCCAGGCAGATGGCATCCAGGTTTGGGTTCCTAACCTCTCCTCCTCCCTAAGAGAGTGCAGGGCCCAGGGCTTGGAGTGTGGCTGAGGGGCTGGGTGGGGACAGCGAGCCGGTCACCTCCTTGCCCTCTGCTGTGTGCAGCAGAGTTTCACACAGATACCTGCTACCAGTCCAAACCCCCCAGACTTCAATGCCGGCAGGTAGAGCATCGCAGGGTGACTACGTCACAGCCGTATCTCGTCACGTCACATTTTGCTGAACGTGCACACAGGAGGCCCCCCACTTGGACCCAGTGCACTGGAGAAAAGCCCCAGTCCAGCAGCAGACAACAGGGCTCCAAGTTCAGCTCCACAGCGTGACACACTTGAGCCCCAGCTCAGTGAGTTAACTTTGTAAAAACTGTTCCTTCTCATTCAAATGGGAATAGTGCTATGAAGTGCCTTAGAGGTAGTTCTCGATAAATAAGTCCTCCAGCGGTGCTGCTAATCACCGTTAGTAGTACTATGAAGACAGAAGAAATAAACCCATCAGATATTAGTGTTTCTTCCACATCATGCTAGCAGATTCAACACCTTTCCCCCCCGAGACTCCTGCACATACAGGAATTTAACCTGGGACCCGAGTCCTAGGGACGGGCAGACGGAAACCTGGTTTGCCGAGCCAGACTTCTGGACGTGTGAAGGTCCCCGGGCCGGAGCGGAAACCTACCTTGGCCAAGTTGAGCAGGACCTGCACGGCGTAGCAGATGACGTCCATGCAGGGGACGCTGCGGTTGCAGCTCCGGATCAGGACCAGCACCTTGGAGACGCCTCCGCTCTGGGCTACGCTCTCACAGCAGAGCGGGGACAGCCTGGTGACGACCTCTGCAAGGGAGGGCGGAGCGGTGAGCTCACGCCTCCCAAACTCGGAGGCGAGCTCGCCCTGTGCTGTCTGCTAAACCCGCATCTGCCACCTCCCAGGCACGGCGGGAACACGGCCACTGACCCAGGTGCTTCAGAGCCTCGAGCACAGCCGACAGGTGCCTGTAGGTCAGCAGGTGGTGGAGGGCGAGGGCGGCCCTCCGGGACAGCGTGTTTTCTTCCCGAACCTCCGCGCTCACCATCTGCAGCCTTCTGCGCACGGCTTCGATTTGGGCACAGCCGTTCTTCTTCCTCCAGGAGTAGCCCCTCCACAGCGCCTGCCAGACCAGACACTGTGGTTCAGAGACTGCAGCCCGTGTGCCTGGGCCTTCTGTCCACATTCGTATCCGTGAAGTAAACGTGTTCACTAAATGTGTATGGTGTGAGCAGGCACTTGGCAACTAAAACCCCCCTTCAGCTTCTAAGAAACAGCTAAGTCAAGTTTCCTAAAAAGAAATACATTCATATTCCTGTAAATAAAGTGAAGTTCATTCCTTGTTCCAGAGACATTTAATCTCTATTCAATCTGCTAATACACTTTTCATCTCTCAAACATAAAGTTCCTCCAGGAAATCTGAAAAAATTAAAAAGGGCTATAGCAATGAACTTGTGGTAGCTTAGTACTGATGACTTACTCTATTGGCCAATCTCAGGTCTTTGAAATATATGTGACTGTCCTCAAAATGTTAGGTCTCATATACATGAACTGCTAACCCAGGTCTCGGCCTAAACTCAGCATGGTCTCCGTCACCTGCACTTTAACGACTCCGTTCCTAAACCTCTCCTGCTCTCTGCGGCGGAGGAAGCAGCGCACGGCCCTCTGGATCACCGACGCAGCCCGGTGCCGCCGCCTCTGATGTTCTTCAACCTCACGGTCTACGTTTAAGACGCTCTGAGGCATCTGCAACCGCCTCTTCAGCTGTGATCTGGTTGGACACTGTCTCTGTTTGAAACGGATGAAGATTTTACTTTAGTTTTTAAAAAGTTAATAAACGCATGCACACACACGTACCTCATGAAACAGAGCAGCTCGTTTCTGATAGAACACTGAGACCGCCAGTCAGCCCTCCTAGGGGCCTCCCTGCCCCGCCCTGGCCGTGAACCTTCCGGGCTGTGCCGGAGCGTGGGTGCACCGATTCGACCCTGGACAGCCCGCCCTCCCACCAGTTCTGAGGGTTACATCACACTGCACGTCTCCTTCTGCAACACATGTTTTCTCTCAGTATTTTATGTGTAAATATGCTAACACACACAAACAGGATTCATATCCAGGACTTCTAATAAAGCAGAAAAAATAAGGATACCCAACACAAAATGGGCAAAGTATATACTAAAAACACCACATTAAAAAGCACACAACACACACATAAGAATGTAAATCCAAAACAGGAACCCTGCCAGGTGCTGGAGAGGATGGAGACCAGCAGGCCCCCCAGGTTTCGCTGGCAGGCGCGGAGTGAGCGCTGCTCCTCCGGACAGTGCGTCACAGCCCTGCTCCCAACGCAGAACAGCAGCCTCTTCCCAACCCACCCAATTACTGGTGGGCCTCGCGGCAGAAGGCCAGGTGCTGCAGCCTCAGCAGGATGTGCTTGGAAATTACTCACCAAACACCAGAAATTTCTAACACAGTCATACCCCAGTTTCCCTGCGAAGGAGCAGCTCACCTGAGTGCAGACGACAGCATGGAGATGACTTCTGGCATCCTGCACGGCCAGGTGACGCCTGTACGCTCTCTGGATTCTGACTGCGCACAGGTGGTGATACGCAGCCGCTGCGAAGCGAAGCAGCCGAACGCTGGCTCTCCCGTCTGATCTCTAGAGGAGGAAAAGCAGTAATAAACAAATGTTTGACTCAAGACAATCAACATTTACTTCTGCACAAGCTCCACATCAAATAACATAAATAATTAATTTTTAAATATTAAGATGGTCTACATTTAAGTAAATACCTGCATTTTCAAGGCGCTCTCTCTAATTTTCAGAAACCTCCGTTTTTGTAGAAGCCCTCTCGTCTTAGCCTGAATGATGATAGCACTGCTCCTGGCCCATAAATACGCTCTTCTCTGACGCTTTGCAGACAGACAGGCTCGCAGGCAGGTCTGCAAGACCACCGCCGCCCTCCTCCACAGCCACAACTGTCTTCTGGCCCGCCGTGCCCGGAAGGACAGCTGCAGAGTGATCGCGGCTCTTCTCTGCTGCACAAACCTTCTCCGACAGGCAGCCGTTCCCAGGAAGGACTGAACTCGCAGGGCAGCCCACAGCTCCAAGTCCAAGGTTCCTGCGGCCATTGTGTGAAAAGCATTGGGAACCGTCACCGCAGCCCTGCTTTGAGAGTGACCCGCTGCGGCCGGAGAACAGGCAACCAGAGCTTCAGAGCACGTGGGAGGCCCCACCACTGAGCTCCAGGCAGCTTCCTGTCTGGTCTCAGCCAGAGCCCAGCGGGAGGCGGGTCGGTCAACGGTGGCTGCCACCTCTTCCTCGGTGGCATTTTCCAGTTCCAGCCCAGTCTCCGTGTCCCTGAATGCAGCCTGAGCAGCTGGAGTGGGTGTCTGGACGGCCGAAGACCGCCTCCTCCTTGTTTTCACTCCGACCCGTGGCCGGCAGCGACTCTGTAAGGCAGCAGCCGTGCCTCTCCGCACCGGGCGGGCAGCGTGGGCCCCGTGCGTGCTGCAGGAGGGCTGAATGCGTGGGGTTGCCGGGTGCCCACCCCGGGTGCCCCGCTGCTCCCGAGCGCCTCCCTGAGAAGCCTGGAGGTGGAGGGCTGCCAGAGTGCGCGCCGCCGCGATCGCTCTGTACCTCCTCTGGACGAAAACCACGGCCGCTCTTAAGCGGAGATAGCGCTTCCTCACTCGGAAGCCTCTGAAGTGCTTCTGGACAGTGCTGGCAGCCAGGTGTTGCTCCTGAGCCTGCTCCACCATGGCCAAGTCCGGGGGACCCGCTTGAACGCGGGCTCCTGCTTCCGCCAGCGCTCTCGGTTCAAGAGCCTTCCTTTTATTTGCCCTGTATTTCTCTTGTATCAGCTTTGTCGCCCACTGAACCTTGCGGTAGAAAACATACTGCCTGTGCATCCTGTATGTGCTTTGTATTAGGACGGCAGCTCTGTGCGTCCCCTGCAAAAGCTGTCTCGCTCTCCACCCCCTGTAGGCGGCCTGAATGACCACAGCAGAGTGCCTCTGGCGGACGAACCTTTCTCTCTGCAGCTCCGCGGCTCTACACGCCCAGTAACGCCGCTGCATCAGGACCGCCGCGTGTCTTAAAGCCTGGTAGCTCACCTGCGCTCTGTGCATTCTGAACGTGGCCTGGATGACGGTGGCGGCCCCGCGCATCTCTTGCAGCCTTTTCCTTACCGCCCAGCCTCTGAACGATGACTGGATCGTGATCGCGGCCTCCTGTAACCGCAGAAATGCTAAGTGATGCTTGTTGTGAACTTTGGCACGGTATTTTCTCTGGACCCAAAGGGCAGTTTTCCGGAGAGAGAGGAACCTCCTTCTGGTCCTTACAGCCCTGACTCTCCTCTGAATGAGCACTGCAGCCGAATGCATAGCTTTGACGCGCCTCCTGGCTCTCATCCCCCTGAACGCAGCCTGAAGGAGGATCGCGGCACGCCTTAACTGCCTGTACCTCTCAGACTGCTCGTTCCCGGCCTTCAGAGCCCGGTACCTGCGCTGCACCGTTTTCGTGGCCGCCTTGACCCTGCGGAAGCGCGCCTGCTCCCTGTGCCTTCTGTAGCCCGACTGGATGACCACCGCGGCCGCCTGCATCCTTCTGAGGTTCCACCGAACTCTCGCTCCCCGAAAACCTGCCTGGAGGATGTCGACAGCTTTCAAAACTGCCAAGTACTGTGCACGCTGAGTTTTACCTCGACAATAGGCCCTGTACCGCACTTGAATGATGACAGCGGCTGCTCTCATTTTACGGAATCTCCTTTTCAACAGATGCATCTGAAACGTGGCTTTAATGAACGTGGCTGCCATGTGCATACGTCCGATGTGTCTCCTGACCTGCACACCCCTATAAACGGCTTGGATTCTGGTCGCTGACTTCTTCAAATGAAGATACTCCTTGTGCTGGCGGTCTGCAATTTTGACACTGCGGTACCACCTCTGAATGGTGACAGCTGCAGCCCTGCAGGCGGCCCGGCGCTTCTTGGCTCTGTAAGCTCTGTATCCGGCCTGTATGGTGGCCGCGGCCTTGGTGCGCTCCTCCGCTCTCTTCCTTCTCTCCCGCATCCTGCGGTGAGCCGACTGCAATACCAGGACGGCTGCCTTGGTCTTCAAATACGCAAGCCGCTGCCTCCTGCCCTGGCAGCAGGCCCGGAACCACGTCTGAATCAGACGGGCGGCCTTCCTCACGGCGAACCACCTCCTGCGCTGCGCGTGCATCCTGTAGCAGGACTGGATGAGCGTGGCACATGCGTGTCGCCTCTGGATCTGCCTCCGCGCCGCTCGGCCCCTGCACGCCGCCTGCAGGGTCAGCGCGGCCCGCCGCAGCCGCAGGTAGTCCCGGCGTTGCGCCCGGCCAGCGGCCTGCGCTCTACGACGCCGCTGGAGGGCCAGAGCAGCGGCTTTCAGCTGTTGAAACCGCCGCTGGTCCCGGGCCCTTCTGAAGGCAGCCTGAAGGGCCACGGCCGCCATGCGGTCCCTGCTGATCTGCTCGCGAACCCGCCAACCCCGGTAAGCGGCCTGGAGGGTGAGCACTGCGGCCCGCACCTTTAGAAACCGAGCGCGGAGACCACGGGCGGCACAGTTGGCCCTGTACCACCTCTGAATCTGTACGGCAGACTGAAGCACTCGGCGGTAGTTCGCCCGTTCCCTGTGGCCCCGGAAGGCACTCTGGATCGTCAACGCGGCCAGGGCCCGCCGGCGCAGCAGTCGGCGCACGCAGTGGCCTCTGAAAGCAGCCTGCAGGCAGGTGGCGGCTCTCCGTGCACGCAGCGCCTCCTGCTGCCGGAGCCAGACTCGGTGCGCACGGTAGCATCTCTGGATGACAAGCGCGGCCTTGCGCATCCTCAGGTAGCCCCGCCGCACCGTCCTCATCCTGAAGTGGGCCTGCAGTGAGGTGGCCGCTGCCCGCTGCAGCCTCACCTGCCGCCGCACCTGGTGCCCGCGAGCCCAGGCCTGCAGCCTGACACAGGCCTCCAGCACCTGCCTGAGCTCCCCTCGCCGGCGCGCGGCCCTTTGCAGGAACCGGTACCTCTGCTGGACAAACACCACGGCCGCCCTTAACTGCAGATACCGTTTTCGAGCTTGTTGCCTCCTGACCATTGACTGTAATTTCACTGTGGTGTGCTTTAGGCTCAGGAAATGTTTTCTGCAGACGTGAGCTCGATAACACGCCTGAATCCTTATGACACAGGTGAGGGCGTGGTGAACCGCCTTCCTGGCTCGCCTCGCCCGGCATGCAGCCTGCAGGACAATGGCAGCGGAACGCGTCCTCTGGTAGGACGCCAGGACTGTCCTGGCTGCAATGTGCGCTCGGAAACGAGTCTGAATGACAAGGGCGGCTTTCTGCATCTTCTTGTACTTCCGTAACTGCTGATGCTTTCTTACATGTGCCTGCAACGTGACGACGGTGTTCCTAAGGGCCAGGAACCGCAGCCTCTCCTGTCTCATCCTCCAGTACGCCTGGAGCACGCAGGCAGCCGCGTTTTCTCTGCGCAGGCGCCGGGCACGCACCGCCCTGAACGCAGCCTGGATGCAGACGGCCGCAGCCAGTTTCTGCAGATAGGGGGCGCGCGCCCCCCTTGCCTCCAGGTGTGCGCGCCAGCGGGTCTGGATGGTCCGGATGGCTTCCCTTTTCCTTTTATATAACTTCTGGGCTCGAAAGCGACGAAACTCGGTCTGAATGGTAAGAACACAAGATCTGGTGTGAGAGTACCTCCGTAGTTCTCTGTGCATTCTATACCACGACTGGATGACCGTGGCAGATTTTTCTTCTTTAGCCCGTTTCCTGGCGCGCCACTGTCTAAAGGCCCCCTGCAGGGTGATGGCGGCTTTTATCCGCCTTCGCATCTGGCGGCGCTGCCATCTTCGGAACGCAGACTGGATTATGAGGCACGATGACCTGAGCGTTTTGTATCTCTGCCGATCCTGCCTTCTTCTTACACAAGCTCGCCACTGGCTCTGAATGGTGACGGCCGCCCGCACACACCGTTTGTAAGAGGCAACAGCCATTTTCGCTCTTATCCTGGACTGCAGGATGATTGAGTACTTTTTCAGTGTCAGAAACTTCTTTCTAGTGGAATATCTTCTCCAATATTTCTGCAAGAAATAAGGAAGAACACAAAGTCAAAGTCATACCTTTGTATACTTAACACATTTAAATGTATAATTCTTAAATATTCTTTAAGAATATTAAAAATACTTAAAAATACAGTAAAATAAAAAGCAGTATATCTTTGAAAATCATGTTTGCCTCTTTTGTTTGTAGTTTAGTTTCTGCATTGCTATAGCTGTGGCCAATTCAGAAACCCTTGTCTCAGTCCTAATATTTATCTTGCATTTGTATTCCAGAGACTTACGGAATATATGCAAGTTTACATAAGGATAATACATGAGAAGAGTCGAAATGAAGCTACTGTCATATTCTGCTACCTATGAACTGACTCGCAGCGATTCCCTGGCATCTGTCTCTGAGTTCTGTGACCCATCTGCAGAGCCTGCATTCCGTCCGCGGACAGACCCTGTACTATCCCAACACCGGCCGACCATGTGCACACGGGGACTGGAGAACTCAGGGAGCCAGGCCGCTCCCAGTCAGTTTTCGTGAGTGTTAAAATTGCTTCCTTTTCCCGCCATTGGAGAGTGTAGACACGTGGTTAAAAACAGACTTCTAAAGACACACGAGAAGAGATAAACGTTTGCCTCTTGAAAATGGCACAGCCTCTTGGGAAGGAAGTTTGGCGTTTTCTCACCAACAGAAGCACAGTTCGCCGCGGGACCCGTGGCACTCACACGGGGCCAATGGAAACAGCACACAGCTCTCTGACGTGATCCCAATAGAACCCACAATAGCAACAAAACCTAACACACAGATGCAAGTCATGTCCACCATGTAGAGTAAACACGTTAAATGTTTTTTCCTAGGCGGACAACGCAGGCCTGCTACGGTCTCATCGTAAGAGGTGTTTCCATCCTGGGCCATCTCAGGGGGCTGGAGAGGAAACACACACGTGACGTGTCCCCTGGAAGGAGAGCTTCCAGGGTCCGCAGCAAAGACAGGAAGCGGTGCCTGGCGGCACAGGGGAGCACCGAGCACAAGGACAGGGCAGCGCGCACTGCTGAGTGGAAGCCAGAAAACTCACAAAAGAGACAGCAAGTGCCACCGAGGTGAACTGTTTGCTCCTTCGGAGGAAAGCAGGCATTTCGGTCTGTCTGCGCCTTGCACCGAGCGCAGGAGAGTTTCACAGATCGGAGGGAGGTACCGAATATTTGCTTTTTGAAAATTTTTTATGAGAGTTTGAATCAAACTGGTGACACATGCTGGAAGCAAGAACTCAAATGCTCCCTAAATATTTGCTAGAGCTAAGTACCAGAGAAAATGTAGAAACCTAAACGACAATAATTTAAAACTTTATCATGTTTCACTTTCTTCCTTCCAATGTCATGAAAACCTTTTAATTCAAACACTCCAGCATACTCTACCTGAATAACTAGTGCTGATTTACTCTGAATTTTTTCCAGCTCTGCCTTTCTTAGCATCAGTAATTCTCTCTGTCGTAAGAACCTTCGCCAGGACTTCTGAATGACCCGGGCTGCGCTGACCTCCTTCTTCAGTCGTCGTCTGGCTAGAAAACGGGTTATGGCCGACTGGATTATTCTTGCGGCTTTGTCTCTCTCCTTAAAAAAAAAGAAAAAAAAGTTACACAGTCACTCAAGACCCTAAATTACTCTGTAAGAAAATCACCTGTGAAACCCCACGGCGCAGGGGTTGGTCCGGAGCCCGACTGTTACTCAACCAAACTCAGCTGTTGGTGTCCCACAGTCCGGGAACCCAGTCAGCCACGGACGGGGTCGAACGGTCCCCCTACGAAGGCAAAGGGCAGCTCACGGATGAAAACACACACCAGCAGTGATGGTCACACTCTGGGTCATTTGCTCAGTGAGCAGCGACTGTCAGTGACAGGAGGGACACTCCAGGTGGAAAGCAGATGCATCCCTTACCAACATCAGCGGCAGAAACCAGCGGCTCCTCCCAGGCCCGCAGCCACTGCCTCCCCCTCTCAGGCAACGACACCACGGCACCATCGTTAGTCCTACCCAGTGGCTGAGCCAGGTGTCACCTACTTAGTTTTCTTTTGCCTGAACGCAGGTCTAATGTAAGAATTTGCTTTGGAGTCGGTGATGTTCACTCACAGGAGGGACGAAGAGCTGGAATGTATCCGGGGACCCTCGGGAAGCCCTGCGTCACCCCTCAGGTAGCTCTGGCCCCAAGCCCTCCTTGTCCCTGGGCACTGTTCTGTCTCAACAGAGAGTTCACGTAAGTGACCACCACGACACGAAGCAGAACGCCGAGCTGGTGACGTTTCTGTGCCCACTCTAGGAGGAACACTAGCCCGTCGTGTTCCTCCTAGAGTACACAGGGGACCGGCGGCTTCGTGTTGCGAGTGGCAAACGGACACATGCGACCACGTTGCTGTGCGGCTGTGTGACCAAGGGGTGGGGTCTCCTGGAGGAAAAAGGGAAGCCGTGGTCCTCATGAAGGGGGACCTCCGCTACTCGGGCTGCAGACGCACACCAAGCAAAGAACTCGCACCAACGGAAAAGGTAAGAAACCTCTGCAGTTAAAACCCTATTAACTTGGGGCGGGGAAACAATCTGCGGGAAAGAAAGCAGATTTCATCCTTTGAAAAAAACAAAAACACTCCAATTGCTGTTTCTGAGAATCCCTGATCCAGGCGAAGGAGCGGAGTGCTGAGCCGGGTGCCCCAGGTCTGTCACCGACGTGCACAGCAGACGAGTCCTTCCACTGACCCACAGCGGACGAGCCCACGGCGGGACAGGGCGGCAGGACGCATCGAATGAAGGGAGCTTCAGTGACTGGCGGGAACGGCCGCCTCCAACCCGACGCCCACATGGTTATCGAATTTCCAGCGTCGGCACAACGTAAAACCACACCAAGAACCACCGTGTGCACCCGGCGTCCCCCTCAGGCGCACCTGACGGCGTCTCAGGTCCGACTTCACCTTGTGCCTCCTCCAGGCCGTCTGGATGAGCCGAGCGGCTCTGGTTTCTCTGCGGAGATCCAAGAGCCTCGCGCACAGGAACGACAGGAAGGTGATGACCACCTACAGGAACAAAACGTGGGATCAGGAGAGTGACAGGGAGCAGCCGACGGCCGTCGCCTGAGACGCCAGCGTGTCAGCCGCCACCGAAGAAGCCCCGCTCCGCACCTTCTCGTCCGGGATGGTGTTGGACATGTCCGCGTGGTGAAGCATGGCCGGCACGCCCCCGAGGTCGCGGACGGCAGACCCGACCAGCTGGAAGTTCCTCCTCTCGTTCTCCAGGAGTTCTCTGTACACGTCTGCGTTTTCTGTTATGCGAGGGAGAGAGAGATCAGCTGGCTCTGGGCACAGCTCAGACGCGGCGAAGCGGGGGCCTGAATCCTGACCCACAGAGAGGGACCGACCAGGATCGGGCGCTTTGAGGGACACATCCAGGCAGCTCTCCTCGGACTCAGAGGACGAGTTCAAGACCACCAAGCCCGTCTGCGCGCACTCCACCGTCTGAGTGGTCCGCTGACAGATGGCGTGGAAAGGCACGCAGCCAGGATGGTAGTGGTGGATCAGGTAACACAGCACGCGGCCGTCTGAGAAAGACACCGTGAAGTTCTCCACCTGGTGGGAAAGGCGGGCAGAGGGTCGGCGGTGCGGAGAGCAGCAGAGTCGTGACGGCTCTGTGGCCCGTACTCCCTTATAACGGCTAAGAGCGTCACACGGCCTGCCCTCACCACCTAGTGTGACGCCGCGGTCACGGCCCAGCTCTCAACTGTGAATGGTTAACGCCCCCCACAGACGCTGACACGCTGCTGCGCCGGGTCAGACCGCGTTCGTCACGGGTTCCTGTCCTTCTCAGAGCCCCGGGAGGCCACGCGTTCACAGAGGGCCTCCTCGCCACAAAGGGGGCAGACACACGGAGACAGGCCCACGGAGAGGGGCCCCAAGAGGACGGAGGCCGAGGTAGGGACGCCCGTCTGCAAGCCCAGAATGGCCAGCAGCCCTGGGGGTGCAGACAAAGGCTGGGACAGAGTCTCCCCAGGGCCCTCGGTGGCCTCTGGTTCTTAAATGGCACCCAGAAGGCCACCCATATTTCCCCAATTTCCCCAACAGCGCCGGGGGGAGGCACCACCGCTCCCCACATGCGGTCACAGGCACTCCGCGTCGGCCTCCGACTTGCGTGTGTCAGCTCAGACTCTGTCCCTCTCGGCCCCCTGCCCCGTGCTGAGGCCCTCTACGGCCCGTTCTGCGGGCAGGTTGGCCTGCGTTCACCTTCACCAGACTCTACCACTCAGTGCCCACTTCTGTGCACGGGTGTCCTGCTTAAACCCCCCACGAGGGCATTTTCCTGCCTTAGTGACACCTGAAATGACCGCGGTTCACAAAGCAGGTGCCACCGGTCCGGGACAGGGCCTTCGCGCACTGGAGGAGCAGCCCGCTCGTGCAGGAACACCCCACTACTTAGAAATAAACGCCAAGTGGAACCCGCGCGCCCACGCTAGCTGACTCCGGCCGAGGCTCGCTGTGACCCCGGGCCGACAGGCGGCAGCGGCGCTCACTCTCGTGCCGTAGAAGGCGCAGAGGGCGTTCACCCAGGCCATCAGCAGCCCGACGCTCTCACTCTGCTGTGCCGGGGATCCGCGCGGCCCCGGGCTGGCCTGCGCACCGCGGGCGGCGTCCCGGCGGCTCGAGGGTGTGGGCACCGTCTTCCTCAGGCTCCACGTGTGTCTTAAAAAGTCGATTTCTTCCTTTAACTGATCTAAATCCAGAGAAACATCCACCTGAAACACAGAGGAACAAGTGTTTCTGTCCTGTAAGAGGATCCTGTGCCTCCTGACGTGCTGCTATTATGCCACGGAAACTACAGTTGCCTATTTTTTTAAGGCAAACAAGTCCACATGGAAGTGACGGGAGGGGCAGTGGTCAGGCCCCGGGACCCCAAGCCACGCGAGCCCGGGTTCCCATCTCGTCTCCACTTCCTGCCCATGCTGCGACCTGTCCCTTCGGTCTCCTCACCTGTGCAGTAGTGATAACTCCCACCTTGGAGGGGTGGGAGCGGTGAAGTTTGAACCGAAATAAATGCAAATTTGTCACAGTTCCTGGGACAAAGTAACGCCTAGTAAGGGAAGGTTATTATCGCTGGCCTTTATTCAACACATTGACGAAAAGTGCCAAACGCACTGGACGCACCTGGAGAGCCAGTGCGATGCTCCAGAGCAGCGCGAGGGTTTTCTCTCGGTGCCTGTCCACGATGTCCTTCGGCAGGATCGCATTCCCTGCAAGGAGAAGACGGGCGGTCAGCACAGGACACGTGGCGGGCACCTCCGCGGGGGGGGCGGGGACGAGGTCTGTCCGGGCGCACCCACCGTGCTCGTCCTGCAGCCGGACGCCTCGGACCCGGAGGGCCTGCAGGGCGAGGTCCACGTTGTGTATCTTCTGCAGGCGGCTAATCGCCGGGACCCGGAGACTCTTCGAGAGGTTCCAGTTCTGTGTGAGCAGCTCCACGGCTCGTCTGACAGACGGGGAAGGAATTTCCGCATGAGATCGTTAGGCAAAAATGAGCACAGAGATGAGTTCCACGTAAATACAGTCACCGCCCTCATAGACCGCCCCCCCCCCCCCCCAGCACAGAGCCCCAGGTCAGAGAGACCGAAGCCACACCGACCCTGCTGCTGTGCCGCCAGCAGGCAGGGCCGTTGCTCACAGGGGCTGAGGTCCAGGAGCAGAGGTGAAGAAGCACAAGGGGACACACACACGCACACGGGGACACGCCCTGGGCCCATGCAGACAGGGGCAACCCTGGACACAGGATACAGGGTGCCCGTGCCCAAAACTGACACCGTTTTCCAACAGTGCTGCAGAATATGCTCCAGCTTTTCAAGCCTAAACTCAACGCATTACATGAAATAGCAAGAGAGATTGTGTAAATACAGACAAAAAAGTTTTCCAGAAAACGTGTGCGTTCCTAGGTAAAACAGTTCTATTTCTGATACTTACACGAGACGCACCCCGCATTGCAAATCTACAGCGAGATTAGTCACAGCAAAATCAAACTCATCAAACGGCGTCTGAACGTGGCTGACAGGGAGCCCCAATAAGCTAAGGTGACGGGAAAGGTCGCCCTCGCCGCTCAGAAAGTCTCGGGAAAACGCCAGAAGAAGGTCTTTACTAGTCTACGGAGAAGCAAGTCGCGGGTGTTACGTTCCGATAGCACCGTGTTGCTCACCAAAATGGACCCTTTAAATCATTCTGTACATGAGAGCCTTATCCAAGTTTGCTCTAATTAATACCACACCTAAAAATCAGCCCTGATTTGCTACCATACAAAATTAGGACAGAAATTCCCCCAAAATTGATTCCTTGGAAGCACTCTGCTCATCCCCACAGTGAAGCACAGGGCTGCGGTAGGAGCGCCAGGGCCCTGGGCGGGCTCGCGGGGTAAGCCTCCCCTCCCCTCCCCTCCGAGCACTGTGCCTTGAGAAACTACCTTCTTCTACAGAGGAAATCCATAGAGTGAAAGCAAGCACAAGTCTGGGGTGTGACGTGCTCAGCACAAGGTATAAAACGAACACTGCACCTTGAACTCGGCGTCCTTACAGAACAGACAGGGGTCGTGGTCAATAAGTCTGGAGACTTTGGCATGATCAAGGAAACAAACCAGCAACAGCAACTTCTTCAGTGTAAACCGAGACAAAGCCTCTTCGTGACCTTGAAGAAAGTACAAAAGCAGAGGCAGTTCACGTGTGGCAGCCCCGGGTCACCTAAGTCATAACAGTAATGTGCAATGACAGTAACAGCAGCCGACACACCGCACCGCGCGCCCTGCCGGCGCTTCCCGAGACGGGGCCCTGCAGCACGGTGGCGTCATGAGGCGGGTTCTGGTGGGACGCCCGGTCCAGGCGGGGGGAGGGGGCACAAAGGCATTGGGGCCTTGGCTCACCTCCCTCACCCAGCCCTTCCAGAGCACCTGCGGCGGGCAGGCACCCTCCCAGGGGCCACATGCAGCACTGACACTAAGCAAACACGGTCCCCTCGTGGCCAGAGCCCACACAGGGCAAAGGTGGGAAGAGACAACAGGCGGGCAAAAATAACTGTAGGGGTGGGGGAAGTGACGGGGCCTCCTGGGGGCAGGAAGGGCGGGGTGGGGAGAGAGCACCCTCTTCACGTCGGTGTCTCTGGCAGGTCGACGCACACAGAGACGGGAAGACCGAGAAGAAGCCGTTGCCACGCTCAGGGTGGGGGCGGAGCTGCTCACCATCCCGGTACAGGTGAGGGACGGAGGGGTGTCTGTACTCAGCGGCTAGGTCAGGATTCCACAGCAGGCGGCTCGCAATAAACACGGCCATCCCCATGACATCGCTGTTGTCTTCCAGAGCTACGAGTTCGCCAAAAACTGTCTGGACAGAGAGTAAAGCTAAAGTCAGGACCGGCTGATCTCTGAGAAGCAAAGGGGCGCAACGGGAAGGCAGACGCCGGTCTTCTGAGGCCTGGCAACGTCCCGCCTCGCAAACCGCAGGGAAGGGACCGGATGTCTGCCCGCGCCCTCTTCCCAGGGGACGTGCACGTTCTGTGCATCTTGCAGTGTGTCCAGTATGCTCGCCTCACAATGGAAAAGTCAACAGCTTGGGACTAGGATAAATCCTTTAAAATCTGCTGACTGGCAATATTCGTATTTTAATTCTTTTTCCTTTAAGTTAAAGAACTCTCAAGTGCACACATTGCACAAATTAAATTGTAACTACCCACTAAGTGTATCCTGAAGGTGAAATAGAAACCTGAAGACGGTCAACTTTCTAACAGGTAAGTTTAAAAGCATCTGTAAATCACTTCAGGTAATAATCTGAGAAGGACACACCTCTTTATAATGAATGAGTTAAATAAGAAATTAGGTTCACACCATTGTGTTATAATGACTTTTAAAAAAAGCACTTAGAAAACAAAATGAAATTGTTTCCTATAACCTCACACTGACCAAAGAGGAAGCGTGGGAAAGGATGAACACCGGCCAACACACACAGTCTGGCCTCGGTACTTTCTGAAACTCCTCTGGGGCCGCGGCCACAGCAGAACCCCCAGGGGGGTGGTTCCATACATTTTGTTCACAGTCACTCAGCCCGCCCCCTTCCCTGCACCGGCCACAGGTCCCCACAGAGGGCCGCAGACTGGGGGTACCTCTCGCAGGGGAAGAAAGACATCCCGCCTCCCCTGTGCCTGGCCAGCTGCGGAGGTTTGGGCAGCGGGGTGTGGCCGAGGAGACACTCCGCCGAAACACAACTGCCACGAGGCATCGCGGGCCTTCCCAGTCGGCCCACTTTCTCCCTCTGCCACCAAAAGTTCCGTCCCAGTGGGGAGGTCCCTCGGGGCTGAGGTTCCAGAGCGGTGTGACACGTGAGGGTTCTCACCGTCGTCTCACTGAGCAATAAGAGACTGAGCTGAACTGCAACTCGATTACAGTGAGACTGGAGAAATCTCAGCAAGGACGCTGTCAGCCTGTGTGACGTCAGTGGGCTTAGCATGTGCTCTCTCTGGGCCTCAGTTTCTTGATGAGTGAAAGGCAGATTATTATAAACATTCCTTTCAGTCCCAAAGAGTGTCCTATTCCAAAACCTGCAGCAGACTGGAGAACAGGGTGCCCCACATGATGAAGGAAAAACCCTCAACAAACACGAAAGCGCACCGGTCAAAGGCAGCGGGCACTTTTAACGAAGGCTTATGCTCCCTAACGGCCAGGCACTGTCTTCCTCCTCCAGCTGGTTTTCACACTCCGGGCTTTGCCGAGCCGCGGACCACGGGAAGCCTCAAGTTCTGGTGGCGCTTTTACAAGCAGCATTCCAGACGGCTATGGTGGCACTGGCCCGGTGAACCCCGCAGCCTGACCCGTTGCCAGCCTCCAGCAGCCACTATTCCGCTGAGCTTCTGTCCCACCCATGACGTGGGCACACGGGCACACACCTCAGCGGGTTTTACCAAGGTTCCAGGCAGGAAGTGCCCCTAAAAGGCCACCTTCGGCATGTGTGAAGGCTGGCAAGGAGCGTCCTATGCTGGACGTTATGTCTCGCACTGATCTATACATGTGTGCTGAAGAAACCAACAAGGAATTACTACCAAGTTAAACGGCAGTGATGCACTGGCATGGTCTACTGACGTGATGAGCGTTTATTAGAGGACGTTCGTTTTAAACTGAAAGATCAGTTGGGCTGACCAAGTGGCTCCATACGTGAAACCGTGTTTACTGAAAATGAAGCCTTTTGCTAACAGCCGAAAGGGGCACGCACCTCTAGGCCGATCCGCAGCCACAGCGGGTTGTACGACAGCAGCCAGCGCAGCACCTTCTGCCGTTCTCCTGCGGGGAAAGCAGGACGCGTCAGCCAGGGCACACAGTCCCACGGGGAGAAGCCGGGGGGACAGAGGACAATCACTTATGTGAAGTAAGTTCACCTAAGTAAACTATACCTCCACTCAAACAGTTGAGATTTGAATACGTGACACTGTACGCTGCAAATTTGGCCTTGGACTCTAAAATACAAAATCTCTGCGTTCGTAAAGCAATAACCAAGGCTTGTGTATAACCTTACCCACATCTTTCCAGAGGTGTCTGTCTTTGCGAACAACCAGCCGCCTGGCTTCAATTTCGATCTCCAGCTTTTTGATGGCTTGCACCATTTTTTCAGAAGTAAATAAGCGGCACGCAGCTCGACGCAACCTGTTCAGCCGGCACCGGGCCGTGTAAGCCCTGAGCGACATTTCGTCTTTTGTGGGAGCTCGGGGGACGCTCAGCTTATGTTGGTTCTCCACGCCCAAGAGCAGAGCAGCAGCATTTACTGGGTGAGAACGAGAGACAGCTCCCTTTAGCAGTGTTTCCACAAGACCTCGAACCCAGCGTGACGCCATGCGAGCCGGCCGAACAGAACCCGGCCCCTGCCCCAGCCCCGCTTGCTCTCTGCTTCTCCATCTGAGAACTGGCTCGGCGCGTGAGGACAGTCTATCGCCACAGCCTGTGGCTTCTACCTGCACCAGGTGTCCCCGTCCAGTCACTTCTCACAGCCTCGGCCACCACTGCCCCGCCCACACATTATCATCTCCAACCCAGACCAGTGAAAGGGCCTCCTGACCGGCCTCTCCGCCTCCACCCTCTTTAAAAATCCAAAAGGGAAGCTGAGAATGAATGGGATTTGTGACATGAATTAAGTTGTAAGATGCAGCTGGAATTTCTCTCAAGCATGAAGAGGAGTTCAATAACAGGCTGCGTCCAGGCTGCCATGAAAGGACCGCGACCCCGGGCCCCAGGAACCGTCCCGACGTGTCTGCGGGGCTTTTCCTTTCCTTGAGTTGTCGCACTGAGCCCGTACTTCCTCCGGGAGGGCAGCAAAGCTCAGCTTCGTTCCCTTTCAGGAGAAAACCCTCAACTGTCCGTGGACTGCGTGCCTCCCTCGCTCCCACAGGGGGGCCCCCAGGACGAGCACTGAGCTGTGTGGAAACGGCCCTACAGCAGCGGGGTCCGGAGCGCGCCTGCCAGGGTCTGCCCTGAGGGGCTCGGCGGAGGCAGAAACGAGGAGGAAGAGGGCGGAGACACTCCGTGTGCCCGAGTGAAGAGGCCGCACAACACAGACCCTTCCTGAGGCCTGACCAGCACACGTAACTCTGAACCAGTTCCCCTCGCAGCCACGTGTCACTGCGACTCGGACGGAATCAGTCCCCTGGGAGTCGCTCTGGCTGATGCCCGAGAGTGAAAAGGAGGAAAAAAAATGTAAACTCCGGTAGGTTCAGTGCAGAATTCCCTAAATATTCTCACCGACACAATTTGTAGCATGTATGTCAATAAATTGGTGAACCACGCCATTAACGATAATAAAACATGTGGAATTAAAAAGGAAAACTTCATGTTAAACCCATCTGCCCAAACCAGGGCATGCTTCAAGGGAAACAGGACTGTGAGGTCTACCTTCGGAGACGCTGGTCTTGACGGTGAGGTCGTCGGGGGTCAGTACGAAGTTCAGCCACCACGTGAATCCCTGCTGCTGCTTCTCCTTCCAGCGCTCGTCATAAAACATGTTCCTCGCCGCAAACGGCATTGGGTGTCGAGGAACATCTAAGGGCACAAGCCAGGTCATTGCGTGAGAAACTTCCCTTTAAACTGTTATATAACATATAGCGAAAGACCACTTTTACCAGCAGAGGCTCTGGCTAACACCCCCTTTCCCAGGACTTACTGGAAAGAGTGGGAAGCATTTTGGGGCATGAGATGTAACCAAAGGAAAAAGGGCTCCAGCAAACAAGAAAAAGGACTCACGGATGCGGGGACAGTGGGTGATGGTGGGGGCGGGGGTGGTGGGAGAGGGGTAAGGGGGACAAATGGTCATGGGAAAAAAACGCCATACAAAGCCCAACTGATTTTTTTTAAAACAAAATAGACAAAAAGAAAAAAGAGAGAGTAAGGCAGCCCCTCCTGGTTATTTAAAAATCCCAAGTCCCAGTGAGTTTCACGCCAGTCTGAGAATACGCCCTGATTGTTCTGTGAATACAGACTTGTAACAGTTCTTCAAGGCTTTTGTTCAACAAAAATTCCGGTTCGTTTCCGCCCGAAACACAATTACTGCTTCCTTCAATGTCGGATTTGCAAGGACGGTAAAGACCATGGACACCTGCCTGTTTTCAACGGTTTTATGAAGGTCAGATGAGACTGTGCCACTGGAACAACGCGTTTTGTCCTTCCGTTTGTTTTAGAACTGGGAGTTTTGTGTGCTAAAGAATCTAAAATAAAGTATAAAGCAGAATAACAGCATTACGAAATGAAATTAATTCCCTGAACGGTTTTAAAGTTCAAACTGGGGTGCCCACAATCCCGTCTGTTCAGCAAAAACACTAAGCCACAGGCACGACACTGTGGCTCGGTGGTCCCGTCAAACCTACAGTGCAAGTTCCAAACGCCCAGCATCTCGGGAAACGGCAGGGACAGTGGAGTGAAGGGGGCCGAGACTAGAGGCGCAGAGCTGAAAGGAGGCTCTGCAGCGCTGACTTAGCCGTGCTGAGAACTTAAGTTGAACAGGAGACAGACTAGAGCGTCATTTCAATAGCACAACCGACAGTCTTCATAAGAAAGGGGGCAAAGGAAATGTTAGAGGTCCCAGGAGAAAAGAAGGCAAGGTGGAGAGAGCCAGGAAAATACAGCCAAGCAACCCAGCTGCGTCCAGAGGGCGTGGGTTTACGCAGCTGGAGATGCACAGATGGAGGTTCAAACTAGGATCCCTTCAAAGAGAAACAAGACACAAGTATCAGCCTGTGATAGGAGTCCTGGGAAGTTCTTTCAAATTATCTTTTAAATACCTAGTAGGCCTGGACCGTGACTGTCCCGTGCGGTAGTTTGGGCGGGATGGGATTGGTCCGGGCTGGTTTTCAGGCAGCTGGCAAGGCTGTGAGTGTGAGGAGAGCAACCAGGCTTCCCCTGCAGGTGTGCCCGGCTCGGGGACCACCTTCCTCCTAATTAGTGGCAGAGGCAGGATAACGTCTCCGGGAGCACAGGCGCGCAGAGGCCTCTCCTGCGTTGCCTCAGATGGTCTTAAGGGGGCCAGGCACTTACCTGGGCCCTCTAACCTGGGCCCTGACTAAGGAGACCAAGGTGAGGTGAGTGGAGGACTTCCCTGGGTCCAAAACTCTGAGTGTCTCACTCAGTAAGGAAGGTAAGTATTTGAATGCAATTATTTAAAAAAATCAGAAGTCATGACAATCAAAACTAAAATGAGAACAAGATCACAACTGTTCCAGAACCCAGCCCCACACTCCACGGCTCCTCTCACTAAGCAAACGGGGGACTGAAGAGTGTGCTTTAATTCAAGCTCATCAGCAGCAAGTCTGTGAACCACGGGGAACGGGAAACCCACCCTTTACAAGTTCACCGTCATTCAAGTTTTACGGACAACTCACCAGGTCTCTTCTTCGGGTGTAGTTTCTCTCTGCTGCTGGCAGGGTTGGAGACAGGCATTATCACCTTTCTCGTTTTTTTAGCAGCTGATGTTGTGGACGCCCAGGGGGAAAAACGGATCCTCTCGGTCGCTGGTACTTCGGTGTGTTCTGCGACCCCGACCAGCACACGGGCCCCCTCCACGTTTCCCTCGCTCTTCCTTTTACGAGCAGCCGAAGCTGCCCTTGAGGAAGAGTCTACCGCTGTTTTGCAACTCGTCGGGCTGCTTACTGCTGGCTCTATAACTGGGAGATAAGAACGAAGAGTATCTCTCTCTTCTGCACTATCAGCCACTTTTTCATCTTCACCTTCTACACTGCAGAGACACCTCCTTGCCTTTGGTTGGCTTGTCTCGGTTTTGTTTTCTCTGTTACCAGTAGGCTTCAATTTAGTCACAGTCGCAGAAAGGACTGGACGTCTCTTAAGCTGTGTCTTGTGGCTATAACCAGAAATGTCCTGAACTGCAGAAAATCCAGGCTGATTGTGTTTTATAGAACTGTCACAATTTGGTTTCATTTCTGAAGACTTAGGTCCTTCAAAAATAGTTCCTGGAAAGTTTGAACCCTGGCATTCAGGAATACACAGTAAAACTTCATTTTTTCTCTGCACGGGAGGAGATTCTGAGGCCTGAGAATATCCGTTTAGAAATGGTGATAATTTGCACGTTTGTTGAGAGAGAGATCTGCGTGTTACATTATCTTCTACACATCGACTCGAGGACAGAATTGGACTCACCGATTCTGATTCTACCTCCGCACTTAGTCCGTAATTGTCCTTTAGGAAAGAATCTGGACTTAGAATTGTCTGGTAAGCTTCATGTACAGGTTTGGATTCCAAATGCACGGGCCTTGAATCGTCTTTCAGAAATGTATCCGACGACATACATGGCACTGATTTTAGTTCATGATCAGCCGCGTGGCTGTTCTTTACAAAAGAATCTGGACTTAGGAAATTCCCGTGGCTTTGTGAGACGTTCAAAGTTGAAGGGCAGTTTGGGGTGACGGTAAGTTTACTCTCCTCTTCCACTTGGCTGTTATTATTTATGGAGTCAACAGAAGTTTCGGTAAGGACTTTCTCATTAAAACCTTTGGAAATGTTGGCGTCTTCTAATTTCCATAACTCCCCATTTTCAGAGGCATGAAGACACGTGTAGGTAGTGGACCGACGGACACAAAGGGGCAAGCCAGGCTCCCCACGGCATCCTTTGAAAGTGGGACTGATGGGCGAGATGGGTATTTTATCCCCTTCAAGGATCAAAGAACTGTTTTCTGTTGGAGAACAGCCCTCTTTCCTGCCCAGGTTTTCACGAGCCTGCAGCGGGCTCCTAACTCTGTCCACTTTTTGGGAAACACTGAACGTTTCATTAACATTCTGAATATTTGAAATCCTCTTCTTACGACTCAAAGGGGCTGAAACTTTTTTCTTATTAATGGTATCCCAAAGACTCCTCTGTACAAACAAGCAAAAATACAAATGAAGTTGATGGCTATTGAATATTGCCTTTAGTAAGACATTTTATGTATGGTGCTCACTTAAGAGTGTTAGCAAAATAATTCTTACATATTATTTTCTTAGAGTATATCACAGAATAGTGAAAACTTATTACCTTTTTCTTTTTTGGCTCTTCTGCATTCCCTAATAATATCACTTCATGTTTCACAATGCCATTTACATGAAATGTCAGAATCTCCCTTACTCGGCCTCCTTTTATTGGTGTCCAGTTAACAGAAATAACATTTTTTTCCTTGGGCTGTAATCAAAAGAAAATTTTAACATTACTTATAACAGTAGGTGGTTAGAACTGAAACATATTATATACAACTTAGACTATGGTATAGGAGTAATGATTGTTAGTCATCAACACTCTGTACCATAACAACATTTAAGTCAAATAACTTCCCGAACCTATCTCACTTTATTATCAGGAAAAAAGCTACCAGTAAAAACAAGGTTCACAAGAAAATAAAACTGTAATAAAATCTTCATTGTAAGTAAAGCAACAGAACAGTCTCCAAATCATTTTTGTTGTCAGTGATTTTTTACATTTTTAATCACATATTTCTAGTTGTTGAGAATATGTATAGTGCTTCCCATTCAAAGAGAAAAGAATTTTCATTATGAAGACTTTCATCAAAAATCCATAAAACAATCAACTAAATTCCTTCTGCCCACAAACTTCTGTAACCACATCATCACGAGTACCGGTATTCGTTAAGTACTTAAGTTCCAGGCCCAGTCTCGGGGTCCTCACAGGCCTACATGCCTAGGACCCGGCACTGCAATCGTCAACATTTGCCAGACTGTAGGGACACCGTAACCAAGGGCCAGAAAAAGCTTTATGTATTTAAGTCAAACTGTAAGCGAAACCCAGGTCTTTCTCCAGGGCTCAGATTCTGACAGATACACCCCGCAGCCCAGAACCCTTAGGGGACAGAACAAACTCTGCATCTGTGCTTTTCTAAGGGGTGGGGGGAGAGACACATTTTGATTTAAAGGGGAAACTACCAAACATCAAAAACAGCTGGTTTTAGAAAATAAGAAAGTGCTTTCTTGTAAGGGACCGGTTTGTCTTGGTCTGGCAAATGTGACAGCCCTGTATGGAAAACCTACAGATGGACAGGAGCCGGACCTTCAAACCGAGTTTTCCCGTGGGAATCGGGCCTAGAAAATGCATACAGACTGTTATGGCTTGCTCTTGCTAAAACTCCATCACCTGGTCTAAAACAACAAATGTGTATTGTTTATCTTCAAGGTAATTTCCAAAGCCTGTGCGAATTTGCCCAAGGACAGAGCTAATCCGGCCGTTCGCCATTCCCCTCTGCATGTTTTCATTTCCTTGTTGTACCTAAAATGTAGACAATAATATTCTACGTAATAGATAATAAATCTTTCTCTGATGTTAAGACCCGAGGAAAACAATAAAAGCTTGTCAAGGCAAGGGTCGGGGCGCTCTCCCCTTGAGAGAGTAGCTGTGCCGTTCCCTTTTCTCCACAGGATTGTTGTCACTTGTGCATTCATTCTCGAGTCAGCCCCAACAGGTGGACTCTGCTGGCTGGAGTCCGCCACACTTTCTCTACAAAACAGTGAATTCTAAACAAACAAACCAGAAATCTTTTTTCGTTCCACGTAACCAAAGAATCCTTGTGCCCTGGAGAGAAATCAAGAGGAGGGGGACCACTGTGGAAGCTCAGGTCGGTGACCTGAGCCCCTGGTGGCCAGGCCTCATACCGGTAACATTCAGCTTTATTTTCACACTTCTACAGGATCTTCCAAATGGAAAGCCAGCGGTCAAGAGAAGCAGTGATCTGCTCTGTTTCTCCTGACAAAGGCAAAAACGCTGGCCAACGCCGTGCAGAGGAGCCACCGGGGAATTCTTGGAAACGACAGCGATAAAATTAAACCGGACCCACTCACTGTGAAAACTACACGAAAGCAACACCGCACGCGCTTGTGGACAATAACCCGAAAGCAGTGCTTCTGCGTCTCCCGTACGGACATTCCAACCAAACGAAGCTCCCTGTCTCACCATAACAAGCAGTGCCAGTGCCCCTGAGTCTCGGTGGGCTCAGTTTTCCCGACACCCAAGGCCACTAAGATGCATTTAGGATAACCGATAGGAGGCGACAAAAAGATGATCCAACCAGGGTACGCCCCAGAGCATCATTAACAACAGATAGACAGATAAAGGGTGTGCATAAAAAGTGCGGTCTATTCCTTTAGAACTACACAAGTCCCACGACGCCCAAGTCTACGACAACCCTGTTGGAATAGGCTTCTGAGATGCGCCGAAGGATGCTCTGCGCACGCGCGCTAGCGAGCAGCCCCTGCCCACCCTTCCCTACCCGAATCCAGAGACTGGGGACCCGGACGTCCCCGGAGTGGACGAAAGGACCTGGCTTCATCCTCTGAGGTCCCTCCCCCGTGTCTGTAGTTTCCCCCCCGGCCCGCATCTCTCCCGTTCCCACAGCAGGGTGGAGGGGTGACAGGGAGTCGTGATCACGCCCGGCCCGCGCACACCCACCTGCAGCTCCAAGGCGCTCGGCCAGACCTCAAAGCCCTGGGCGGCGGCGGGACAGCGCGGCAGCGTCACCGCAGCCGCTTCGGGGTTAGGGTTGAGCAGGGCCAGCGGCAGCGTCTTCGAGGCCCCCAGGCGCACGTTCCCGAAGCACAGAAAAGGCTTCGGACAGAAGTGGCTGAGGGTCAGGACCGGCGGGGACTCTCCCAGTCCCGCCGGCGACTTCCGCTCCCGGGGACTCCGGTCCTGGCAGCCTCGCCGCGTCGCCATGGCAGCCCGACAGCCGCAGGCCGCTCCGCAGCGAAGTTACCTCTCTTTCTCTCCCAGTCGTCCGCACCTCAGAAAAAAACAAAAGGATCCCTACAAATTCGCCACAACCCGGGAGACTCTGGTGTGGCCCCTGCTGCAACTTAAACTTCCCTCCTCCACCAATGGGCACGCGCGGCACCGCCCCACGCCTTCACAGAGCCAATCAGCGAGCCCTCAAGGGCCAATCCGTGAGCAGCATCCCCGGGCCAATGAGACGGCAGCGCTTCATTTAAATGATTGCTGGGCCGCCTGTGGCTGTCAGCGGAGCCGAAAACCGAGGCGGGGTCTTTGCGACACTGCCTTAGAATTGAAATCCGCCTTTTGGATTTGAAAAGCCGTGTCAAGGGGAAAAGAGTAACACCTTTTCCACAGTGAAGGTGGCCGCCCTTGTGGTTGCCACGGGCATCCAGAGGTAAAACCGTGAAGGAGGCAAATGATGGCTTCCGCCATCCTCCCTTCCAAAGTACCCCCCCCCCCCCAGAATTATATTCCTTAGCTCTCCTTTCGCAGTTCCTGGGCCGAATGGGCGGAAAAGGAACAATTAAATGTCTAGTTTGTGAGAACGTGGCTATTTCAGTGAATGACCACAGCAGGGGGCAGTAAGTTTGCATGCTCTTTCTTTCTTTCATGTATTGGGGTAACACTGGTTAATAATATACAGGTTTCAAGGGCACAATTCTATGATACATCATCGGTACATTGCATTGTGTTTGCTGGCTCTTAACTAGAGATCCTGGGAGCAGAAATTAGATGCAACCTGAGATTCACAATAATTCACAACTGATGATGTTGACAGGCAGTCCCTGGACAAAGAACGCCTTGATCTTATTTTAATTGTAGGTACCTACTAATAATGACTGTAGCCCTTGCCATGTGTATCTCAAGCCTGAGAGGCGGCACCCATCGCTTTTATTTTACAGATGCGTCTTGGGGCCGGGAAGAGACAGAGCCAGGATCCTTACACAGGCGGCTCAGCTCTCACCTCACCCTCCCGGTAGACCACCGGGCCTCTAAACTCAGCGGGAAACTTTAAAACTCCGTGCGATATGGGTATGAGTACACAACAGACGTAGGGGGAATAAAGTCCCAGTGGAAAAACAATGAGGAAGGTGAGACAGGAAATTATATTCACTGACACCCAATGTGGCCCAAAGTCAAATCCCATTAAGAGAATGATGTTTTAAAAAAATTGTTACATAGGGTTTTTTTTTAATCCGTTGACATTGATGTACAATGAGAATGCTACTACGTGGTTTCTTTTAAGAAAAAATGTTAGTATGAATGATAACTTTCAAGAACAATTTATATTATTTCATGCTGTGATTATTCACCAAATTAACATTGCAAATACAAGCCGTCATAAACTTCCATCGCAGACATATTTGTCTCAGTTCAATAGAGTGTAGTGCATTTTGTTTATAAGTCACTATTAGTATTTAAATGTATATTAATTAGCCACTTAAAAACATTAAATCATTTAATGGTTAATACATTCAATATGCAAAATGTCTCACAATAATATCTGGCTTATGAGAAAAAATCTGTACATAAACGTGCCCCAGAAGCTCTGGCATTCATTCCACTCGTTCCGTCTCTGTGCCCACCATGCAGAGTTCTGCACCCCACGCACCCCACATGCCGTGAAAGTGTTCAACAAAACCTAGATGTGCTTCATGAGGACCAAAGACTTGATATTTATTTTTAAATATCAAAATAACAGAGAGAACTAGTTCCATATACAGTACACTTGCTAGTCTTCACAGAGAACAAATTTTTCTATAAAGACATTGGTACTTAAGAAACATGACACAGCTGAAGTATCTGTAAAACTCACGAGATGACGTCATACACAGTTGGCGAAGTATCAAATTTTGATATTTTAGATTTTCCTTTGTAACTGCTTTGACACGTGTCCTTAAATGATTAAAAGCAAAATGTATGATTTAAGAATGAAACTAAGTTTAAAAGCATCTTCTCTTTAATGCACATCACAGATCCCCTCAATCGGAACACTGACTGCAGGGAGCCGCTCAATGTCCACCTCCGTAGTCATTTTTTGGCAGCCCTGCCCATCGACTGTAACAGTTCTATCTACAGGCATAAGAAAGTTCTGTAATTATACCACAGTACGCAGACCAACATTAATGCAAGCAGGAACACCAAGCAAAGAGGCTAAATAACCACGAGAAGTGTGCATGCACTTCATTCCATGTTTTAGAATTTCCAATGGGAATGCAAGCACTGAAAATACTTCTTTACCTAAGAATTTGGGGGGAAAAAAAGTATGTCCATATCTGTATAACCTCTATTCTGTGACTATAATTCTTAATTTGTTTGTATCATGGCTACAGAGGCTATATTTAAATTCTTTGGAGATTTCCCACTAGTCATAGGCTTGAGACCAATCAATACACAAGCAAGTTAACACATGAAGGGTAAACACACACACAAACAAAGGTTTTATCTACCAAAACTTTCTCTCATCTTCCACACAACCTAATCCTATTTTTCCTTTTTAATGCTACTTCAAAGAGGAAGTGCGGAAAGCATGCCAATATTCCAGGGGAAAAAAAGGATCTTTAGGTAGAAATAACTTTGAAGGAAATAAGGTGATCCCCCCAAAAAACCACTACAGGCTGTACCGAGATGAATGTGCAAAAGAAAGTGGAGGACCTCTAGCAAGAGTGGTCTATATCCCTAAATACTGTTACAGAAATCATTCTCACATTACCCATCATTCACTTGAATAGCAAGCAACATTTACCATCATCCTCTTTAAAGTTTTAGAAACGCGACTTGTTTCTTATACCTTCTCCCTCATTTTCGATTTGGCACTGAGTCTTCGAGAATCCTAACATGATTTTAAAGGTCCTAGCTTTTCCTGAGTTGATAAACTCCAGTTGCATGTTGGTTGAGATGCTGCTGCCCTTCCGGGGAAACACATGCCAACTGTCATCTCCTGTTCAGTTTTGGGCAAACTGACATCAGAAGCAGTTCAGGGCAGAGCCGAGATTACTTTTAAACAGCCAGGGGAGGAGGAGACAGAGAGGCAGGCACACAACTCATTTCATTTTATTTGTTAGGTTCCTCCAAGAAGCGGGTGGAGACAGGCCCCGAAGTGGCTGCACAGTGACTATAAAGGCCAAAACAGACATCAAACACAAAAAAAACAAATATTCACACAAGTACTTAGTGCCTATTTTCCTACATAAGCATAAAGCAACCTAAGAAAAAGTGCTTTCTGACCAGCAGGTGGCACAAACATTAGACCCATGACGACAACAAAATGAAGCTCATTTGTTAACTGGTGCAGTCCGGCCAGCAGAGTGGACTGCAAGGAAGGAACTCCCCTCCCGCACAGTGAAAAGGCACAGAGCTTTCAATCTGGAAAAGACGCCTGGTGACCGAGCGATGCTCCGAACCTGACTTTTCACAGAGGGGATGGCAGAATGACGGAAGGAAACTCAAACTTACAGACGTACTAGTTCAGCTGTGTCTTTAATGTGTCTGCAATTACAGAATGAAAAACAATGCATGACATTTAATTACTTATTAGCCCTTAACTAACAGTGTATAGTCACTCCACTATGACATTTTGACACTTTAAAAGTTGACAGGAAATTAGTAGTGTACCTAGTTCATGAACTGACATCACTCAACAGGAAGTCACTGAATAGAGCACCAGTTTGAACCCCTATGTTTGCTACCCCTCCTCTCCTAGCCGCGTAAACTGAACTATTGAAAAGCATGCAAAGATCGCCACCTTCAGAGCTGGTTAAACCTTGCTGGCATGAAGAACGAACCCTAGCTTTTAATGGTAGTTTAGGCTGCAAAATATAGGCGGGGTTCTTACAAAAATAACTTCGACTTGTTGTAAAAAAAATTCTAAGGCAAATGATTTTTAATAGTGTAGTGTAAAAAATGAGCTTATTATTTTGCATTTAATAGTGTCCGCTTAATAAAAGATAACATTGAATTAATTAAACTAAGGAAAACTGAGTATTCTTACTTGTAATTTGTCAGTTTGACTATTCCCAGAGTGTTTTCAACACAAACATTTAATTCTTAGTATTCAGACTAACAATTTTTTTTTTTTTAATTCGTAAGCCTAGGACTTCAACTGTGCTTCTTTGGACAAATATTTATTCAAACAACAAAGAATTTAAATTCTTTTAAGCTATTTTAATACCTACTATAATCTTTGGTGTATTTAAGTAAAAACCGATTAGGTTAACAAATTTCTACACTTAATAAATTATTCACCTTACATATTAAGTGCTAACTGCTATCAGCTAAAAAATTAATTTAAAACAATAAATTATGCTCATAAAATATTCTGAATGAGGCTACACTTAGTTGCAAGATTCAAAATTTAAGTACAGATACAGAATTAATGAATTTGAGAGGTAATGGAACATTTGTCCAAAAAACTCCCAAACTCTACAAAAAAGGTTAACTGAAAAGAGCAGGCCTCATTTCCTATTTTTGTGCCAACTTCAAAAACTTATATACATTCAGTTTGCCCAAATCCATGAGGTTTTTACAATTTTAAAGTTTCTTAAAACCTAATTTGGAAATTCGAGGCAGCAGAGGTCTGTTTGCTCTCCCACCGAGACTCGCTCTTCGTGAGGACCACACTCACCCCCAGCTGCCGACCGGACAGGAGAAGACGCAGGGCCTGGCCCCGGACACACTCAGGACCGCCTCGTCTCCCTCCCTGGAAACTAGCAACTGCCACGTACTAACATGAGTGTTACTGAGTCCTTCAGCTCGGATTCTTTCTCTCTAAAGTGGGGACAGGGTGCGTCCACGGGGCTCCAGAGCCTGTGACGAGGGTCAGGTGAGATACGGTGAACGCGCCCGAGGGACCACTTTTCCGGGTGACATCGCCCGGCATCCACAGTAACGACATACACTGGCATTTCACTTCCTAGAAGAGATGCATTCTAGAAAAGTCATCTGCTGTAAACCGATCCCTACGGTCAAATCATACACTTAAAGCATTAGGAGATTGTTATTAAAAGAACCCTAAAGCGAGTACCTTCAAAAAACAAAGTACCCTTTTCCACGTGAAAACACAACACCTCTTCTTCTCCCACCCAACATAAAGTACACCATGTACACGTACATGTGTCCCATCTGCCTTTCTGCAAGTCCAGAATCTTCCACCCGGGCTTGTATGTCAGGCAGGCTACACTGTCAGGTAACAGCAAGCTTCTCAGCTAAAAGTCTTGTTGTTCTTGATGATAAAAGTCATAAAGAGATGCAGTTTAAAAGTCAATTTGAAAGACTAGCAGACCAACAGTACCTTGTAATCAAGTTCAATCATATAAGGACCCCAAATATAACATTCCCACACAAAAGAAAGGACATTTCAAAAATATTAATACACCAATTACATCTACTGGTCCTAGGGTAATTATAACCAAGTCTTAGTAAATGAGGCAAACCCAGGTTCGTTTCACGATGGACAAGAGCTACCTGGGCGAAGTGCCTCCATTCTCAACACGCTGTCCTCTATTCCCACCAGCGTGTGATGCTCCGTAAAGTACCTGCATTTCCTAAGTGCTTCGGCCAACACGGTTCCCTATCGAGTGGTTAAACTTTATTCATTAAAACTTCATTATTTTATTTGTGATTTTTTTCACAAGGCCTAGGTGAGACTTTACAGTTTACACACACACACAAAAGTGCTTAAGAGGAGTGTAAACAAAACAGAGAAAGAAAACTTTTAAAACTGCTAGTTTCCAGTAATTTACATACAAATGACACGCTAAGAAAAATCAACCCTGCCCAAGCTGATCCTCCGGGCAGCTCTCCCGGGAAACACTGTCCTAGTCGAAGTTCAAATTGACGTGAAGATATGGAAAGTGCACGTCTTTAAAGGCCTTTTACAATGACCTAGCATCTGACTATTCCCTCACTTAATTTTAATCAGTTAGCTTTTGCTGTAACTGCCATTTCCTTTCACCAAGTGCTCAGCTTTGGTCTCGTACAACAAACCAAATCAAGGATAATGAGAGAGCAGGCTTGTGTGAAAACCAAAATAAGTCTGGATTACATGTGAATCTGCACACACGCAGTGGTTCCCTTTCGTTAAGGTAAACCCAGGGAGTTAGACACAACGGTTACAGCCGGTCTGCCCCTCTTCTAACGGTTGGGGTGGAATATCTTGGTTCTGCTTCCTAGTTTCAGGTAGCCAAGGTCAGTGAGAACAGGAGGCTCTATGAAATCTCATTAATTAGTTACCACTTCCCCTCCCTCACCGCGTCAAGGTGTAATCCATGGCAAAACCAAAAGGTGAACTTGGCTTGAACGATAACCGTCGTATTTTGTTTTTAACACATTACCAATTTGTGCAATTTAATGCCTAGACTTAGATCTGCATTTCTTATTCATAATTAGTATGAATGATTTACTTACAGTAATCATAATCAGTATAAACAATTTCTTATTCATAACCAGTAATTTGGATAACTATTTCAATTCTACATTTCACTGAACAAGCTGCTCTTACATCAGTTAGCTTTCTGGCTTCCCATTTATCAAAAGACCAAAGGATAATGATAACCTAAAATTATAGCCAGATAAAGAAACAACACAGATATATCCAAGACTTTCTTATAAAGTCAAATTCAAAATATCAAATTATTTAAAATCTGGAGGACGTAATTATGTTATGTTAGGATAAGGAAACAGCTTCAGTTATCAGTAAACTCTCATGAATTTTCTTGACGCCTCCATGGTCCTAACCCGTTTTTGAAAGATGGGGAGGGAGGAGAGGAGTAAGACTACAGAAAAGTAAAATTTCCATTGATGATTTAAAAAGAAATAATGTCAGCAGCTAATAATTTTTAAAAGTTTGAGATACTATTTAAAATTGGCACTAAATAATCTTTTAAAATCACAAAAAAGTTCACTTTGAATATACCTCGACACGTGTCCCCACATCCCCACTACGTTCAGTACACAAAGGCGCATCTTCTTCTCCTTCTGAGTAGTTGGGGAGCCAGAGAATGAAAGTGCGGTCTGCGTGCCCGAGCCGCCCCCGCCGCCTGCAGCGGCCCCGCCGCCAGCGGCCTCAGGGGCGGTGCTCCTCGCTGGGGAGGCTCGGGTCGGCGGGGGCACTGTCCAGGCCCAGCAGCGTCCCCAGGTAGGACTGCTCCCTGGGGTCCAGCATCTGCTCGGGGCGCACGGGGTGAACCAGGGTGGCGGGCTGGGGCGTCAGTGTGTACTTTTCCAGGAAAGCTAGGTCGGCTGCCCGCGGAAAGTCCGCAGGCTGTGGCTGTGGTGACATGAGGTCGTGTGTGGGCGCGGGCAGGGTGGCGGCGTGTCGCCCCAGGTCCGCGGGAGGCTCGGGCATCTGCACGGGCACCAGCGTCACTGGCACGCACACCTCGGCAGGCACGTGCGGCAGCATCGCCTTGGCCTCCGCTGGGTACCCTTTGGGCCCATCCGGGTAGGGCTTCGCCTCCCCTGGAAAGAGCTTGCTGTCCACCGGGCACTCGGCCGGCGGGGACCCGAGCTTGTCCTCGGCGCCCAGGGGCTCGTCGGCAGCCTTGATGCCGTGCACGTGGTCCGTGTGGTACTTCAGCTTGTCCTTCCGCTTGAAGGTGGCCGTGCAGTGCTGGCAGGTGAAGGGCCGGGCATCCGAGTGAATGACCAAGTGCTTCGTCAAGGTTTTCTTAATTCTGAAAGACTGACTGCAAATCTGACACTTGTACGGCTTTTCGCCTGCATGAATGACAATGGCATTAAGTGCAACATGCACACACATGGGGAGACAGTGACTTTAAACAGCAAACTTTCCCCATGAATTCTGCTGAGAACTAACAGAAGCAGGCACAGTGTGTGCCATCGCAAAACTGCAGGCTGGTGAGCGAGTGCCTGTGCAGTCTGGGTCCTGGCTGTGCCGCCGGAGCAGCCAGGCCTCGGGGGAGGTGGGGGGGGGGCGGGCAGCGGTGAGCACCGCTCCCTCCCCACCCACCAGGGGCCAGGCCCCAGGCTCCCAGAGCTGCAGAAGGGGCCCCTCCAGAAAGCACTGGGTACACCTCTCCTGTCGCCATGTAGGTTTGCTTTTATTCCACTAGAGCCTGGAGACGGCCCCCAGTTAGGACGTCCTCATTTGGAGAGAGGGGGAGCTGTTTTTACAGCAGCACTGTGGGGGCGATAAATTCTTTACTGTGACTCTTGGCCGTTGAATTGGCCCAAATCGACTTATTTCCTGTTCTGGTATTGATGAAAGCGATCCTTTTTCTCCCCCAGAACAGCAGTTTGGCAAAATTCAAATTAAATACAAAACAAAGCTATAAATGCATAAATGAATTTTTCAAAAGTGTTAAAAAGTGTTCATTCACATGAGATATCCGACATGGACAGCCCAGAGAGGGAGAATCGACACAGTCTGCATTTCACATTTTGGCAGCATTACCGGGGGAAGGAACAAGGTTTAGAAAATGGCAATTTTTGGAAAGCAGCTGGAGCGGATCATCCTACTCTAACTGCCTCTCAGTGACAAGTGACTCTGTCCAAGGAACACTGTGCAACTGAGTAACTTGGCAACCGAGACGATGGGGCCACAATTGAACTTCTCTTAAAAGAGAAGAAGACAAATGTCGCCAGAGAGGCACATGCAGAGGACCCAGAAACAAGCAGAAGAGAAAAACGAGAGCTAAGAGATGAGTAAACTCCCGAGGGAAAAGTTGTCTCAAACTGTACAGAATGAGGTGCATGGGACTGAAGTTACGTGATGGAGAATGGAAGCCAGGACGCTGCTCATTCGTGCCGCTGACTTTCATATGCTGGGTCACAATCTCAATGGGGGAAAACAAAACAGTTCAACTAACAACAAACTCCTGGATAATTACACCAAAATACACATAAACTGCCCGTTCGGTTTTACCTGAATGTGTCCGAAAATGCATTTCCAGACTGGACTTGCCTTTGAAAATCTTCTTACACACATCACACTGATGAAAGGTTGCTTTATATCTAAGAAAACAAAGAGGTTTGCTTTTCAGCGTGAGTTTAAGGACTAACGGACCGCAGTCAAAGTGCCACGGCGTCCCAAAGGACGGCGCGGCTGCGACTGGGTTGTGAGCCCAGCGGCCGGTCACGCTCCTCATGCAACACATGCCGTCTCACTTGAAGGAGCAGAAGGCAACCTACAGGTGCGCACTGGAGAACCTGGCAGACACTTCTCGGAAGCTGAATGGAGTGAGCCTGTCGCTTCAAGGGGAAAACCTGACGATCTACGTTAGTGATGGGACCTGAGCGCTCCCGCCCCCGTGGGAGTTCTTTCTGTAAGCTATGCACCTGCCCCATCCTAGCCCCTCTTCCCGAGACGCTGGAGGAGGGTTCGCAGGTGTGGTCCGCGATCTGCCCTGTGAAAGCCGCTGACGTCTGGAAAACCCACAGAGCTCAGAGACCCGGCACTTCCCCGGTGAACAGGCGTGGCGGTGCCGCAATGTCATGGACAGGCAGAGCACCTTCCAAAGTGCCAGACGGACCGAGAGACCCAACCGAACGGGTGTGAAGGCCCCGTGACTCTTCCCACCTTGCTGCTTCTTCCCTTAGGAAACTGCCACTCATTCGGTTTCAGAGCAGCAGCCAAGAGTAGCGTCTGCGATGAGCTGAGAAAAGGGCTATTACAACGCTCCTCTTCCTACCAGCCACGTAGCTGAATGAGGCTACACTGTCTGCATCTACGTCAACCAAAACAGCCAAATATGACAATTCAGCCATTAAACCACTGAAGAGATTTACAAAAATGTGGAACAATACCACTCTTTCAATGGTTTTTGTCTTGTAAAGTACTTACTTTTCACATAATTGCTATTTATGTGAGCATGTGATGAGTATCTTATATAAAAAAAAACAAATAGGAACTTCCATTTTTCTCATTTTAACTTCTGTGGTTTACACAACCCATTTAACTGTAACAACATAAAACTGATGCTGAGTGACACTGAGGAAAACAGCCCCGGGCTCTGCAGAGGCGTGGCGCCTCGCCTGTCCCCGCCCTCCGGCAGCGAGCTCCAGCCCGTCTCCCCTCTACGCCCTGTCCCAGCCCTCGGTGGCACGGCTGCCACCTAATGAGCGTGACAGGACAGTGCCGACGCTGAGTGCATCACTGAACAGAATCGGCGGAGGGAGCAGGAAGCCTCACGCGAAAATGTGAACCATGGCTGCACATCCGCGCCCACGGCCCCGATCGGCCCACGGCCCCTGCACTGCCGTGGGACCGCGATCCGCGGCTGGGGAGCTGAGTGCCCCTGATTACCGAGCTCTGGCTCCGAACACCCAGTCAGGGCATGAGCTCATTCAACGTTTCGCACTCGGCCACCCAGTTAAACCTGGACACCTGGCTTGTACAGAGAAGCTGGTGTCCGGACAGTGCTCCGGAGAACGCCGAGGTTTCACAGCAGTCGTTCATTCACCTCCCGGCCTCTGAACGACTGACAACAAGCAGGAAGATGTCTCAGTTCCCCTGGTCTGCTGAGAAGCTACGGAGCGAGAGGAGAGAGCTCACTGCCCAGCCTACCCCCACCCAGACACAACGAACCGTGAGATGGGTAGCCCTCCCGGCCCAGACGCGGCCCTCGGGCCGGGAGGGGAGCCTCCGCACTTACTTCTGCCACACCTTCTCTCCCAGGTGCACGCTCTTGTAGTGCACGGTGAGGTGGTCCCTGCGGCCAAAGCACTTCCCACATTCTTCGCACTGGTGCGCCTTTTCACCTTCAAGACCCAAAGTTCGGGTTATGACAGGCACTGCAGTTCCCTTCCCCCACACCAGTGACCCATGGGAGGACATTACGGAGACGGACACCAGGAGCGGCCGGCCGCCCTCGGAACGGGGCTCCGGACCTCCCCTCCGCACTCACACACCGTCCCCCGGGGCCGCACTCATTTTCAGGGGCGCGGCCCTCTCACCAGTGCAGCAGCCCCTGGCGGCAGGTTGCGCCCCTTGCCTTCCGGTGTCACAGAGCAGGAAGGAGGGCAGGACTCCAGGACCCAGGGCCTGGGGGCACACGCATGGCTGGGCATCACACGGCTTCAAGGGCCACACACGGAAGCAAGCTGAGGCTGCCTCACTGTGTATAAAACGGACCTGAACACTTTCAGATCTTTGCACTTTGTTTTTAAAAGACTGTTCATCTGTGGGGATTGCTTACATGTGCCATGAGCCAAAACACAGACACAAAGGGAAATTCTACATGAGTCCAATTTCTTATACTCAGCAGCAAGGACCCGTCCTTCAAAAGTCACTTTCTCAACTTGATCCCAGCGCGCAATTTAACCATATGGTCTCTAGAATTGGAAACTCAGAATTCTCCACCTAGAAATGACAACGTGTAATTCCAGGGGAAATGTCATTAAGACCCTTAACGTCCCAACTCAGCCAGCCTCGCCGAGGCCGCCTCCGGACGTGAGGACTGCCTGCTGCACCGGCAGCACTCGTGTTGGCAGTGACAACAGTCACGCTGTCCCCCGGGCTCCCAGCTCTTCAACATCCTGAACACAGTCGGAGAGGAAGATGGGGAGACCCCAGGACAGCAAGACTGTGCGCACAGTAAAAGGGCCTGAGGCTGATCGGGAGGATTAAGGTCCTGTTTCCCAAGGACTGGGTTTCAAAAATTCACTGTGACACTAACTTTCACACGCAACTACAACCGTTTCTCCTGAAACGTCTAAGTCTGGCCGACTTCTTCCAACCTTGGTCAAAGCTGTTGCAAACATCCCTGTACAGGCAAAATGCCAATTTTGGGCATTTCATTAGACCAATTTTAAATATGGTTTGTAGTCATAAAAGGCGACCAGATGGTTAAAATGAGAGTGAAGAAAACAAGCCATAAAATTATGCCCCTTCCAGACACTTCTAAAACACCGTGGTCACAACGGCAGTGCCCGGGGCTGGCCGACCCACCAGTCACCAGGACTCCGGCCCGCGCACACACGGCGCAGCGTGCCCTCCTGGGGGCTCCGTGCCACATGCCACTACCTGAGTGGATTTTCTTGTGCTTCGTGAGGTGGTCGTGACGAATGAAGGTTTTCCCACACTCGTCACATTCGTATCTCTTGTCGTCATGATGGACCCGGAGGTGGAGCCTGTCGGGAAGAAGGAGGGAGGACTGAGGGCCATGGCAGGAGGGAAGGGGGCCTGGCCACTCCCACGGTGCGAGCCAGGGGGGTCTCGCCCCACCCAGCCTCGCCTGCACTGCCCGACTCCAGGCCTCCTGCTCGACTTCCCTCTTTAAAGAAGCACTTCAGCCTCTGCCCAGCCCACCCGACCTCAGCCACACTCCTTCCAGGCTTTTTCCATCCCCTTCCACTTCACTGAACCTGCCAGATGGCTAGAGTCTCTCTGCCTGGCGGGTGAAGTCAGGAACAGCAAGGGCGGTATGAATCCAGAAGGAACCAGAATCAGCCGCAAGGAACAAACACAGACGGGGCCAAGGACCCCGCCAGGAACAGGCAGGGCCCTTCTGGGCAACGGACGGCTCACTTCTGAGCCGGCGGCTGGGAGTTCGGTGAACCTAGAACCCGCCCGCTATCTGACAATCACACTCCACTGCTTTCCTCCACATTCAACCGAACGAGATGTGGCTCATTCCAGAGTTACCCAAGGACACACAGTAAAAGGTGCAAGTGACCCTCACAACCCTCCGTCCATGTCTGCCTGAACCGGGGGAACGATCGGCCGCCTCCTTCGATCTGCCCCGACACGCTGGATCTACTGTAACTAAAACCCCTCAGCCCACCGAACTGCACGAGAAGGGGGTCCTCTGTTTCGGCTTAAAAGTGGACAATAAAGGAACGAGTAAACAGCAAAGGCTCGAGATTAAAATTCTTCAGCACCATTAATAAAAAGTCAATGGTACATATATCTCACACATAATCACCTACTATTTATTCAGAAAAAACTTTTAAGGAACTCCAAATATGGTCAGGGATTCAGTTATAAAAAAATGACATAAGTTTAAACCAATAAAGACTCGCAAACTGAGAATCCTGCAATTTTCAAATTTTCCCCATTTTCCTACCAAACTATTCTGTGACAGTAGAGAATAAGGAAACACACTGAGTTTAGAAGACCAGAATTATAATAAATCTGATTCAAAGAAAAGTAATGAAATAAACTGCTAAATGACAATAACGCAGACAGTAAAGCACCCGGCCCCTTGGCGACGAGGAAATATTCAACAATATTTTATACTACAGGATGAAGAAAATATTCAAATGTGTAGGGAGAAGTCTGAGAAGTGTTTTGCACAACTTTGCTTGTTGTAAATGCTAAGAAATGTTTTAATTCAACAAACAACCAAACCACAGATGAAAACCATAGAATAAAAATGAAGGCATAATTTTATCTCCCTTAATATAAAGCAAAAACTGCCCTGACTTACCTGTACGAACTTCCGTGACGAAAACTTTGCCCACAAATGCTGCAGAGATGAGGCTTTTCTCCGCTGTGGATCCTCAGATGCTCCTTCAGAGTGGTTCTGTGTGAAAAACGAGTATTGAAACAAAGACCGTTCATGGTATTCCCAGCCCAGAGTTCCCGCAGGCTTACTGGAGAACAGACGCTCTCCTCTGAGACCAGCCCTGTGAAGAGGGAAGCACACAGACACAGTCATCTCCACTCCTCGTCCCCTCGCCCTGGTCCCAGATGGGCCACAGGGTGGCCATACTGGTCCAGACGCATCCCTGGCCCGCCCAGCAGTTCCGTGTGACACTCAGAGACTCCCGCCCAGGTGGAGGGCTGACCAGGTCACTGGGGACAGAAGGCACGAGGCAGTGCGCCTGGCCCTGGCAGGCTTCGGGCCGCCCCTGCCTCTCCGTTCTCATTTCTGTCCAGGGTGTACTGAGTGTGAAGGCGGCTGCCCGCCATGGGGCGGGCCCACCAGCGCCTCACCGGTGAGTCTGCAGGTGCACCCGCTTCGTGGGAAACACCTTGAAAACCACTCCTAGACCCTACCTATTCAATAATTAAAAGTAAAAACACAGAAGGTTGTGATGGCTTTGGACTTGTTTGCTTTCTGTTTTTGGCGGGAGTTTATAAAGCATAAAATAACCTTAATAATTTATTAACCTGCAAGTACACATTTTCATATAAAGGTAGTATGTTGATTTTCCTATTCCACCATCATACCCATCTGTTATTTTAAGAAAGTGGCATTTCTAATTTTTGATTTATGCAACTTTAATATACTGAAGAGAGTAAGTTATGCATACTGTTTAAAAAATACCAGACACAGGCCGTTACAGCTCGGGGTACCTCCATATGCACCCCAACCCCATGCTCCCTCCCTCCCTCCGTCAGAAGTAATCCCGTGTTACTCCCCTCTCTTTGGTTCTGCTCCCTACATGGTATGAAGCACTAACAACATAGCATATGTTTCTGAAAAGCTGAGTTGCAGGCAAACACCTAACCGTATTGCCATTTTTTGATGACGGGCCCACAGGATAACATGAACAGGTCCCTGCATCGAAGTCTGGCTATGGCTCCCCTGCAGGTCTGCAAGAGCCCTCTCCCACAGGTCAGTGAGCAAAGCTGCGAACAAGCCCTGGAAACGAAGCGCACTCCAGTCGGAGCCCCACGAGCCGGGCTGCACAGACCGGCAGTCGGGCAGAAAAACCAGGGACTCGAGCAGCCACGCCATGCACGCGGCTGCTCCGCTTGCTGCGAGCCACCTGATTCTCACAAATAGATGAAAAAGAGTCTACAGAATAAAGCAAACATGCCTGGTTGACTGGAGCAGCAAGGCAGGAAAAGGAGGGAGCTTATTAGCTCGCAGGTGCTATGCAGAAGCAGGGGACGGGTAAGAATCTGGGTCAGGGAGGGCAATGCGGGAGTGCTGTTCAGCGGAGCTAAAGTTGGTCAAGTGGGACAAGTGCCAGGGATCTGTAGTACGGCACTGTCCCCAGTTACCGGCCGGGACCGCGCAGTTCAACACGGCTGAGAGGGTTCAACGTCCTCACCAGTAAAAATAACGTAAAAAAATGGGTTCCGCATCAGACTCTGTTCCCTGATGAAGAGGAAACAGCAGGGACCTTGGCAATGACAGTCCCCAGCATGGCATGGGTCACTGGTACTAGTGAGGACTGAAGACCTACTGCACAGCAAAGCGAGGCGTCTGACCCCGCAGAGTCTCACCGCCCACCCTGCAGAGACGTGCACCCCCCCTCCTGTGCAACAGTCCCTGTTTCCAGGAGCCGCTGAGTACAGTTTGGTTTCTCCTTCTGGGGAAGCACAGCCTTTGGTTGCTTCCAAAGAGAGGGTACAATCAGGCTAACCTTCTGACATCATGAAAAATGTCTTTATCACCCTCAGACTTGACTGTTAGTTTGACTAAAAACAGAACTGTAGTTTGGAACCGTTTTTCTTTCCGAGTTTTGAAAGTCCAACAGCAGGGAAGAGCCGGAGTCGTCTGAGTCTCATTTCAGCGCGTGCTGCTTTCCAGAGACAAAGACAGAAGCGCCTCCTTGCCCTGCACCCTGCAAGGCCAGCCCCATGCGGAGGCGGGTCTCCCTGCAGGTATCCTCCCAGGCACCTGATGAATCACTTCTGTCTGGCAACTCGGGTCCTTCAGTGCTGGGAATCATCCTGAATGATTGCAATTTCTTTTAACCCATTTTCTCTGTTCTTTCTGTCTCAACCTCTCGCCCGGTCAGCTGAGGTTCTACACTTTATCTCACATCTCTGTCTGTCTCTTTGTTCTGCGTCTTGGGGGATTGCCTCCACCTTGCCCTTCAGCCCTTCCACTCAAGTCTTTGCTCTACCGCGCTCTGCATTTCTGGGAGCTCCGATTTCTGACATCAGTGACCTTTACACAACATCCTGTTCTCGTTCAATGGCTTCTACATCTTCAACTGGGGATATTAATAATAACTGCCTACTTCTTGTCCTGCAAGCTCCCTCTTCCCTGCAGAATCTGTTTCCCTCGGGCTGTACTTGTCTTTCTGTTTGCACTGAAGTCTGTCCTCCACGTTAAATGTTTCCCTTCTGGGTCGTGCCGTTCTCCGCTGTGCACTCACGATGAAGTGCGCTGGAACAAGAACCGGAAAGAGAGGCCCCCCGCCCCCTGCCTGGGTGGGCTCGGACGCCGCTGCTTCACTGTGGTGATCGGGGGACTCCTCGGTAGGGAATACATTTGCCTGTTGGTTGCTCAGGTTTCCAGGAAAGTGTTTTCTAATCTTCTGCCTGGAAGATAAAACCTATAATCCACCAGGTTGGCTGGGATCAAGCCTGGGGCTCGCTCTTTTCAGCCTCAGCGTGACCCCCATGGCTGCCGCTCTGGGGAAGGGCGGTGCGTGGCAGTGGGGGCCTGTGCCCGGGCCTGTGCAGGTGGGGGTGGGCTGCGGGAGAGAAGTGACAATCTGGCTTCCTGAGCTACCTTTGCTGCAGGACCCCTTCCCCTGCCTCCCCTCCACCCTGGCTCAGGGCACCTGCCAATGCTGGTCACACCACCCCAGATGTAAACTGGCCTCTCCTTGTCTGCATGGCAACCGTGGATTCATTTTTCTCAGGTCTCTAAGGGCTTTCAAACTTCAAACCTGTTCTGTTCTTGTTCCCTTTCTCTTCTCTCTGTCTCTGTAGCTCAGTCTTTAAGATAAATAAATAAATAACTTTAATGTATTTCTAGCATGATTTCATGGGGAGACAAAGTGGTATCTACGTTATATTCATCTAAACCCACAAATCCCAACTCCGTACATCTTCTGTGACATTTTACATCATTTCCCCTTTCACCTTCGCATTAAAGCCCAGTTCGAGTGCCTGGGTCTCACACCGTGGTGACCGGGGCACAGCCTCGGCCGCCTCCACCGGCCGCACCAGGGCTGCCCCGGGTCTGTGGCGAGGCTCACCTCTCCCGCACCGACTTCCCACAGACGAAGCAAGTCCACTTCCTCTTCCCTCCGTGGGTACACTCGATGTGGCGTTTCAGGTTCCCAGTGTCGTTGAACTGGCGCCCGCATATGTCGCACGGGAAAGGACCTGAAGAGGAAAGAGCAGTGTATGCGTGAAGGTGAGGGAGTCGGTTCCAAGTCCAGCCTCACTGGTACCTGATACTAGAGGCTGTGGGTCACCCGGGGACCCGCCACTTATGACTGTCACTGAGGGTGGGGGTGGGCCTACAGGACTGAGCCCTCAACCAGTGTCAGAAGTGAGTTAAGCTGCAGCCAGCTGCTGGCAGAGACGCGTTCCCTGTGGCGGGGAGAAGGCCCATACATTTGGTGACCAGAGCTCCAGAAGGAAGTGTTTTGTGTGACCACCGAAGGGGGCGCACAAGGAATGCACAGTGACTACGAACTGGGGGGGCCTTCCACACTGTCCGCGGGCACACTGCCAGGACGGGGAAGGCCTCTGGTTGGCGGGGCAGTCACTCATCACCGGGATCACCAGTCACGACTGCACCTGGCCACACAGCCATCCAGACCACAAGTCCTCACGTGACCATAACCACTGGGGGCAGAATCCAACAGGATACTGAATTCCAAGGAGACTAAGTTTACTGCCCCCCCCCTCACGCAAAACAAGCATTTTCCCAACACAAAAAACCATATCCCAAGCACTCACGAAGCCACCCAACTATCCATGGGGAAGAAACACAGTCTACAACACAGGACACACGGGCCACCAAAACGATAGATCAGTAAAGAGACATATGTCCTCGTCTCCGGGAACTGCAACAAATGCAGAACCCCACCCCCAACTACAAGACGTCTCCTCCCAGCTGGCCGGACAGCAGCCGGCTCCGCAGCAGGCCATGTGGTCGACAGGGGCCGCGACTGCCTCCAGACAAAGCAATGCGCTTACCCAGATGGAACTTCTCTTGGTGCTTGAGCCGTGCAAACCGTGACTTAAAGTGCTCTTCACAATAGGTGCACTTGAAAGGCTTGTCTTGAGAATGCAGAATCATGTGTTCCTCCAAGTGAGGTCTTCGAGTGAAAGACTTCTTGCAAATCTGAAAGGACACGCACACAACATGGGAACCAGAATTAAAAATTAGAATACAAAGCTCATGACAAGGAATAAACCCCCAAATTCAGAGCAGCTAAAAAGCTCGGATTTTACAGAGGCTTCCTGGGTCCCAGCTGCCACAGCAGCAGGAAGCTCAAGCAGCCCATCAAGTGGCTGAAGCAGAGGAGACACAGGGCCCCAGCCACCTGTCCTCACTGAGCCCCCAGCTGCGGCCATGTGAGCGAAGACACTTTGGGAGCCTGCCCAGCTCGCCCACAGCTGCGGACGGCTGAGCGGCCTGGGCTGAAGCGTGTGGAACAGAAGAGTCACCCAGCAGAGCCCTGCCCCAAGTTTGTACTAATGACCCAGGAAATGGTGACATACGATAAATGATTTTTAAGGCCCCTGGGACCTGAGGTGGTTTGTTATGTGGCAACAGACAACTGGAAATGGAGGAGAAATTGCAACAATGGACTGGCCTGTACACCCTGATGTCACACTGTGCACGCAACCTCAGATACACGTTGGGGCAACTGCATTAAACCGAAGCTGGGGTCCCGGTTCATCAGGGCCGTCACCTAAAAACTTGCCCACACAGACCCTACGTTATCAAAATGTTAAGGCATCATCGTGTAAAAGAAAGGCCCAGAAGGGAGTTAAGCCACGTTTCTGTGACCTGAAAATGAATGGCTTTCCCCAGAGGCACCATTACATGTGGTCTGGTTTTCTATTACAGATTAAAAGCTATTACATCGCATTTCCAACTTTCACTCTTAGTCTTCTTAATGGAAATAAATTCTTGTGCATTTTCAGGATGGAACCTGGAAAAGAAAAATAAAAAGAGGATTTTAAAAAGGTTGTATTATTCAAGTCAATATTCTGTACAATCTGAGGACGGCGGCTACACAAACCAGAGAGGTTCCCTCCTTCCACACAGAGACACGCGCGAGCACTTTAATTCAGGGTATGCACACCGGTGTCGATTCAACAAGCGGATGGACACGCCTCAGTTTACGCAGAAAGTGTCAGAGAAAAGTCTAGACACGTTTTCAATACATTCAGGGACCTAACTATTCACAGATCATCTTCAAGGAAATTCACTTGATTTTTTTTTTCAGTCCAGGTTTCAGTACATCTAATTTCTTAGAGTTAAATATGCAAACCATACTGAATACTCTTTCACAAATTTTTATTTCATCAACCAAAGGCAGAGCCGAGCCTGAGGAATGAGTTTCCTCGAGTTCCAAGGCCACACTGCCTTAAAAACTGTCTTGCCGAAACCCAAGAGGGAACCCCAGACAACCTTGGATTTCTGCAGCACGGACCGGGGAGCCCGTTTTGGCACCGGGAACTCCATCTCCGTGGTATTAACCAAAGATGAGAGTACACCCACAGCTGCTGCTCTTAGTAATCTGCAGCCTGCCGAACGGGAGCGGAGAGGGCGCCGCACACGAGCCCAGCTCGGGGTCCTCAGCTCACTGTGCACCCTGAAACTCGAAGGCACAAAAAAGTCTATTACGGAAGCAAGATAATACTCGCCTCTTAACATGCTTGGCTAACGTCTTCTTGCTTGCATGAAGTTTATTACAATAAGGGCACTTGTGCTCCTTCTTATGAAAGTCTGTTTCATTAGTGTGCTTCTTTCTGTGAACAGTTAGGTTAGACTTTGTCGAATAGCGCTGGCGACAAATATCACACTCAAAGGGCTTCTCACCTGTGTGAACACGTGTGTGGCTCTCATATTTCCCTATAAAAAGAGAGAGAACAAAATGAAATTCAGCACATTTACCAGAGTGATCGAAATTTAACAGTGGGAAGGAAAACGACCTCATGATTAATAGCCTATTTAACACAGGCACACACCCACACCTAAAATGACTTCCCTAAACTTACAACTTTGGTAAACCTCGCAGACTTTCCTGGAAACCTTGGGTCCCCACTTCCCCGCTGTGTTCAGGGATGAGACTTAACCCTGCACTTTACTGGGGACAGGGGCTCTTGCGTGTCTCCAGGTAAAACCCGGAATGAGCCTCCACAGACGTCACAAGTAGCAAGTAGGTTTTATAAAACAGGAGTTAAGCGACATTACGATTTAGATCTGTGTTTGCAAACTAGAGGTCATCAGGGTGCACAGAGTCAGCTCCTTGGTGTGACTAGCACTGAGGCTGGGGGGTGGGGACAGAACACAGCAGAACACATCAAAGTGCATTCACACTGGCTGGCGCGCCAGAGACGCTCAAATGTACCAGACCAATGAACAGTGGGAGCAGCTGGCGTTCCTGGAGCACCTTCTACATCTCACAAATTTCATGTGGTTCCTGAGGACCGCCCCCTTCAGTCCTCACACGACCCCCAGGAGAAGGTACTAGTCACGTCATCCACTCTACGAGAGAAACGAAGGACGGACAGGCCGAGACCTGGATGCAGAAACACAGGCAGTGGGACGGCCCCCAGCGCATGCTTTTCCAACCACTGTGACGCAGTCCCTATCTCTAAGAACCGAGGGAATGTCCACAGCCCCAGGAGGCGAAGCAAAGGCGGGGGGAGTGCTGAATAAAAGAGAAGTACCGTAAAACACAGAGAGGTGGGCTGCAGATGAGCCTATAAAGTGACCTAATTATTCCCACGATTACCTGGGCTGCCCTTGGTTTAAAAAGCTGCAGAAGGCCCCTAGCTGGGTAACTCAGTTGGTTAGAGGTCTCCCCAGCACAGCCAGGCTTCAGGTCTGACCCCCAGCCAGGGCACATGCAAGAAGCAGCCAATGAAGGCATAAACAAGCAGAACAACAAACCAGTGTTCCTCTCTCTCTCTCCCTTCCCCCTTCCTCACACTCTAAAAAAAAATCAATATATTAAAAGAAAAACCTGCAAAAGGCTTTCCTCCTAGCTTATCAGGAACTTCATCTTCACCAGTATTTTCCCAAATGATGTGCAAAGAACTTTAGTTTCTTAGGAAATTAAAGAAGTACCCCAAAAATGCCCTGCAATAAAATTATTTCCGGAAATGCCAGGTTAAGTAAAATCAACAGGTGTCTTTGCTGAGAGCCTGACCGAGTGAATAGTGACTGTGAAGCGCCACACAGGGCTTCCCAGTCCCACCTGCATACACACGCCTCTCCTAAAGCACCTTTGAGACCCGTGTGCTGGGCCACCGTGCCACTTTCGAACTCATCTCCAGCGAAACAGGGTCAGAGGAAGGGAGAAAACAGGAAGCACGTGCTCCAAACACACAGCCTGAGAGACAGAATCTACTGGAAAGACGGAATGCTTGTGCATCTCAACCCCAGAAAGTTGTTCTCTTCGCCATGCCCTGCACAGCACTCGTTCAGGGCTCCGCGAGAGCATCAACCCGGCCCACACTGAACAGGTTTCCATGCTCTTCCAAATGAGCTACTCGAGAAAAGTTCTATTATTCACATTCATACAGAGCCACACAGTGAAACAGTAATAAATGACTCAACTAGGGTGCCAAAAGTAGTCTGGCTTGGCGTGAAAACTATTCGGATGCATAATGAAAAGCAAAATGAGGTCGCTGCTGACGCCGCCGAGTATGCTGTCACACACGTGAGAAGCAGTGACTGCCAAGACCTTCCAGAGCTACTCTCCACCCACCCCAGCACCATAAGTAACCCACCGCTGCAGGACCCCTGGGCATGTATCGGAAACCAAGTCAGTAACTGCACGAGGTCCAACTGCACTCACACGTTGCTTTCATCATCAAATGTGGTAGAGTTTGCAATTTCATAACTTTGATTTATATAGAAATAAGCGAATCGTTGCCATTTAAAAGTTCACGTTAGAACAGTTCATAAAGACCTCCAAAAATTATTTTACTGGCAAATATTAGATTTCTTGAACTTGAATATTCACTGACATGTTTTTAACTTAAACTGATAGACCATATTTCCTATGTAAACTTCTCTAATAAGGGAAAAGTTAATTTATTCATGAATAAAATACCAAAGGACCTACTAATTAGGCACTTTCTAAAAGGCTGTACCTACAAAATTAAACTACATCCAGTAGTTTTATTCTCCACTATACATTCATGTAATCTGAAGCATCCTAGCTCTAAACAGTACTAGACACTGGAAATGTGACTGTAAGTTCAAGGGGAAATGGTATACCAATTATTAAGTTTCATATAACCTAATTCAATTCTCTATAATGACTCAAAAATACCACTTATCTATGAAATTAAATTAGCATCTCAATCGAACCTCTGTATTCATCATAATTGATACTCTGGAGTTTCCCATACCAAATACAGGAAGACAAAATAAAGACGGATATCAACACTTCAATTAACTCCTGAATCACAACGCCTTTACGCTAGCAGGAACAATTATATATTGAAAATCAACAACCTGCCCTCGACAAGAATTCCTTGTAAAATTTACTTTCCAAGCTCAGCTTTTCATCAGCACCTTTAAAACAGCCCTAAAAAGAAAGCTACTAGAGACGGGACAAGCGCTCTTTTCTCACCTATCCGGTCAAAGGTTTTATCGCACTTCGGACACTGCAGGATTTTTTTGCTGCTGCGCTGCAGGACCACGGGCCTTAGGCCCTCGCGAGCGCTGGCCCCAGCGTCTCTGACCTCCGGTTCCTCGTCCGCGTCGTTCTGCTCCTTCTCGCTTTGCTCCTCCGAGTCCGAGTCCTCCTCCGACATTTCCTCCTCTAGCTCATCCTCCTCGGCGTTATAGTCACTGCCAGCATCCTCAGAATCATTTCTGTCAGACTTCTCCTGGTCGAAATTTTCTGGATTCAAAGTATCGGACCCATCGGCACTTTCTTGCTCCTCCTCGTCACTGCTGTCATCGAACTTCACGGGGCACTTGCGGTTCCTCTTCGATCTCCTGGCAGAAAAACTCCTCTCCAGCATCTTTAACCCATGTTGTTTCCCTAACAAAAGGGACCTGTGGGTTTTAGCCAAATGATTCTCTAAGGACTTCTTATAACAAAAATGTCTGCTGCAGAATTTACACTGATGATCAGTCGATAGTCTTTCGGTCAGGTCGCTTAGGGTTTCTCCAGGCGATGACTTTTCCGCTAGCTCAGACTGGAACGGGGCAACACTCTCGTTGTTGAGCAACTTCACGGCATCGATAATGTCCAGGAATTTTGCTGCCTCTAAAACAAGAGGTATCTCATACTTGTACACAAAGAATTCGGATGTGTAAAGAAATTCAAGCAAGTGCTGAAAAACCGAATGTGTCACGTGGTCCAGAGTGACCACATCCGTGCTTGGGTTTTTGCTCAAACACGCATGAAAATAGCTGCTCCCAACGGCGACAACCACCTTATGAGCGCTGAATTCCTTACCTTCGACTATGATAAGTAAGTCACAGAAAGACGGCTGCTTCTGCCTATCATCATTTAAATACTTGAGCAAATTCTTATTATACTGCAAAGAGCTCAAAAGCTTCCTCTGATCTGGGGACGGGGGAAGGTCCTGATAACGGTGCAGAGCTTCGGCAGCAGCCGGTCTCTGGGTGCAATGGGTGTAGGTTAGCGGGTCGCACGCCCCTGCCACATGTCCCTCCGAAGACTCCTTGTGATAGCCCAGATGGATCTTCTCGTCAAGACTGGAAGCAACCTTTCTCCTTTTCTTCATTGCAGTACAGCAGTTTCAGAACAGGAAACTTCATAAGTGCCTTAAGGGGTGTATCAAGGAAAAAACAACAACAAAACACTAGATTGTCTTGGTTAACAGCTTCTGGAGGGGCGTGCCCCAGGGTTTCATGGCTGCAAAAGAGTAAGAACGCGTTAGACAGCTAGCTCCACGGCAAAGCCACCTCCCTAAATCCTGCACGCCACCCGCCAATCTCTTCTAAATCACACGGACATGATAAGGAAGTCACGGCTTCCACTCGTTCGTGGCTGAGATTTCAGGGCGGAGAACGCGGAGGGCCGCGCTGGGGAGGAAAAAAAGAACTACCAACAAAAGAATCCTCCGGGAAGCGCGAGCGCACCTCTAGGGCAGGACGCACAGAAAGCGGGCAAAGGAGGGCTGGACCGGGAGGGGCGCCAGCCGACCACCCGGTGCAGGTGGACAAGGGGCGCGGGGCTGGCGACAATAGGCCTTCGCGGCCGCGACCTGCAAGGCTCTCCGCTAACATGCTTTCCCAGGGCGGGCAAGGTGCACGACTTCGTGGACAGGGAGCGTCCTTCGGGCAACGCCACCCGGCGAAGACGACCCCAGGGAGGGCGCCGCGCCGGACGGTGGAGTCAACCAGAGAGACGACCCCCGCCAGCACGAGCGCCTTTGCAGGCCCAGCCCCGGCGGAGACGGCACTCGCCCACAGCCCGCCCGCTCCTCTTGCCACCGCGGGGTCCCTGTGCGAACGACCCACGGATCCATTACCGGGAACCCAGGGCTCCCCCGCTGGCTCCCGGCCGCTGTGCTCCACTCTGGGCGCGCTCGCTCCAGCGCCGACCCACTTCCGGGTTCAGCCCCCCTCCCTCCGCGCGGGCCCCACCGTACACGTCACCGCGCGCGCCGCCGCGCTACGGCTCAGCCGCCCGCAGCTCTGCGCGCCGCCCTGGACCGGCCACTGCGCATGTGCGCGCGCTCAGCGGTGCGCAGGCTCCGGGAGTCTGGCAGCCCAATTCAAATTCCTAGCGACGCGTTCTGTCAGTGCCTTCGGGTTTTCGCCGTGGTCCGGTGACCCGCTGAGGCCGTGGAAACCGCGCTGGGAGCCTGGCTGCCTGGGGAATGGAAGCGGGCGGCACGGACGGGCGTTGAGGTGCTGTGTTCAGAGGCTGTGATCCGCCACACAGCCGCCCGCGAAGCCGGTCCCCAAACACTGCATCGGAGGAACCCTGTGGACGGAGTTTCCTCATTTCTCGGAGTTAAACGGCTAACGCAGTTGCTCCTGAAATTATTCTTTAACTTCTTATTGGGCACAGAAAACATGAGGAAATGCACATACAAGTGTAACATAAGCTGGTAGGCCAGGAAGAGAAGCCAAAAGAAAAGGAGAATCCACAAGGACAGCTTTTGGAGCTGTGTGCCCAAGACTTTGCATTTGTAACGGAGTCCCAGGTGATGCTGATGTTGCTGGCCTGAAGACTTATTTTAACAGAATCAGAAAATTGATAAATTTCTGCCCTTCAATGTGATAGTTAAAAGGACAGGAGCAACAATTTGTTCATTTTGATGGTAATGTTTTCCATACAGGATGCGTAGGTCACCAGTGATCAAATTAAACTGCATGCTCAGTATTGCATGACAATCCTAAGTAAAGTCATTTTAAAAAAGGATGTCACACAGACACAAGAACAATAACAACTACGTAAAAATAAAGTAGACCTGGCTGGTGTGGTTCAGCGGATCGAGTACCGGCTGGGAACCCAAGGGTCCCGATGGGATGCCCAGTCAGGGCACATGCGTGGGTTGCGGGCCAGGTCCCCAGTAGGGGGCGCGGGAGAGGCAACCACACATTGATGTCTCACCCTCTCTTTCTTTCTCCTCTTCCTTCCTGAAAATGAATAAATAAAATCTTTAGAAAATAAAGTAGAAATATTTATACATTTAAAAAAACAAGTAAGTGAATATGGAATGTAGAAGAAGTAGCGATGAAATCTGGGACTAGAAACATCAAAACATTGAACTGGGTTAAGGAACTTGGTCAGGATGGGTGAAAACCAACTTCCCTAAGGGCTGAATTCCTAGGCTTATTCCAGGTTACAAGTGGATTATGAGGCTTCTATTTGCCTGGGGTGCGTAGGGTGAAGGCTAGGGATGAATTAGAGAAATAGAAGAGATTTTTGAAGGTCATGCTGCCGTGGAGAGAAAAGCCAAGGAGGGAGGAATTTCAAGGAGAGATGAAAGGTAAGAAAATGACCTCAGTTTTGGGAGGTGCCCATGACTGATTTTGATAATGCCATTGATTCCAAGAAACAGGGGAAGACAGTGCAGAGAAGACGCCCATTTCGATGGGTGTTAACCATAGAAATGGCTTAGATGCTGTGGAATGAGTTCATTTGGGGAATCAAAGTGATCTTCAACACATGCTGCTTTTCACATGCGGTTAACATCCATTTTTATGTTTCTTGGACCCAAGTGACGAGCAGGGACAAATATGTTCAGTCTTTCCATTCTCCCTGGAACATAATTTCACTAACAGTAATTCATATTTTTCCCTGGAAGAAAATCACATATTTTGAAGTAGAATGGAATATTTGCCTGATGATACGGTGTGAGCTATCTAAAATATTTCTATAATAAATACTCAGTGAAGGATTTTTTTTTAGAAAATAGTCAATTTTATGCATGTGCATGTGGTCCAATTTTAGTTTTCAATTAAAGCGTTTTAAAGAGCTTTACAGCTCTTTTATTTTCTCAACATATTAAATGTCACATTTACATAAGAAACTCAGAGCAACTTCCTGGAGGCCCAGAAGGAACACATAGTGATAGACACGTGTTACAGGTCTTAAAATTACATTTAAAATTGTTCAGGAAAAGCACATTTGGATATAGCAAACCTACAATGCATAAACACCCTAAATTTTTTATGAATATTTTTTTCCACTGGAGGGTGCAATTTGTCAGCATATCAAGATTTCCACTGCTCCTTTAATGAGGGCACTTTATAAATAATAACAAAGGGATGAGTATTTACAAGACACTCATGTAGGATGCTGAGTAGTAATGAAATATCACTAACAGGAATCTGGGCCTATTCTGCAATGAACTTGTCATTGAATTAGGAACAAGTGATTTACAAGCTAAACATATTCTTTCATTCTCCTTTTTTGAATACTATTTATGACTTTCTTGATTGTTAATACCATAAAAAAGTATCCTAGTCATAATGAAGTACAGACTTCTATACTCTATAATCTGTAATCTATAATACAGGGTGAGGCAAAATTAGGTTTATAGATGTCAGTATGGTAAATAATACAATAACTAATAAATAATAATAATACAAGCATAAATTGTTTCACAGTCTCAAAATTGTAAACCTGCTTTTGTCCCACCTGAATTATGAGTATTGTATTTGTTTTCTTTAGCAGTCTATGCATTTATTTTAAATTATCTGTAAAAATACAAATCATTTTCTTTTTATTAGCCTGTACACACCATGATGATGGATGGTCTAAAATTAAATGTAAATTTAATAATCATTAAACATAGACATTTAATTTTAAAAATATGTGCTTTGATCATATGCCTGTTGTAGAGTATGAAGGCTATTAGGTAATGTGTGCCTTGGATATAATGCTAATGCAGTACGAATTATAATAACAATATTTATTGAACACCGACTAGGTATCAGGCAGAATTCTGTACTGACTGGCTTTCCATGGGTCACCACTGACACCGTACGTAGCACAGGGTGGCCGCACGACCACTGGGTGGGGGCACATGTGTAACATCCCTATGACACCACCCCAAGGAGGGGGAGGGCTCCGCACCTGCTGAGTGTGGTTGGAAGCCCAGGTCCCCACACGGTCTCTGCTGGCACTGGAAGGGCCCAGTTAGCACCTACTCAGCATTCTCTGACCTCCCCGAGCAGGACAACCGGGGGGGACATTTTGCTGCCTGGTGGGATGCCTGTCCTTGCTCTCCATGTGGCCTTTGCTGGACTGTGGAGAGGTGGGCCACGATTTTTTCCTCCGGTGTTTGGCTGGAGCTGGGTAGTTATTGCTTAAAAGTTTTCTGTCTTGGCCCCTGTTGGTGTAGCTCAGTGGATTAAGCACAGGCTTTCGAACCAAAGCATCGCCGGTTTGATCCCCAGTCAGGGCACATGCCTAGGTTGCAGGTCATATCCCCAGTATGGGGTGTGCTAAAGGTAGCCACACATTAATGTTTCACTCCCTCTCTTTCTCCCTCCCTTCCCCATCTCTCTAAAATAAATAAATAAAATATTTTAAAAGAAAAAAGGAAAAAAAGTTCTCTTTCTTGCTGGGTTGCCTCTTTCCTGGTTCCTTGGCTAAAAGAGCAGGCTTCTGTTTCTTTGTTGTCTGCATCTATTAATATTTTGGCATCGTTGGCTCCTTCAGTCCTAGGTCTGGGATATGTAAGGCAAAACAGGGAGGGGGAGCACTTTATAGTGTCCGCTTTTGAGCCCTGAGTGTGTCATTTGCTCTCTTTACACGTGCTGTATAAGCGTGCCCAGGGTCTTCATCGGCAGAACAAGCCGTGAAAAGTACACCCACTCCATTTTCCTGGCAGAGGCCCCTAGAATATTTTCAGATTTTTAAGTGATTGGGAAAAGAGCCAAAGAAAAATAAAACTTTGTGACACATGAGACTTCTCTGATAAAGTTTTCATTGTCTACGGCTGCTTTTGTGCTGCCATGGCCAAGGTCAAGTAGTTGCACTAGAGACTGCGTAGTTCACAAAGCCTAGAACATTTACTATCTGATCCTCTATCACAGTCAGCTGTCCTCTGGGTCACAGAATGGAAGAGTGGCCAGCCTTCTATTAACAGACGTGAATTGTTACCTCTTCGGTCAAAATGAAAAGAAAGGAAACGTGTAAGTTCTGGAAGCTTCTACTCAGTTTTAAGCTCCAGTGAGCACAGGTTTGGTTGGAATGTGGGTCAGCAAAGATGATGGTACTGGAGAAGGTTTTCTGCCCCCCTGTTACCTGGAATTCCTATTTTTCACAAAAAATGATATACATCCTTATTTCTTCAATTCTATGAAGTACGTTTTTCACATTTCAGCCTCTCTCATATGATTTGTCATAGTGTAGTGGGCACCCCTTTTTTCTCTCAGTGACAGATATGAAGTGATGATGTGTGTCATAAATGATGGTGTCAGGGACTTAGTGGAACTTGTCACCGCTCTGGAGCGATCAGAGATAAATTGTTGGATAGTCACACTGCACGCACTTTAGAGCTACTCAGGTTATATTGAATAACTTCGGCTTAACCATTGACCTCAAAGGCAGCCTTTTAAAAGTCTCGAAAGTGCAAACCCTTTTTCCGGTTAAATAATTTTCCAGCAAAGCCTGGTACAAACAATGTTATATATATTTTTTCTTTCTTAAAAAACATTTATCCATTGGTTTCTAGAGGAAAAAGGGAAGGAGGGAGAAGGAAGAGAGAGAGAAACACCGATTTGTTGTCCCACTTAGGTACGAGTTCACTGGTTGACCCCTGTCTGTGCCCTGACTGGGGATCAAACCCACAACCTTGGCACATCAGGACCATGCTCTAACCTACTGAGCCACCGGCCAGGGCACGGTTTTTTTCCTACTGACCAAATGTTCCCCAAGAAGCTTGAATGCTTCAAAAAAATAGTTCTTTTGATCATACATGTTTTTGTGTCTTTGTAACTTCTGCTTGCGTGTTGGACGCTCATATGACCAAGGCCATCATTGTCCTAACATTGACTCATTCTTAATCTGAAGAGCCATAAACAAGCAAGTCCAAAACTAAATGTGAAAGGCACAATACAAGAAAAAAATAATAAACCCAGTGGTACAATTTCCCA